TAATTAGGGGAGAAGTCAATAGCGTGCTCCGGATTCGGTTTGTCAAGATCAGCAACCAAGAATGATGACTGGGAGACAAGAAAAACCAGAGCGGCTTTAAGCGGGGATTGCCGCCCATGGTCCATCTTCGCCGCGAAGAGCGTCAGTTCTCAGTAGATGCGCTGCCCAACGCCGGTGCACATTGCGAGTTCTTAGCTTGTGATTACACATCCATTCGTGCACAGCCGAGAATCCTCTCGTCCCACCGCTGCAGCTATTTTTCTTTTCTTTTTCGAGTGGCTTGCACGATCGCAAGAACGGTCCAGGGGGTCGGGTTAGCCTCATGCACGACAAACAAGAGCGGGCCCCTCTTGCAGGACAGAGTGCAGGAGCCACCCATCCAAGATTTGTCTCCGAGCAAATCAGGAGCCAGAAATGACTGATGGCGCAAAGCCGTTCAAGATAACAAGACGCGGTGTGAAGGTTTGGGAGATTGTTTGCAGAAAAAGACACCAGGATGCTGATATCGTATCTGAACTTCCCTGCGCCGCGGGGTTGTTTCTGACAGGTGGGGGAAGATCTCAAACATACGATTAAACTCTCTTTAATCGCCATTGTCGGGTATAGACTCGGTGCTGCAGCCGATGTCAAAGGCCGTTAGATGATGCAGTAACAAGTGAGGGGCAACTCGAAGGAGGGGTTGACAAAAATGCCAGTCGGTGAGCATCATGGGCAACACCAAGCCTAACTGCATTAACACTGGCATTGCCGGGCTTCAGCCGCCAGTTCGCTCGCAACCCGAGCCAGTAGTAGCGGATGCCATATTCAGGGTCGGCCCGGTACGTGAGCACTCGTCACCACAACACCACTTCCCTAGCTCGACAAGCCGGCCGATGCAAATGGAAGGCGGAAAGGAGACCCGGCAGTACTATGGAGATACCCGCACACAAAGGGCTTGATACTGCTGCCGGGACTGGCGCTAGGATTGGACTGAATCCTCAAATACGCCTCAGTGTGGCCGACCGACGAGTCTAGGCTCTGTGAAGAACAATGTGTATTTTATGGGCCGCCATCTGGAGACATTCTACCTCCCGCTAGTATGCTGACGGTCGAATCTGACTACTTCTTAGTAAATCTCGAAGGCTTCGGCATCTCATGCCGGATATTGGACCTTGAACTGCCCCGCTAAGATGGTACCTAACATACCCGGCTGGCGCTTGGTTTTGACACCGCGGATCCGGCAAACGACTGACCCCCGCGCCTCAATTTTTTACCACCAAGTCTGAGGTGTTTTAGAAAGCGGTGCTAAATAGATATTGGCCCTAATTTTCGGCCTCCAAGATTCCAGGCCCCTTACGTACGTAGTGTTACGGAATACTGGCTTCGACGGTGGGCGGCAGGAGGGCCGGAGCCCGGCCGGCCGTGGTCGTCGCCGCCCATATCGCGAAGACGTTGATCGGCGGCCGTCAGGGAGATAGACGCCTGCGAGCTGCCTGCACCGGTGCGTTTTGTCGGGCGACTACGATACGACATGGGGGAGGCGCGTCAGCTTTTGAAGTTGGAAGTTTCTCCCCCTCCGCTGAATCAACGGCCGCCGCCCAGGCCGTTTCCCGCTAAAAATATTGTCTTCCTTCCGCATCCTTAGCGCCCAGCCTAAAAAAGTCCGTGTTCACTTGGCGCGAGTTTTGCCCCCGTAGGTAGTCATAACATCTAGTCTAATTCGGCAGCACCGACGCATTGGTAGGTTTAGAGTCAAATTGGAAGAAAAATTCTCCTTGTCCGGCTGTCTTGGCTAGAACTTAGCAACAAAGGTGGCGCGAAACTAGCGTAGAATGGGAGACGTGAGGGGTAGTCGTAGTGCACCAAGAGCTGAAATTGGTCATTGGATGGCAACGAGTCTCTGCCGCACACGGCTGTGGAGCACTGATGAGCTGATGGATTCCCTGAAACCCACTGGCACCTTAAGTTGGCGCTGGGCCTCTTTAACCAAGGATGAATGTTATGGGAACCTGTCATTGAGATCTACTCATCAAAGCGGCGTGGCTTCCCCGCAGTCCAAAGGTTTCAAGAGGAGTGAAGAGCAAATATCAGACGTGCAGGCAGACAGTGGCAGCATGATCAGTCGACCAGTCTGGCACTGGAAAGGAGCGACGTGCAGGAGCTGCAGCGATGGAAATGTAGCTACGAAGGGGCTGGTATACTAAGACTGTTCGCGCACCTCATGGGAGGCGCTGAGGGATGTGCCTGTAAATTGTTTCTCTTCGCTGGAAATCTATATGTGCGGTGGTGGCTTGGTATCGGCCGGCCGTTGTGCCATGAGGTGGGTCGGCTGGTCGGCGAGAAAACTTGTTGGAAGCCGGAGGCTTGGAGCTGCCCTGGTCTGAGAAGTGCAACCCGTTTTGTTGGAGCGCGTCGCCAGTGGCTCCAACAAGCGAACATTTCGCCGACGTCATTATTACTGCGTCGCCAAAAAAAAGTACATGCACAGATGTACCCCGTACCTTCCCACGCGACAGGGGACGCTGCAACCACCTGCAAGCCTCCCTGTTGTGAGAGGTCCTATCATTTTGTGCTGCAGAAAACGCCCCGCGCCCCGATTTCAAGGAGTACCCACCAAGACCGCTCAAGTTGTGCCATATTCCTGCAAATACCCAAGCTTGTCGCCCAATGTGAAGCGTCTCCTATACTCTACTGGTGGCCGAGTCATGAAATATGTTCGTACAAATAGGTGCTGGATTGCCCTATCGCGCGGGGTCAAACAGCAAATTTTGGAGCATGGCTCTAGAGCACTGGTAGGAAGCCAGAGCGCCGTCATCCATAGGCCCAGCAGCCCAGCAGCTTGTAGCCGTTCCCAGCAGTCAGGCAAAACCCTGGAGATGTGGACGGTTGTCCCCTATTCTCGTAGGCTTCAGGCCGGTAATGCTAAGCGTGCGAGCCCAAAGCATTTAGCAGCCGGAGAAACCAAGTTGAATGGATCGCTTTCGGGCGTTGAGACCTAGGTTAGCCTGTGGGCTCTACCAGAAAGTCTAGGCGAACTCTAAAAGCTTCCATTGTGCTGGATGAGTCGCAGCAACGGACGTAACGACAGCTTGCAAGCGAGTTTGCGCCATGTGTGAGTCGCGGTATTCCTGTCGAACTTGCGCATTCCCCGCGGTCCAAATACGATGGACGACAGACGAAGGCATCTCAACGACCAAATTCCGAGCAGCTCCGATTGAGGTGTCTTGGTGTCTGGGCCGTTGGCACGCTCGCACGGTGTACAAGTGGGATGTTCCTTTCTGTTCTGTGCAGCGCAGGAGCTGCACGGTTGGTTTGAAGGTGGGTTTCTGGCCCAGGCTCGCCATCGGTATCCACATGCACTAGAGAAATGTTAGCGGGCCACTCGTAAGGTCCAGCACCCTTGCAGCGCCTGTATGTACATGCATGGGAGTACCTCAACCCCAGCACATCCGCTTGGTGCACTCCTTGGTTCCATCCCATCCGGTTGCCTTTCACCTACCTTTCTTTCCAACGCTTACTCCATCGTTGCCTCCTCTCTCCCTTCTCTTTCTCTTGAGACTCCCCGTCCAACAGAACGACTCGACTTGCAACTCTAATTTTTGCTGTCTCCCCTCCTTTCAGCGCCGAGTATCCGATAGCAGATTGCCTGCAGCCGACTCGCCCGTCCAATCCGCTGGCCTGAAATCGCGGTTCGAGGTACGTTTCTTCCCAGTGCAAAAGCACAGTCTCACGCCCCCCCCCCCCTCCCCCCTTCCCATTCCTCCGCCTGAACCGTCATTCAAAACCGGCGCCACTCCGCTGCAGCAGCCCAGCAGTTCCATTCCTCTCCCACTACCAAGCGCGAGTTGCGTGTTGGATTGAGACGGAAGACCCTCGAGGTTGTTGTTGTCCCTTTCAAGGCGGCCCGCTAACGACAGGAGACAGCCGAGACGAGGACCAGCGATTGCCCGCCTCGACGTCGACCTCGAGCAGCCTAGACCTTCCCGGACGATACCGTCGGTCGCCATTGCGGAGGCCGAGGTTGCTGAGTAGGCCAACGCAAGAGAGGGCTGGGACAGATTAAGGGCAGCGCCCAGGGCAGACTCGAGCAGACCTCGTCTGCCGTTGTAAGCAGATCCTCGAGACCGCGGTGCGAGCCTCTTCTGTCGCTTTGCCTGATCCTGGCCGTCTTTCTCTTGCGCGGCCCCGCAAGACAAAACAAACATCTACGAAGCTGTCTGGACGCATATCTACGTCTAGCTGTTGCATCAGGGTTTCTGCACCCCTTCCGGCCGCTCCCTTCTTTCTCCGCCATACACTTGGCAAGAGTCAACCTCGTTGCTGGAATACTGCCGTGGTAGCTCTTGCCCTGTCCCCCCTGCAAGATAACAGTACGTTTTATCTTTCCTCTCGAGTTTTTTTTGGCGAGATGAAAGTTGTTTGGTTGTGTGATCGATAGGAGTCACTGCACAATCAGCGCCTGAGCACGACATTTTGCCACCTTCCCGCAAAATTTCCACACCACCATTTTTATCTTTTATTGCCCCTTCTATCCTCATCTGCTTATCCAACACCGCTATCCTTTGCTATCCTTGCCCCTCCAAACCTCATCAAAGCCATGAACTTCCTCAGCGGTTCCGAGCAGAGCATTGGCTAACCGAATTGCGCGCCGCTGCAGTTTCATTGAGGGTCTAGTCGCACCGACAAAGAGTCGACGTCGCCATCAATGAATCGGTCCTGAGAAAGTGCGCCCTGATTGTCTTTTGGCATTGCTTCACGACATCCCTCGAACAGGCTGTCCAATTTTTGGGATGCCTTACACACCTCCCTCCCACAGGTCCCCGGCCTCGTCAGCTCCTTCATCCCCCGACATGAGCCGGAGGCCATCCTTCCACCAAACACAGACCAGCAATTCACGACCTGTCCTTCCTCGATCTGCTTCATATTTGACCAAGCACCGGCGAACCCCATCAGCACCCGACGTACCTCGTCGCCATGTTAACGAACCATCGCCCGAAGCTACGTCGGAGAATTTGAAGGGGATGGTGGCCAGCACTAGCGTTCGAGAGTCACCACCGCCGGTCACTAGAAGCGATCGTGGAATGCCCAATGCCGCAATAATCTCCCCGCCTGACTCGTCCAGCGACGACGAAGACCTCCCAGAAATCCGGGGCAGGCAAATTGAGAACCTGAAGGAGTTGCACGAAGCTATCAGTCAAATTCCACAACAGAGGGCTAGCTCGCCGACCAAGAACAGCATCGCCAAAAAGGATGCATCTGTTGCAGGTGATCTGCTCGTCCTCCCATCCCAGGCGAGCGCTATAGCCGAAGGTATGCATATCAGTTTCAGCACCGGCTCGCTAAACGAACTCGCCGTCGCGGGGAACAGAAGATTCTCGCACGCGAGATCGGCTACCGAGCCAAACGTTGCAATTAGCGAATCTCCCAGAAGCTCGTTAACAGGGTCTGAAGAGGATTCCGACGAGGAGATGCTCAGGAAGCCTCAGATGGTTCGGAAGAAGTCTGGAGAACTCGTTCGCCCTGCACTCCGCCCTCCTTCGCGTCGGCGACCGTCGAGTATGCCAGGTACTCCCACCTTCTCAAAGATGGTACACTTTGACTCGCACCTCGAGCACGTTCGCCATTTCCTCCAAGTTGACCGTCCCCTTGCCGTAAGCACTGGAACATCGCCCGTCGATAACTACGAGAGCGACAACGAGTACCCGTTCGGGGGAGACCAATTGGCAGCCAAGGTACCGCCTTTCGAGTGGGATATCGCTGTGACCAACTTTCCAGCCGAGACGCCGGCTCGGACGGCTCTGGCAGTCCGCCTTGAACGGGTTTGGCTCTCAAGTGACCAGAAGTGCCTAATTGGGTCGATCGATGTGGCCAATCTCGCCTTCCAGAAAACCGTCACATGCAGATTCACGCTCGATTATTGGAAGACGACATCTGAGGTTGCTGCCGAGTACATGTGCGAGATTCAGCCAGCCCAGAAACCTGTCGGCCACGATAGGTTCAACTTTACCATCAAGCTTTCCGACACGGCTAATCTCGAATCCAAGACGTTGTACTTTTGCATCCGATACACCGTCAATGGACACGAATATTGGGACAACAATGGCGGTTGCAACTTCCAGGTCGACTTCCGGAAGAAGATGCTTCCACAAAACGGCAAGAAGGGCGTTATCGGTGCCGCCTCGCGCCCTGCGAATGGCCTACCCAAGAGCACTCGTCGTTTGACCCCGCCCGCTGTCTCGAAGCCGAAGGTGCCTGGGACCGTCGGCGATGACTTTGGTACAGGCCCGAAGCCGAGCTTTGATCAGTCAATCCACGACTATCTTGGAGAGTCCGGGCCTACAAGTCTCAGACTGAAAGGCGTGAGGACGTCTGCCAACCTTGCGAGCGACAACCTCTCAAGCCGACTTTCGGCGCCGAGCGGTCAGGCTTTCGCCAACCGCTACGACTTTGGCGCCTCGTTGACGGCCGCCATTCAAACCGCCAAGGATACACTAACAGGAAAGCCCGATGGCCTCTACATGAAACCAAACCGGAGACCCGCCATGCCTGTCGTTAATACCTCCAGCGACACAGTCAGGCCCGGCCCAACGGCTAAGAGCGCTCCGGTCAAGCCAACCATCAACGCCGACGGGGATTCCCCAAGCCCAAGCATCGCTACGGCATCGTATGAGGAGCTGGTCAACAAATACTGCTTTGTACGTTCACCTCGATTCTCTTTCGACTCGACGAGAGGCAACATTTCAACATTTTAATATGACGTGCCAACTAACAGTCCTCGTTATAGTTTGGCTCCAAGCAGCCAAGTCCCCAACTCAAGGATGGCGGTCTGCGCCCCGGTCGCTTTGATGGACCTGAGGACGCCGCTTCTAAGAGTACCACTAGCAGCAGTACGGCAAGCTCCGATGGTAGTCCTGTCCAGATGGGTAATTATCACCATTCACACAGCGGTATCCAGCACCACTCGCTACACCCTCTGGACCCGAACCCCTACTTCCATCACGCAACATCGTTCATACCCATCGGGGCCTCGCCCTCTGAATCGCCACTCACCAGCTTCAGCTCCCAGCGTACGGGAAGCCCCTTGACGACGCAGTCGGGACAGGTTGCCGGCCGGTCGTCCTCCCCAGCGACGTTAGTAGGCAGCTTCGGCCCCTTCGCTGGTACGTCGCCGAATGAGTATCCATACCAGCACTTGCACGATCGTTTCCCGTTCTCTAGCGCGGACGCTCATTCTGCGACAGCGATTAGGGGCTGAGTGACATGGTGGAGGCTGGTGGCCGCTTGTACGAGCTACCGACGTCCAACAACCGCATGCTTTCGACCGCGTCACATCCTCGATCCCTCCGTGACACCAACCCCATTGATGCTGATGTATCTTTCCATCGCGCCACTTCCACACTGTACATTTTTCTCGGGTCACTGCACCGCGGGACACTAATTTATATTTCCGGGATCCTTGGCTTGCTTTTTCTTTGCAGCATTTTCTGTTGGCTGTCTGGCGTTCCTGAATTTTTACTGTTTCTTTATTTTCTTTGGGCATGATGATACGAAACCCTGGGTATATGATGGGGCCTACGGCTGGCTTGTCATGGCCTAGTTCCCTCGGGGGGGGGTTTTTTTTTTCTCGGTGCTTATTGTTCACACTTCGGTTCCGGTACATACGGATGGCTGGGTCCATGGGTCAAAAGGCGTCGGGTTCATTATGCATAATGCCTCTCTTCTCTCGTTCCTGCTGCATTGCGCTGCCGAGCTTGCCTGGAGGGTGAAAAGGGGCATGGCTCTATTTTATCATTTGGCATTTGTGCCACTTTCAGTTGGTTCTCCCAAAACTGCGGAGGAAAAGGGCGAGGAAAGCGGAAGGTTCGGTATTTAGGACTCGGCATACAACCTCTTATCAGACGGGCATGCTCCGGCATAAGCGGGTCCTGGCGCGTGAGACGGTTCAGATCGGAACTCTTCAACGAACACTCCTACTTTGCCCGCCAACAACAATATACGTTTGCTCTGCCGTCTTGTCGTGGGTGTGCCAACCTCACTCTATATTCGGCCGGTCTGTGCTCAGATGCACCTTTGTTTGGGCCGTTTAGGCTCGGCTGGTTGGTGGCTGAACGGAGTGGGTTTTCTTGATGCGGAGCAAGGCCGAGGAACGGTCCGGTCTTTGTTCGGTAGAGAAACGGTCCGATAGCCACGGAGGATAGATGGAAAAGGGCGGATTGGTTAGGGTATTGGGCGCATTGCCGCTTTTAATTGCGGTTTCGAGCTGCTTTCGCCGTCACAAAGCGAGAATGGTCCTTCAATGTTGCACGGCGTTGGAGGTCTGCAGTTCTAGATAAGTACAATGGTTAGGTCGGCAAAAACTTGGGAGAATGGATAGTATAACGAAAAAAGTAAAAAACATTGAGAATCGCAACCAACATTACTCCATCAGATTCGTCGTTTCTTGTGTTCGCCGCCGTCAACATGAAGTGGTGTGCCGCTTCTGTCCGTGGCCTTATTTTGCTAGAGTTGTTAGTTGAGCACCAAGCGCATTGAACCTCGGGTTATCTGGCGTACTGTCTCGATATAACTGAGGCTTAGGAGGCCAATTAAGTACAAGTTAAGTGCCGGTGTCTTGGTAGTCAACAATCTTGGGCTTTTTCTCTGTTTTCCAGCCACGGGAAACAGATAATGGAAAAGTTGAAGATATTTGCAGCGTAATGTGAAAGGGCACTGGGCCGTATGATCAGATCCATTTTTTTCTTTGTGCAAACAATATCGTCTTGTTCTTGCCTCCAGAAACCTGTGCGGCCGTGGGTAGAGGTTCCTCGATCCAAGTTGCTCTCGGCGAGGGGCTGTTCAAAGCACGGAGTCACGTGAATAATATTCCACCCTCAACTTCGACACGCAAACCAACAGAAACTAATATATTCCTCGGTGGTCATAGTAGGCAGGCAGTGGATAGCACAGGTCGCTCAACTCCCTCTCGGTCTTGTGGTCGTTGTGGCCACGACACCTTTACAGGCAGGTTTTGTCAGACGCCCATGCGTTGTCGAAAAGAGATTTTTTGTAAGAGGAACCTTGTGCAAAGAGACAATAAACGTCGATCCCATTTGCATCAATAATTAACAGCTCCGCGTGGTAGTGGGACGCTTTAAAACGCCTCGACAAGCTAGGTAGAGACGTAGCAAAAAGCAAGTATTTACAACCCACATTGTAACCGCAACTTGTCGGAAGAAGCCGTCGAATGCACATTCGAGGCGCCGTTGGCTGGAACCTGCATTCGTGGCGGTGTTGATTTACATACCTGGCCCTGATCAACATTCCAGGGCTTCCCAGGTCTAAGACCCAATTTCATCACAGAGAGTAGGGCACCTAGGCTATGCCCACCTCTCTTGGAACTTCCGAATACAAGCACTCTTTGCACACTTTCTACGCACCGTTGGTTGTGACACAACTCCCAAGAAGAGGAACATTGTAGAAGGCGCTTCATCGACGGTAGTTATCGTACCCCCCTGTCTGCTGCTCGTACTGTTGCGGATAACCGTAAGCATCGTGCCCCTGGTTCCAGCTTCCCACGGTGGTGTAGGGCCCTGGCGTCGACATGGGCGTCGGCGCCCACTAAGCTCGCCGCCGAGGGCTGCGACGAACTCACGGCCGTGCCCGGCGGCGGGCTTCCCGGGGGTGCGTGGTAGCCCGGCTGATACGTCGTCATGGCCGGCAGGGCATCTCCACCAACAGACTGCTGCTGCTGGTAGTCCAGCGCGGCGGCGTCCTTGGCGGCGCGCTTGCCGCGGCGTATTCGAATAGCGACGAAGGCGGCGAGTACGCCGACCGACAGCGCCACGACTCCGGCGCCCACGCCGATGCCGATGGTCGCGCCCCTCGACAGCGGCGCGGCGCGCAACCCCGACTCTGCCTACGACACGTTGTAGCCCATGGCCCAGGCTACGTTGACGACGGCCGACGTCGGCACCGCGGCGTCGGTCGGCGGCCTGGCCTTGGTGGCGAAGGAGCTGAAGCACGGCGTCTGGAACGCAATCCGCGACGTGAGCTTGTAGTAGCCGCTGGTCTAGTTGGAAGTCGCTTGTTAGCTCTCTCTCTCTGTTTCTCGTGCTCGATGTTTGTCCCCCCCCCCCCCCCCCCCCCCCCCCCCCCCCCCCCCCCAAAAAAAAAAAAAAGGGGGTGCACGATCCCACTCACTTTGGACGGCACTGCCCGGACACAGAGTAGTAGTCATCCGGGCACTTGGAGAGCTCAGCCAGCAGCCCACTGGCGGGCACGGGGAGCTGGCCGGAGGGGGGGGGGCGGCGACGTGGTTGCCACCTTCTCCCATGTCAGTGTCGGGGCCTCCGCCCGCGCCGCCGCGGCCCCCGCGGCCGCTGACACGTTCCACGGACAGCACTCAGGTCTATTAGCCTGGCAACCGACAAATAGCGCCTGGTAAACCATGTTGCCCTCTTGCACGAGCGTGTACGCCGGCGTGCTGCACCCGCCGGCCAGCAGCTGGCCGTTGCCATTGTACGTGGGCTGGGCGACGCTGCTGGGCGGCAGCGAAATGGGGCCTGCTGGTGTCACGACGGAGACGGGTCTGGAGATGGGGCGGGTTAGCTGCTTCTGCGGCTTTTGCTGCTGTTTACAGATTTTTCGGTTACGAGGGGGAGGGGGCTGATCGATTTAGACCGAGGTGCTAGAGAAATGTCAGCAGCTAAGCAGGACCGCGATGTTGCTCTTGGACTAAGCATAAGACAATACTTGGGACTCATGGTTGAGAAAGAAGCGACATGACCGTCGCAGGGGGCGTAGCACACGACTTTCAGAACCACGACCGCTCGTAGGCGTCCCAGTCTGCTCGGATGCACGTTCGTCAGGAAAACTGCCCAGGGACTTCATGGAACTTGTCTGCTAGATATGCCCGTCAGGCAAGGCGTGATGTACTCACCATTGGCGCCCGCGACACTAGAGCAGCTCGAGGTCGCGATGGCGGCGGAGACGCAGCCCAGATACTGGACGCCGTCGTTGCAGTTGCAGAGTCCGGCCGACGTGCTCGCTAGACAGCTCCTGTAGGCGCCGTTGGAGCTGCACGTCTGGAATGCGCTGAAGCTCTGTGTGTTGACGACGTGAGAAAGATAGTCAGCGTGGACTAGAGGGATGATTACAGAGCATGACGCACCGAGCAGTCAAGATTTGGCACGCTCGATAAGATGGTGCTGCTGCTGCTATACCGCGGAGCGATACCTCGGAATACAGGTAGAAAGGAGGCGGAGATCGGGGTGTGCGCGGCCATCGCTGGCGGCTGGTAGACGGTGGCCGCCATGCCTCTCGACTGTATTTACAAGACAACGAGATCCGGATTAAGTCGTTGGAACAAGAGGTAGGTTAGTTCTGGATGCCACACTTTTGGAGATGCCAGACATAGTTTCGAAACACAGCCCAGAAATTCGTCTGACGAAATCAGGCGCTCGGCTTGTTTGGCAACGATCCGCTCCTCGCGACAGTTGATTGCGGACGGGTCGCCGGGGCGCTTCGGCTACGTGGTCGCCATCGACACTAACGAGAACGCAGCCCACGACGACCCGCCGTGGGACGGCACCTTTAAGGCCGCCGTTGACGACCTGTTTGACGAGTTCTACCTGCGCGCCATTGGCTTCAACGGCCCGAATGGCACATACACCGGTGCCACGCCCTTCGACGCAGATAACTCGCATACGATGGACATGGAAAGCGATGCCGACACGTCAGGAGACGTCACTACAGGTAAGTGTCCATAAAGCTAGAAAGTGCCATGCGTGTGAGCTATGCAACCGAAAAAGTGTACTGCCGCCGTCGATTCTTTTCCTGAAAGAAAATGCGACCTGTCTTGGCCTCCTTATCCGGGACGAAGACCTTGTCAAACTTCGCCACCTTGACACCGCCCTTGACGTCAAACCGCTGACACCCTTTCCAAAACGCCCACTGATCCTCAAATCCCTGCGCCGATCCTATCTTGAAGATCCCACACCGCTTGAACTGGCCGCTCTCTCCGCCGTCCATCTTCAGCACCAGCCCGTTGACAGAGCGATACATGTCCATGTCAAAGATGTCGACCGCCTCCCACTCCGTCACCGCATACACGGGCAACAGCCAGCGCTGCTCTTTTGTTCTGTGCTCGGGCACCACGTCGTAGCGGAGCTCAGCCTGGAAGGACGCGTCCTTGTTGCCCCTGATGGACGAGACGACGGCTTTGGTGCGAGGGTCTCCGTAAAACCTGGAGTAACTAACTCGGCTTCCGGAGCCCCTCGACCATCCACTGCCCGACACTCTGAGCGGCCACATGTCTCCGTTGTCTTCGGGCAGAGGGTCTGGTATCCATGGATCTTTGGCCCTGCGCTCAGGTTCGTCGTCTGCTCTAAATTCGCGCGCGGCGCCTTTCCAAGCCGCAGCCTCGGACTGTGTGACGAAGAACATGGGGCACAGGTAGCCACGGACCTGCAAGGCTTCGCGACTGGCGGAGGGCGTGGTCTCCGGCGTTGTCCCGAGTGTCGTCTTGTTCAAAACCTCGCACAGGACCCTCTCGTTCAGCTGCTCAGGCTTCAGCCGTCGCGTGATTTCCTCGTTCGTTGTCTGGTCCCACTGTGGCAGCACAGACACAGGCCCGACGATGGACGCCCACGACCACGACGGCGCCACGTGGGTCTCGGGCCGCGAACTGGTCTTGGTATCGTCGACCTCCCACAGCAGCTGGCTCTCCATGTCGCGCCCGAACAGCCCCGCCGAGTACTCGCAGCCGAGGAGGTCCTTGATCTTCATAGCCACGCCATACAGCGCAATCAGCCGGTCCGAGTTCTTGGTCAGCTTGCATGCCGAGTACGCGCGGACGACGGGCTTCCAGATGTCCACCATCTCCTGGCCTCTGAGGCCCGTCGCGGCAGCCGATCGCAGCACCGTCTCCAGCGCGGTGCCGCGGAGGCTGAGCCGTGGCGGCACGAGGTCTCCGACGCCGTGGGGGAAGCGCTCGCAGGCCGTCAGCTCGTTGCACTCCCACACGAGCTGGTCGCTGTCGAAGTGCAGCACGCGCGGCGAGAGCAGGCGCTCCTGCAGCACCCAGGCGCGCCGGTTGAGCGGCGCCTTCTCGAACCGCTCCCACCAGAGGCTCACGTCGGTCAAGTATAACTCGCCATTCGGTTCACCGTAGTCCATCTTGAGGGGCGCGATGATCTGCGGGTTGCGCGACCGGAAACAGCCGCCGCGGCCGTCGCTCGAATCAGTGGCGGCTATGTTGATGTGGGTGTTTCCGTACACGTGCTGCATCAGCACGGCCTCGCGGGCCCAGTCGTCGGCCGAGTCCTGCATGATGCAGAAGCAGTCGATCCAGATGTAGTCGATCCCGAGCGTGCGCACCACGCCGACGGCTTCTCGAAAGGTCTTGGCGAGCGTGCTCAGCGCAATGCCGCGCTGCGTCAGCTGGTCGATGTTTGTCGTGAGCAGCTTGTGCTGCAGAACCAGCCCCCAGCAGTGGCTCAGGGTCGCATACGCTGTGTCCTTTGGGATATCGCCCTTCTCGCAAAGCCGGATCGTATCCGGATCGTTGGGCACCGCGACGTGAAGGAGCCGTGTAGGTACGTATCCGTGGGATGGGCCTCTTTCGCGTTCCTGCCGACAGGATGCGTGGGTCTCGCTGCAGATTCTCAGCCACTCCCTGGCGCAGTTGATGCTTAGCTTAGAACCGGTGTTGGAGTCTATCGCCACAGGTTGGATTAGATGTTCGAGGTCTTTTGCCGGGCGGAGGACGTAGCGCAGCGGCGTGATGGACATTGGCACGAGGAAGATGGGCGCGCTTAGAAACTCGCTCATGGTGAGATAGATACGAGCTTTGGTGCCAAATACGGAGGTAAAGTCGTCGAGAAGACTAATATTTGCGTGGAAAATGGCGCAGGCGTGGCACCCGGCGTCGGCAGATTCCTTAATCTCGGCGACATCTCTCTCAATACCGCCCGTTCCCACTTGAAAGGGCAGAGAGGCCAGCGTACCTCTGCATGTTTCGCAGAGTTGATCTTGGCATTCGAACTTTGGCGGAGGATCGCTTTTGCGCTTGGCAACATCGGTGCCCGTTCTTTCAGGCCGGCTTGCTATTTGAGCTTCCTCTTTTTGTGTCGGCCGGGTTTTGCTCAGTCCTTTTGACTGGGAGTGACCCATAATGTGGGGTCCTTCGATGATCTGCTATGCTAAGATTGTAGCTAGGAGTCTGGAGACAGTAGGTAGTTCCTTCCTGGAGTTGAAGGGTTGAAACCCGATGAGGATTGACGAGCAAGCGAGTGGGCGTCCCATGGACATGACCCCACACATCCGCTACCTGAAGCCAATCATGGTAGACATTTTCATGCCACATCACCAAAGATACCTATCAATAATCGATTCAGATTGGAGGAATCGCAGCCACAGCCAGTACAGACACGCCGTTCACGGAATGTGCCCCGGCAAGTAGCTGCACCCAGAAACCGGTTCGAAACAAATAGAACACCGAATTTGAAGTGCAGGGGTGACGACCTCTGAAGGCTGATGGCTTTTTGAGGGCCGAAAATGCAAGTTCAGCTCGGGTTGTGCTGAAAGTCGTACGTCTTGCCAACCAAAACCAGGGTTAGGTTACATCAGCCCACTCCAGAACCTAATACTGTATGCAAGTTGGGCCTCATTTGATGCCAATCGTGGTTTCCGTGACTACCTCTATAGCCAAATGGATGCGTCAGTCTCAAAAATGCAAGTTCAGCTCGGGACTGTAATTACTGAAAGTCGTACGTCTGCCAGTCAAGCACCGGGGCTAAGTCGCATCAACCTGCGCCAGGGCTAAATGTTGCATGCAGATCGGCTTTGTTCGATAGCCATGGTGCAGTGAGAATGATTTGAGGCCCAAGGCGAACTCTTGACCTCTTTACGGGCACGACAACTCAGAGCCTCGTGGGATATCAGAACTGCAATTACGGGTAGAAAAGCTCATCACAACCCCCGCCCCAACATCCTCGAGGAGCCACAAGCACACCACGACGCCGAGACAGCACAATCTTTCCAACTTGTTCCCCACCAACCACATCTACTAGCACCGACAAGCCCACCGGCCATGCCTCTCAAGGATGGGATCTACTACATCTCCAAAAGCACGGCGCCCAAGTCCAAGGTGCTGACGGCGCCGTCCTTCTCATTCAAGAAGAAGACTAGCCAGGACACGCAGAACCAGATCTTCCGCGTGAAGCACCTCACCGGCCACACGTACCACATCTACGGGTCCAAGAAAATCCGCATCGTAACCTTCCCCATCTTGGCGGGGGGCCCGAGTCTCGAATCGATTGACCAGGGCGAAGACGAGCCGGCGGCCAACTTCCTCATCTACGAGGATAAAGAGTAAGGCACCTCTCTTCCATTTGATGACAACTACTGCCCCGTTTGCAATTTCGGATAACCAATGATTAATTCTAAAAAAAAAAAAAAAGCGACGCCTTTGCTGGAGGATCATATCACTCGTGCACGATCGCGCCTTCTTCGACTCTGCTTGGAAATTGGCTCGATCACGTGTATCTCATTTACCTAGGCCGCGCCTCGGATGACTACTTTGACGACGCTGAGTGAGGTACGGGCGGCAGATGGATTTCGGCCGCGTGGTTGCTGCTTTTGGGCAATTAACGCGTCGTTTGAGGACGTGAAGTATCGCAGTTGTCTCTCTATAAGTAATAGTTTGGAACATGATCGGTCGGCTTTGAGTCCGGAAATTTGCCTGGGACATGCCGAGCTCGGTGGTTGCGGGTTTGTTGAGATAATTCAACTTAGATAAGCTTTGAAAGTGTTAAATGCGCCCCTATTCACGCAAACCTTTGACATCCTTCCGTCTCATGCACACATAACAAACAGTGCGAGCGGATATTCCGCGGTCTATAATGGCTACACCTGTGTGGGGACACTGAACAAGGGCCTTGTGTTTGTTAGGCTTTCTGACCACTAATCACGTAGAGAGAAGAATGTCCAAGAGAAACACTGGAAAAATACGAAGTCAGCATAGGCCCCGTCATACAAATCCAGATTCGAGAAAAGTCTATTCACACGTAATCAGCTTCACCCTCACAAGAATTGGGACAAGTTCATTTTTGGGTTTTGGCCTTCGTCATGACTGTACACTAATAAATTGGGAACGCACTGCATTGCGAGTCTGGCCTAGGTTCCGTTCAAGAGATTGTAGCATGACTGTAATTCGCTAACACTAGCGTACTAAGTCACTATTTCCTCAATCCTCTCTTTTTTTTGTTTTCGTTTTTGTCTTGCTTCTCTCATTTATCCATTTCCAGCATGGAATAGGTCGCCAAAGTCCAAGGCGACATTATGTGCCTGCACATGAAAACCCCATGGACCCGACCAGGCGGGGCAATGAAAAGGGGGCGAACAGCGGAAGCTCACGAAATCTTGTAATACCAGACAAGATGGCATGGAACAAACACCGCCTTATCCTGCCATAAATTTGAAGAGAAAGCCGCAGCCACACAGCCCCACAGCCCCACAGCCACACACCAGGTGGGCGCAGACGTGATATTAGGTCTCCTTGTCCTAGGCGGCGGCGACCTTGACTTTGATTGATTTGTGAAAAACGGCCAGTGTTGCCTTGTGAATTGTATAGACCAAAAGTTCACCTTCGCCCTTTTTCGTGGTAATGGAAAAGGTAATCTTGGTTTCTTTGACAGTTGGCATGGCCAGAAAATCCGGTCCCTCTGCCATGTGGAGGACAAAGTTGTTGGCCAAGAGATTGGGAAATGAAATATGAGGCGGGGGGTTTCTTTGCAAGGGCAGGAACAGCTGATCACCCGCCTTCTCGGGCTCCAGATTGGGGATCACAGCCAGGCTTTCGGCAAGGCCGGCGGTAATGTGGGCGCACAAGTCGCGTGCAATGGTGAAGATCTGCTCAGGTGTCACACCAAGAGATGCCACGGGAACCTCATTCCCGCTAGTGGTGCCAGTGGGCAGCTTGGCCATGTTGCTATTGCTCTCCAATGGGTGCAGGTTCAATGCCGCTGCCGGCCCTGTCGCATCCGCACTGCTTTGCCTCGCTGTCTTGCGGTCGCCGCGGATTTTGAAATATATGTTATTTTGGCACACAGCGGCGACTGTGCCCTGCTGGTACGAGTACTGGCCGAGCTGCAGGTCCTTCCAGTCTGACATGTCGTGGGGGATAGCTTGTTGGGTGTTGAAATTATCCTTGAATGCGGTCTGTGCCCTGGCTGCGGTCGACGCGCTCATGACGTCCACGTGGATGGATGCATTCCAGCCGGTGCCCTCTATTTGATACGCCACCCGCACGGCCACAGGGGCTTTGGCTTCGAATTCGGCATCGAGCTCACGGACAACTTTGGCGGTAGCTGCTGCTGCAATTGTCTTCTTGACCACTGCGAGCAAGGATGCGTTGTTTAGAGTAGCCGTGTTCACCTTCTTGCTCTCGGCGGGGTTGGTAGTAGCGGCCCTTCTGAAGAGAGTATCGGGGGTGATGGTTGCATTGGACATGGTGGACGATGCTACTAGTGTATTCGACCAAGACGTGATCTGGAAATTACCTAATAAAGGTAGGTAGGTAGGTAGGTAAAGGAGGATGGATGTCAATGTCTTGATCGGGCTGTTGCAGATGGATGGCTTGGCTCAGGACAGGACAGGACTGGAGACTGGACGGGAAAATGGCAGTCTCTTATATGTAGTTATGCACCCGACCGAGAAGTGTGCAATCCAGCGTCTGTTTGGTTTAGAGCGGCTTCTTGTTTGAGGAGGCTCACGCCGGCTAGCCAGCTAGCCTGTTACAGGGACCTGCCCGTGTTAGATCGAACAGCAGAGCGTCATTGTGGATGTGATGCGCAGCGGTCAGCCGCCGACATTGCCGTTGCCGCGTCACGTCACTTCTTTTCTTAGACAGTTACCTCATGTTTGTTCGACGAATTTTCCTGCCGTCATCAGTTTCAGGTGCCGTAAACAGAAGTTCACAGTTGACGGCAACCTGGCAGGGAAGATCGATCTCAGTCAGGTAAGACAGTTTTTTATGTACGGTTGGGGGTGGGGGTGCGCGGTGGGATTGCGGGGGCGCGGGGAGAGATTGACGGGGTGCCGTATGGATTACTCATCGGCAGGCGTTCGTGTATCGGAGACAGTCGATGCGTGGGGTGGATGGACCAAAAGGACGCGGCAATTGGGTCATCGTACCTAGGTACCTCAGGCGCCCCATTGCAAGCATAAGCTCAACACTTGCACCGCGCGCTGTGCCGACGACTCGCTTCGCTTCGCTTCGCATTGTCGTTTGCTTCGCATTGTCGTTTGCTTCGTATTGTCGTTTGCTTCGCATTGTCGTTTGCTTCGTTCTTACATCGTTAGAGCTGACGCCGATAGCAGTGCCGTCTACTGAAACCAAGCCAAGACTGGGTCTCACGCGATATTTGTATTTATAGATACGGAATACCGACTAAAAACAAAGCTAAGCCTAATCTTACGTGATACCGGTATTCACAATCTTGTTCCAGTCAGAGCCGACTTAGGCAACACCGAGCAAAGGCAGTCACGGCTGGCCTGGCCGCAGGGGCGCGCGGCAGCAAGGGCCCTGGCAAGACCCAGTGCGGCGAGGCTTTTGGTTCAAAAATCAGTTCCGCTCGACCTGCTGGCTTCTCCCCGTGTACGAGGCTACTTGGCCAAGGCGTCATGCCGCTCGCAATGGCAAACCAACAGATCGAATATATAAAAGATCCTTGCGCGGGCGTCAGTTTTCTCGACATGCCTCTCACACCTCATAGCCACTCAAAGCCGATACCACAATCACGCCACATCTCCTGATCTGACACCCTATCTCTTCTCTTCTCGTTCAACTCCTGTCTCTGAGCCTGTCGGAGCCATGTCTATCCCCTTGGAAATTAGAAAAATCGAACGGTACTATGAAGGAGACGACTTGTATCTGAGCTGGGGCTTCGGTACAGACAAGAAGTTCCCAGTGAAGGAAAACGATCACGCCATCTTCCCCGCCAAGCGACAGGACTTCATGGGAGCATCGGAAACGGGCAAAAGTCTCCCAGCAATCTTCATGTACAATAAGCAGGGCAGTACTGAAACTCGATTCCCAATCAGCGTCACTGGAAAAATAGCTTTCCCCGCCGGAGCTAAATTCAAGCTTCAGGGCACCATGGGTCACTTCCTAGTACAGAGCGCGACCTTTGACCGACCCGCAGCCACTGAAAATGGTGTTTTCACGGCCGATAACTTCAAGCATGTCATTGGGCAGTCAAGTCGAGCCGACTCTCCCTTCAAAGTCGAGGGTGATTGGGCGTGGGAGGTGCTTTCAGAGTCTTCCGGGGCTCCCATCTCTGCCAAGACAACCACCCCCCTCGAGCTATATTTTGCCCTTGGCCTTGACGCCACCAAGTCCAAGCAAGCAGCCGCGAGAGCCTACTACACTGAGTTGGTCCGCTTCTGCTTCCCAAAGTACGACGATATACACGAGAAAGCGTGGGCCGATGTCGAGATGAATGTCCTCAAGAACACCATCTACGCACTCTGGGACCATGGTGGTACTAATTTACAATACGACTGCCTCTATGTGAACAATGGTGCTTGTTCCCACTTTTTTAACAAAGATCTCAGGCTCGAAACCATCCTCCGCCGGACGATACATACGGTCAACTGCTACGACCTTGCCGCTCTTACCATGACAACCTTCCAATCCCTGGGCAACCGGCCGAGTACCGATGCGACCAAACCGGCCCCGGTTCCCGTCGTCAATAAACTGCGACTGAAGGTCATGAACCCCTGGGGCTACATAAAGCTTTGCAGGTTGTTTGGGCATACCAATGCTTGCAATAACCCCTTCTGGAAGGGCAGGTTCGCCCCCCACCCTAACCCGTTCAGGGGCGACCGACGGGATGCCGACCCCGTGGTCGAAAAAATGGATATACACCGGACATACTTTGGCAACCATTGCTTCGTCGTCTTCCGGGACAGAAGAGGCGAGGAGATGGCATTGGACAATTGCTGCGGTTTGCTCGGAGAGTTGTCCAAAATCCTCCTAGCAGTCGGTACTCTCAATGCACGAGCGTACAAGGCTACTAGCACGGAGGATGGCGCTCGCACCGCGGATATCGCCCTGCGGCCAAATAGTACGTGATTCTGCCATTACAAGCCGTCACGTGCAAACATTCCTGACCGCCTTTGGCCAAGAGCCCTTTTGCAATGAGAACCTCTGACACATTGGCCTACTGGCTAACTGATTTCTTCTCTTACAGGTGACGATAACCCCATGGCTGAGCTGAAGACCGTCAGTGGCTGAATTCTAACCCCCAGACAATGGCGCCAAACGGCTTGGCCCACCTCGCGGTTTACCAAAAGGGGAGGACGAGAGTAAGGGCCCGAGAATGATAGGCGTCGCAAAAGGGAAATGCTGGTCGATTCCCCGAGTTTGACACTCGCGAGTTGGTGTTGGATTTCCCTCTTTCCCCCTCCCCATGTTGCTGTGGTTAATATAGGAGCCGCGCTCCTGCTCACATGTGCTCGTAAATAAAAGGGAAAGAGGCCATGAAGCTAGTCTTTTATGCCAATTGACAGAGATATCAGAGGCCTCGAAGCTGGTCTTGTTTGGCTATTGATAAATAACGAAGTGAATTCAAGCTGGTCTTATACGCCTGTCACCTAATGTGACTCGTTGACACTGCTCTCCCGTACCGTGTGACACAGATATCCCCCGTCTTAACAACATTTGCGCACCCTATAGAGATACAGTCAGTAGACGATACATGCCGCGCTGGAATTGAGGCCTGGGCATGACATGTGATAGAAACCTCCCTGGCAAAAGCTATTCCGGGGTGATTTGATTTGACGGAGCCCCTACCAGCAATTGCCCTTGTTCAGGAACTTTACTGTACATCCGTGGATGATGCGCTTGTTGGACTTGCCAACGGCGATCACGGAGAGGATAGTTTGCAAGCATCAACTTTCAATAAGGCCCTAAATAGACCTAATTACTTATTTCTCCTTACTTCCTGCCAAACTTTCTAAATAAAGATTGCCCCCCAGATCGCCAGGACAGGACCTTGGGCTTTCTTGCGAATTTCCGAGTACTAATGATGTCGCTTTCTCACCTCAATGTCAGATGCAACACAATGTCGACACACGCACGTTACTAACAATCACCATAGAAATGGCAGAGCTCAACGAACCAACCGAGCAAATGTCGTGACATTACGACAGCATGTCCATGGCCTCACGGTGATGGGCCATGCTTTCGATAGACTCATCGACGACATCGGCGCGCGAATCTAGTAGAAGCCGGAGGGCCAGAACGACCAAGTCTTCGAGGTCAACAAGCTACTGGACGAGTAACAGCTCCTCCTGGAAGGAAAGCAAATGCTCATAGAAAATATCACAACAAAAAAAAAGCAACGCTCAAGCAGGTGGTCGAGGAGAGGCTGAAGCCCATTGAGAAGCGCCTCTGTGAGATCGTAGCTGCGGAAGCCAGGCGAACAGAACGCCTCAAGGAACTCAAAGCCGAGGTTGCCGAGTTGCAGGATATGTCAGAAATGTCAGATATGTCCAACTTGGAAGCGGGAGAGCAGGAAGATTATTGAAGTGACGGCACTGAGTAGCTAGGCATAGGGTCAAGGAGGAACTAAAGAGTTATGACGGGTTTGGCAGCCCAGAACGCAAATCCCGCCCATAACATGATAACTGGAAAACAAACCAGCACCCTTCCCTAAGCTGTTGTCATCGCAAGCGCATATATGCAACAATCCCAGTCTCTTGAACGATGCCGGCGGCAAGAGCCTTTTATCTGATTCAAAGGCTTGGCACCAGCCAATAGCGTGCATCCATTTTCGCAAATCTTCATACACAGCTTCATTACGCCGCAACCTTGATGACGATTTTCCCCTTGGCCCGTTTCGTCGCGAGTTTCTCCATTGCCTAGAACACGTACGCAGTAGTCAGCAAAATGGCCGCCCCTGGGAGAAAGAAAGAAAAGAACGCACCTCGACAACCTCCTGAAACGAAAAAACAGAATCGGTGGGCGCCTCCTTGATGGACCCGCTCTTAACCAGCTTCGCAACCTGCTTGGCGATGGCGCCGGCGGGAGACAGGCCGATGATGTCGAAGCGGCGGGGGGTGCCGCCGAGCAGGACGGGCAACAGCTTGTGTTGGACAAAGGGCACTACACCCTGGCTTCTCCCACCAACAATGGTCAGGAACCTGCCCGCGGGCTGCAGGTACTTGGGCGACTGGTTGAACAGCGCCTGGCTGCCGGCGCAGTCGATGATGACGTCGAGCGGTTTGGCGGCGAACTTTTCTGCGAGGAACGTCTCGAGAGGGCTGTTGGTCTGGTAGTCGATTACCTGTGTTGTCTCGTGTTAGCTGATCCCAGGTCCCCGCCACAAGGGGGACTGAGAACACACCTCGTCGGCTCCCAGCCGCGTCACCATTTCCGCGTTCGCGCCCGAGCACACGCCAAACACCTCTGCGCCCTGCGCTTTGAGGATCTGCACGACAAGGGATCCGACGCCGCCGCTGGCGCCGTTGACAAGGGCGCGCTTGCCAGGGCCGACGGCGGCAGCGACGGTGACGATCTCCGCCGTCTGGCCGGCAATGCCGAATAGGCCCGCAGCCTCGACGTCGCTGAGCTTGGCAGGCACGGCGGTGACGAGGTGCGCGGGGACGAGGACGTACTCGGCGAGCGAGCCCTTGCCGAAGGCGACCTGGGCGACGCCCATAGCGCCGGCGACGCGGGTGCCGGGGGCGGTGAGCTTGGGGGGCGCGGCGGGCCCCGCGGCGACGACCTCGCCGGCGAAGTCCATGCCGGGCGTCGGCGCGCGGCGGAACGGCAGCCACGTCGGCAGCACGTTGATAAAGTGCGCATCGGCCGGGTTGATGGCCGCGTGCGACACCTTGACCAGCAGGTCGCTGCCCGTCGTCGGCGCCGCCGGCACCGCCACGCCCGTCTTGAGCTGCAGCGCGTGCCGCGGCGCTCCCCTTCTGGCTACTACCCACGCCTTCATTGTCTGCGGCAGCGGCGTTGTTGGTGTCGCCGTCGCCATGGTCAGAGTGGTTCTTTCTTTCAGTTCGACTTGATCAGCGAAATAATTGGTGATTATTGGCAGATATCCGCCTCTGACAATCTGCAGTAATCTTCCGACCAGCAAAAAGTTATTCGTTGTGATGAGATGCTGCTGTTGTGCCAGCGGCTTTGAGGTTGAAGGAATGTGGAATTCGACGTGTCATGACATCAGAAACTCCAAAAGTGCATGTCGTTATGTCCATGGCGTTACGGAGTAGCCTGAAACAGATTGCTGGAACCAAGCGCTGATTGGGACGAGCGCTGAAACAGTCTGGCCGTCGGGCCAATACACCACCGGTGGGGGGATTGATGGGCCGGGAGAAGGGCTCTTGTCACGCCTTTCAGCGCATCATTAAATCCGCGGCTTGCGTTTGAAGAATACGCTTATTCGTCTATTGAAAAGTACATGGACCGTTGGTTGGCAGTTGGGACTAGCTCACGGCATTTGATCGACAGTCTGTCCGGGAAGCCGAACCCCGGTTCACCCTGCATGTCCAAGGTGACATACCACTACCGCTACCACTCCGCACCAGTACTACACACGTACAGAGTATGGCTCCGCTGTAAAGTATCCAGCGGTCATAGAAACAGGCCATCCACTTCCACGGTGGTGGTGGATCAAGCAGCCAAAACGGTCAACTCGGACCACATATCGTGACTCTACCAGATGCACTTAGTGCTGGTGACAAGACAATATTTGCCACAACTCCGAGGCAAGACCTCGAACGCCCCTTAAGCCACGCCCAAATCCCGGTACGTTATCTGTACAAGAAACCCCAGAACAGAAGAAAAGCAAAGGGTATGCGTATGCCACAGGAAACCCCGATAAACGCCACTGCTACGACAGCCGTCCCGATAAATGCTGCTGCTACGACAGCCGTCCCGATAAACGCCGCTGCTACGACAGCCGTCACCCAACGCCGCGAATTCAAGACTGCCAGCCGACACAGAGAATAAAAACAGAAAGGGATCGAAGATACATTCACTCATGTCACTGACATGTCACTACACAAAACTAAACCTTGCTTCATCGAGGCGGGTCTCGGGCCGTCCTTACGGCTGCCTTGCTGAGCGTTGGCGTGCTCAGGTCGCCCTCTCCGATTGGGTCATCCACGGGTACCGCCTCCCAGCGCTTGTGCGGGCTGTTCATACCCACCCACAGGTCGGTTGGAAGGAACTCGCCAACCTCTTGGCGGAAGTGCTCGCGCTCCTTGCGGTCTGTGTCGATGAGCTTGTCGACCGTCTCCTTAGCCTTGCGCCAGACGTTCTGGATCTTGTCCTCGACGGACCGCCGCCGCTCTGCCTCGAGCAGCAGGCTGCCGTACGCGCTGGCATAGCCGTCGTAGAAGTACCGCAGTCCGTCCATCTCCTCGAGCTTGGAGAAGATGATGTCCTTCTCGTTCTCCCAGCGGTCCACAAACTCGGTCTCCGAGTCCACGTAGCTCTGCAGCCGCGACCCAAGGCCCTCTAGAACCTGGAACCCGGCGATTGTGCTGGTGTAGACAGCCTTGATGTGGTCCGCCTGATCCTTCAGCGTCCCGAAGCCGTACTCGAGCCGCTGCAGCATGGCCTGGATATCGGCCGTGACGTCGTCCACCTCAGGAGCGTCCTGCATCACCACCTGCACAATCTCGGCCCGCTCGCGCGGGTCCATGGGCTCCAGCTCTGCTATATGCGAGTCTTGCTCGGCAATGATGCCGGATATGGACACGCCGTTGCCGTCCTCTGATACCTCGGCCGCCCTACGGCGCGCCAGGGCTGCGCCGCCCTCCGTTGTCCGAACAGCCGTCACGCACATGTCGAAGTGCCTATTGAGCGAAGCGAGATGCTCGGCCATGGCACCAGACTGGTCTACGAGGTCGGCAAGGAGGTGGGACATATCCTGGTGGGTAGAAGAAGACGACGGCGACGCCGTGGATGTGGCTGCTGTCATGGCCTTGGTGAGGTTACGGAGGTCGGTCTCGAAGCGGAGGAGGTCGCCGTCAAAGGACGTTTGGATAGCCTGTCATTAGTCGGCGGTCATCATTAGCTTGTCACCCTGTATAAACGTTATCGTAGTAGTGGAGAGTGGTGACTCACCTGCAGCTCTGCGAGGCTCGTCTTCAGCGCATCGCGCATGGTATCCACGCTCTTCTCGTCGACAAAGTCCATCAGGCACTTTTTTTCCTCACCGGCCGGCCGGAAGGCACTTTCCACGACCGTATCCCGCAGCACGGCCATTGTCTGCTCGAGCTTGCTGTTGGCGCTGTCGAGGGTGCGGATAAGCTGGGTGAACTCGCGGCGGCCGCCGTCACGGGCGCGCAGCATGCCGCGGCGCACCTGCCTCAAGATGCGCAGCTGCTCGGAGATGCCCTGGCGCACGAATCCAGCCTGCGCATTCAGTACGACCGCCTCCTCGTGCATCTGCCGTGCATGTGTGGCGAGGTCGTTGGCGCGGAGGACGAGCGTCATCGACGAGAGCGACTGCTTCGCCGCGAGCAGGTGCTTGACGAGCACTTCGACCGAGACATCGTCGGCATTGAACTCGGCGGATTCGGCATCTTGGGCAGAGGCAGGGCGCGAGCGCGGTTCGGACGACGAGGCTGGACTTGCAGACCGGACCATTGCGGCGGCGGGTTCGTTGGAGATGGGTTGGGTTTGGGAGTCGGCCCGCAAATGGCGGGAGTCGGCTCGTAATGGTGGGAAGAGAAGCTGTCAAAAAAGTATTAAAAATATCAATGGGTAGAATGAAAGACGCCGAGTGCTGTTGGCCTCGTTTTGCAGCCAGTCTAAGGCATCTTTGTTGAAAAGACTTGGCTGGCGGGAGGGAGAGCAGAATGACGAAAGATGAAAGAAGGCTTCGCTGCTGGGGGCGTGCCTAGAGCTTGGGAAGCTCCCCCCCTGTACCCGAGTTAGCTCGGCGCCGGCGTGATGTCAGGGTCCAGTGGCAGCGAGTATGTACCTAGCGCACGGGCCAAGATGCGGAGCTCATATCGCTATCTGCAGTGCCTGCTAAGGCGAAGCCAACCCAGCGGCCATCAATTGACGTGGACTTCCAGCCATGTAAGATGGCTCCCGACTCCGCTCCAACACCAGCTGAGATGGCCTGTCAATTCGACTCTCGAGTTCCATCCAGCGATGTCGAAAACAGCTGCAGCCGATGGACGACCGGAGCAGCCCCGCTGTTCTGGTCCTCAGCAGACTCGAGCCGCACTAATGGAAGACCATCCCTGCAAACTCAGTTGCTGATCAGCGCCTCCACGCGGGCGTTGACGGATGTTGACGCACACGCGCGGTTTTTTCCCGCGGTTATCGGGCCATCAACCGGACTGAGCCTAGTATATTAGCTGCTCGAACGACCGAAACGGACTAAGCCCACTCTACCTGCGCAGACCATCCTTCGCGGCCCAAGGAGACGATGACATTGGGACGAATCTCGAGGTCGCGTTGGCTAATGCGCTCTGCCGGCTCAGCCATCCGACGGTCTATCAAGACTCTTCTTTCTCATCGAAATAGGGGCCTGTTTTCTTCGTTTGCCCTTCAAGGCACATGTGTTCAGCCCGAACCGACGCGATTACCGGCCCGAGAAACAGCACGGCGAATGCTACCAATGGCTGTGGGGTCAAATTTCGTTTGCATTTGCCTTTGTCAACACGATACATGCCGGGAGACGAGATGGCAAGCAAGATCTTCGTACTTATGGCTGTTGAGCTAGAACGCAGCTTCGAGACCGAGAGAAGCCGGCCTGGAAAATGTAGCATCGAGACGCGGTGTTCGGAAGAACCCCTGAGGGATGCTGGTAGTGCGCATCTCGACAGTTCCCTAAGCATTTAACATAAACACAGCCTCTCGCTTAACTCCGTTGCTGCCTAAGCATACTCGATCGCGCACGGGATCAGGCATCTCCCCGAGAAAGACGGCTGCGGTGAATGTAATGTGCAATTGAGGGTCCAAAACGGAGGAAACACTATGTATCTAGGTGTTGGCTAACGGTGTAGCTGTCGATGCTACACTATAGAGAACGCTACAAATCTGCAATAATGATATCTACGGGTATGCGAGGTGTGTGATGGAGTATGTGCCCGCTATCATTATTCACCTCTTACTTCCTGTTCGGTGGAGTTGGTGGCCGCCAGGGTTGCTCGATATCCTGCTCTTCGGCATCTCTCTCTTCGACATTTTCTTTCTCGACATCTTCCTCCTCTCACAATCTGTGAAACTTCTGGTATTCGTATTCGCGAATTGCCAGTCTCCACTTGTCCTGAGAGGCATAATCCAAGATGCCAAGTCTCTCAGCTTCGTCCAAATCTTCTTCCCACTCACTCGGGATGCGTACATTATCGAGTTCTAGTCCAACTGTACTCCCCGGAGGTGGGCCACCGAAGAGAGTTCTCAGGGCGCCGGCGGCTTTTTGGGCCGCTATGATGGTTTGAACTGCATAGCGGAGCTGGAGATATTCAAAGCACGGGAGGGTCGCTTCTTCGGGTCGGTAGTAACGAGCTTGTATAAGTCGCCATGTTGTATGCGCCTGTACGGATCCTCGTGAACGTCCACCAACTCAATGGAAAAGCCCTCTCTTGGGCGGTTCGATGAAAAGCCGATCTCAAAGTGAAGCTCTTTGAATGCAACCACCTGAAGGAAGAGAATATGGTCTGGGTCGGCCGAATGCTTAATAGGACGAAGGCCAAACTCATGCATGTCCCTATAATATGTACATGAGACGAGAGAGGAAGGATGTTTCTGTCCTCCTTTATATCCAGGGTTGTAAGCTTCTTAGAGAGCCAAAACATTCGAAGTACACCCCAAAAGCTCGGTAGCTGCATCTGCTGCTGTGCCGCCACATCGATGATATGTGCCCCTTAGGTAGCGAAACGGCCTCCGCAAAGAACGCAATATTTATCGTACCATGTTTTAACCTTGCCCTGGGCTTTTATGTCTTCACTACTTCGTTGAGTAGCTTCCTCGTTCTCGTTGTACCATACCGTTCTGATGTGAAGCAGTTAAACCGTAAGGGGTGGTATGACACTAAAGCCAAAGAACGGCTGCAAGTCCGAACCGTCCGTCATCCATTCCCTCATTTTCTGAAGGCTTAAACCCATTATGATCGAATCGGGGTCCAAGGCCAAGGCGCGAAGTGACCAGAGCAGTCTATCCCTTTTCCGTAACGACTCGGCTTCCTTGATCGTAGGAGTAAAGGGCGTTGCGAGGCGCTCGTAGAGATAGGCAGCGAATTACAGTTTGAGCTCCCATTCGGTCTGCGGCAGGGTACTCTCCGTCATCTCCGAGTCCTGTGAGTCCGGTAGAGCTGGTAATAACTCTGGGGGGTCTGAGAGCGGTGAGGAGGCGGGTTCGGGCTCCTGCGATTCAGCGTTACGAGGCGGATAGTGAACTTCGACCAGCGGCAAGATATTCTCCGTCATCTCCGATTCTGTAAGTCCGGTGAAGCTGGTAATAACTCTGGGGGGTCTAAGAGCGGTGAGGAGGCGGGTTCGGTCTCCTGCGATTCAGCGCTGCGGGGTAGATAGTAAACCCAATTTGTTAATTCCATACTGAGATATCTCGATATAATCGTATTGGGCCCGCGCGACTAGCGCTTCGTACTTGAAGTTAACATTGTTCTCTCAGGTTTGGAAGTGCTACGCTTGTTTGAGGCTGACATTGCTCGCTTAGAATCTGAAAGGCTGTCGATAATAAGGAGAATTGGGGATAAAAGTGCCAATCCTAAAGTTCACAGGTGTGGAGAGTTTCGGTATGGAAAAAGGTTCGGCTGCTGGAAAAGTTGGTCGGCGGCGGACGGAGAGAACAAATGTAGCAGCAGGAAACCCTGCTACTACAGAAGAGGCTTTTGGCGGCGGCGGCGGTGGACGGAGAGCTTCTAGTTTAGGAAGGAGTAGAAAGTATAGAGTTGGAAGGGAAGAGGAAGGGAAGAAGAAGCAAGAGCGTGCCGGTCGAAAACTTGTTCAAAGGCGAGATTGCGAGGTGGCTCGTTCCGCCCTCGCCTAATGTGACGTGAGTAAAATCCGGAGTGAAACACACCTTTATCTGATTGGAAGAGCACAATGCTTCACCTCCCGAGGCTGTGAGGCGTGGTGGACTTTATCGATGCCGGGCGGTATCAAAAATGCAGCGCGATGCATCACGTTGTGAAGGGAGCCACCGCGGCAAATGAACCGACCTACGAATGCGAACTTGCGAAATAGAAACAGTCTCGATATCGCAGTATCGAAGATGTTATAGAGCCGATTATGGGATTTCCCGCATTTGTGACAACGGGCCTCATCACCGACTTTGGTTGTTCCACAAGAAAAGGATTTATGGGCTGAAGATATGGTCAGGCAATCAAGCTCCAGAGTCTATCAATGTTTATATGGTGAAATAAATTCCCGCAGTGGACACATCGGAGAAAAGGAAACGCGGGCAGAAACCGTCAGTGCTCTCTTTGGTCCTCATAGCATGCCAACTTGGCTTGCTCAGACCTGCCCATTGGGAAGTCGTAGCAAGTGGTTTCACCCGAGAAAATCAGGCAGAACACACGCAAGCCACGAACATCCCGAGCAGCATTTGGCTCTCATCACCCGGTTGCTCACGCCCGCGCCTCCGCCCAATAGACACCAGAAACACTTGACCGCGGCTTGCCTAATTTATCTCCGAGAGGAACTGGCCAAGCGTGGATATATGCAGTGCCACAAATCTAGCTACTCTAATTCTTCTTCCTAGACGTTGTAGACACCAGCCTTTTCTTGACAGCTTTGGGCATCTTTTCTTTCCTCTTTTCTCGCTTGGCCTCCTTGACTGCCATCTTGTGCTGCTTCTTCTCCTCCTTATCCTCAAACCGTTTCCCTCTCGGCTGTCCTTTCTCAAACCTGCTCTCATCTTCACTGCTGTCGTCGTCGGAGAGGGCAGCACCGCTCCCTGACTCTTCTCCGGAAACCTCTTCCTTCTCCTCGCCGGATTCTGTGTCCGCCCTGGAGTCCTTGGGCCCCACGACCTGATCGGCAAGCAGGTTTCGGTAAACGAGATCATCTCCCTCGCCAGCTCCTAGCTTCTGGGCATCATTCTCCATGTCGTAGACTTGCTCCAGCGTCTGGGGGATATACTGGTTGCGGAAGACTTCGTTGTCAATCTCCTCGGCGGCGACGGCCTCCTCGGTGTCTTCGATAGCCAGGCGGACCTCGTACAAGTGCTCGATGGCCTGTGACAGCGCCGGCTCCTCGTCGGGGCCATCTGGGGCAGTGATGAAGTTGAATATCGCACGATCTTTCAGCGTGTCGATGCCCTGCCTCCTGAAAAAGTCGCCGACGTTCTTGATATCCATCCGGAGAAACTCGAGGGCTCGCGGGTGGTCGTGCTCAACCGACTGCGAAACATCGATGATGTAGAGCTGCTTGTCGTTGCAGAGAATGTTGTACTCGCTCAAGTCAGCGTGGACCAGCTTGCAGACCTGGTACATGCGACGCATGATGCCAAGGAGCTGGATGTAAAGGTTCCTCCACTGCTTTTCCACGTCTTCGCCCTCCAGTCGGGCGTCTCGCAGTCGTGGATAGGCCCAGCCCCGCTTGTCGCCCAAGAGCTCCATCACCAAGACGTGCAGCTTGAGCTTTATGGGCTCGGGGCAGGCTATCCCCGCCGTGTACAGCCGCCTCAAGTTGCGGAACTCCTTCTCGGCCCACAGCTTGACCATCTTCCGGTTGTTGCCCTTGTCCGCGCCCGCCTTGAAGCGATGCTCGCCAGTGATGTACCGCTCCCGGTCCTTGAACACCAGGATTGCCGTCTTGTACACCTTGATGGCTCTCTGGATCGAAGCGCCGCCGTCTTCGGGGTGAAGCACAGCACCGTACACGTTCGCTTCCTTGCCGGTGCTGATGGCACCGTGAATCTCGCTGACAACGCCGCGGTTGATCATCTGCAGCAGGATCATGCGTGTTCGCTGATCCAGCACCAGTTCGCTCGTGGCCCGGTCCGCCTTGTCCTTGTCCTTGCCCTGGCCTTGTTTCACATCGTCGAGTCTGATCTTGGCGGCATGCTTCGAGAGAGTCGAGATCTGGTCGTCGACGCTAGCAAACGTGTTTGCTGTCGGCTTTTGCGCATTCGAACGGGGTAGCAGGGCGGCGCCGCCGTTGGACTGGGAGTTGAGGCCATGGAGCTGGCGCTGGCGGTTGTACGACTTGGTCAGGTCAGCCGAGTCGGGATCCCAGCCGTCATCCTCGACCTCGATGTCGCTGTCAAACACGCCCTCGAGGTCCTCGTCGTCGTCGACGACAAGTTGGGCGTTTTGCAATGCGGGGTTCGCTAATTCTGCGGGCACCGCTTCAGTGCGCTGGTAGCCCTGGAGCGCATCGTAGATGTACGGCGGCTGATGGGGGCCTGACGGCTCTGTCACGGGTGTGGTATCGGGCTGCGAAGACGCCATTCTGGGTATATCGTTGGACTGGCTGGTTGCTTCGTGTGGTGGTTCTGAATAACCCGTGGGGCGAAATGCAACAATATTCATCCCAGGGCCTAAAATTTGGTGGACTCCCACCACAGTTCCTTATCTTATCGAGGAGGGGCGCAATTGCGCCGTAACGCGCTAGGCCGCTTCCGGCACCACCACCGTGAACCCTCTCCTAGAAATCGGCGTAATCGGCTACGCGCGCGTAGATAAGCCGTCGCTGATAAGCATTTTTGTACTTATTAGAAGCCTACAATTTCTACTCGTAACTATTTCACACCCCTTGTTACGAATCCCTGAGGAAATGCACAGTCGTGGGGCACACCCAATTTGGTGTTAGCCAACCAGGGGTGTCCCAGGGTCCCGAACCATAAGGGCGCGGGACTCCGGGACTTGGCCTAGGGGGCCGGGGTCCGGGCCACGGGGCGACGGGATACTGGTGATTGGCCCACCTATTTAGATATATACCATGACCGTAGCCACCGTCTTAGCTAGAGCTTGCTTGGTTCTTCAAGCAAGCAATCACACATTCATTGCACTCATATACTTTGAGTAGCATTCTAGTTGACTGTATTTACCGTGTGACCAGGATGTGACGAACCCCCTGGCTCATACTGGGCGGACTGCAGGGACGGGGCGCCCCAGGCCAGCTCTGGGGTCCGGAGGGATGCAGCCAAAAAGAAAGTGCCTAGTGCCAAGACGCTGCGTGCACCGGCAGGGAGTCTGCCAAGCGGCGGCAATGCCCGGCGCCGGGCAAGGGCTTGGCAACTGGCAAATAAGAGCCGGGCTCTTATTGGCCTACGGAATCTACATACACAATGGCCGTAGCCACGGCCTTAGATAGAGCTTGCTTGGTTCCTCAAGCAAGCAATTCACATTCATTGCACTCTTATACTTTGAGTGGCATTCCAGTTCGACTGTGATTACCGCGCGATCAGCAGCTTGCCCTTTATTCAGTCTTCATTATTACCACCTCAGCAACCCTCTCTGTGGAGCCCCTGCTCACTTATAGATAGACGACCCTAACAGTCGAGTGGTTTGTAATACGTTGCTTGCTTCCCCTTGGTATTAATTGAACAGAGTACTCATCGCACAACGACAGCCTGGCTACGCCTAAGGAAGACACGGTCTTGCTAGGCACCTAGCGAGAGGAAGATCCCGAATGAGACAGCAGTACCGACTCTAGTGGTAACTCTAGTAGCGAGGCAAGTTCGGTACAACTAGAGGATACCGCTATCAAAGACGCAGACGCAGAGCTAGAGAACATCGGTAAATGATCGGTCAATAACCTCGTATAATAACTAGAACCGTGTAAGGAAAGAACCGCAACCCACATACACAACCAGCGGGCCAAGACCTCACTCATTTGTCATAACCTCTCACCCGCTGGCCCAAGCACTCCGTCATGTATATAAGCAGTGGCTTTCGCTTTCTTCCTTTGCGAGGGCTAGGTTGAAGTCTCACACTAATGCCGGGAATTCGGGTTCCAGGCTGAAGTCATCGGGAAAGTGTTGCCCTTCAAGACTGGCCCCGGTAAATATGATTACGGGCTTTAAACGAATGCCCCCTGCAGTACCGCATTCGATAACTGTGACCCAGGTAGTTTCATCAGAGATTTGTAGGTAGGTTCGGTTCGTTAGGGAGCTTCCGATGACCTTTCCGGCCCGGGTCTCAAGCTCCTGTATGCCGTGTTCGTCCATGTTGGCGATGTTGGCCAGTTTGACCTTTTTATCCTTGATCTGGAAGGCCAGGCGCTTGTGGAAGTCTTCGTAAGCCTCACGAGTAGAGCCTCTGACGCGAGAGGATCCTAATAAGGCCGAATTCTTCATTTTTACCGCCGGTTTGCGGCGTAGGAAGCGATCCACATATCGCTCGCCTACCATCTTTTTCGTGCTAGCCTCATTGAGTATAGCTTGAGCGAATCTCTGGACCTGACGACGGCTAGGCGCACGCCCTGCAGCTTCCTCATTCAGGTACCAGTCGGCTAGGAAGCTTTTCTGCGTATCGGAGAGATTTCTTTCCGTCTGTTTACTTTTTGCTCGATTTTCTGCGCCATGGATGCGTTTACAGAGGGGGGAGGCAGGTATGCCATGTAACTTGGCGGCGTCCTTCTGTGAAGCGCCCTGCTCAATAGAAAATATTGCAGCTTCAATGAACTGCTCGCGACGGTCCGACATGGCCTATCTTGAAGCAATTTGGGCTTGATTTGATGAAGTTGTGTGTTTTGAAGTTGTAGGGTGGGAAATTAGATGACAGGGGCAGAGATTTCGTTGTAGGGCGATTTCCTTATTGGGTCACCACGTCTACTCTCTTTTACGGGTGTAAATCAACTTGATATCCAAATGGTCTCAGAACACGCATGAACCGCCCGACTTTGATCTGCAGTACATCATCATCTGCCGTCTCCATCGTCTTTACCCCTGTTAATAATGTTGGACAGCCTGGCAAATGCCCCCCCTTCCCTGGCGAGCAACTCGCGCGGCGCGCCTAGCTCGATGATGCGCCCGCTGTCAACAACAGCGACGCGGTCAAAGTCGAGCAGCGTGTGCATCCTGTGGGCGACCATGATGACGACGCAGCCGGCAAAGGCCGTGCGGATGACGCTCTGGATCTTGCCGTCGGTCTGCGCGTCGAGGCTGCTTGTCGGCTCGTCGAGGATGAGGATGCGGCTGCGTTTCAGCAACGCCCGCGCGAGGCAGAAGAGTTGTCGTTGGCCGTGCGACAACGTGCTCTCCTCCAACGGGGCATCCAAAACTCGAGCCACGACATCACCATTGCCACCAGCTTCTACCATCGCCCCAGTGGCAAAGACAATAGAGTCCCACACGCCGACGCGCTTGAGAGCCGCGACGATCTCGGCGTCGGAGCAGCTAGCGCCCACGGGGTCTGCATTCTTGCGGATTGACGCTGGGAAGATGAACGGCTCCTGACTAAGGCAGCTGATGCGCTGCCGGATCAGCGGGCGCGCCACCGTTGAAATGTCCAACCCGTCGATGGTGATGTGGCCCGAGACCAGCTCGTTGAGCCGCAAAAGCGCGAGCACAAGAGAGCTCTTGCCGCTGTGGCATATGTTGATTAGCTCTTGCTCATCTTTGTCTTCTAGTTCACTTTGCACACTCACCTCCCTGTCCTCCCGCACAGCCCGATCTTCTCTCCTGGCTGAATGGTCAAACTAATGTCGCGCAACACGGGCTTCGCGTCCTGGCCGACGGCATACGAAATTGTGACGTTCTTGAATTCGATCTCGCCGTGGCTGGGCCAGCTGTCCGCCGCCGCCTTGTCATCATCTTCGCCATTGCCTGGCTTACCGACTTCACTCGGGGTGTCGGTGACAAAGTTTCTGATTCGGGCAACAGCACCCAGCGAAGTCTCGAGCATGGTCCAGCTCTGGATAAGCTGGGACAAAGTTTGGCCTAGAGTCGTCATAACGACAAGCGCAATACCTAGCAGACCCGGGTCGATACGGCCACGCAGACCGACAGCCATCCCCGTCATGAGGATGGTCAGCCCGGCCACGATGAGGTTGAGCACCAGTCCAAGCCAGCGCTGGATGCAGAGCAGGAGGTAATACGGCTTCTGAGCTGTGTCGAGGAGCCGCAGCGTCTTGACGGTATAGGGCCGAGTCCAGGTGAAGGCACGGATTGTGGCGAGCCCGTTGAGAGACTGAATAAAGTGGGTGTAAAGGGGGGCCTTGAGTTCGATCCTGGACTGGTGTCAGTTTTTTTTCCAGTAAGGTTCAGGAAACGAACCAAACAAGGGAGAGGGTTAATATTACTCGAGCAGACGCAACTGGCGAGAGGTGCGTAGGTAGAACCGCTGGACCAAGACTAGCAAGCCGAGGATGACCGGCAGTGTCGCAGCCAGATACGGAATAGCCACAACAGCGATGGCCAGCTCTCCCATCGCCCCAAAGACCTCTATACGCAGTCAGTACGCCATAATTTGAGGCTTTGGCGTGTTGAGGATGAGGTAGGGGGCTGTCACTCACGGAAGGCGGTGGTGACAAAGCCACGGGGAAGGACCATGTCGACCAATCTCATGTCTTGGCTGAAGCGGTTCACAAGGAGGCCGGTTTCCACGTTGGAAAGGAACGACATGGGTGCACTGAGCGAGCAGATAGTCAGCACAATGGAGTAGGGGCAGGGGGGGTTCGACAGTCGTCTACAGCACTTACCTCATGCACGCCCGTAGCACGACAGCATGCAAGTTCTTTGACGCGGCTGGTACAACGATAACCCACACCCAACTTCAAATATCGTTAGTATTCTACTACACCAGGAGGGTGGTTACGGGAACTTGGTAACTTACAAGGTAGCCATTATAATGCCCAGGCACTCAAGCACCGAGAGGGTCGCGAACATGCCGATCCAGTACCCGAGCCGCAATGACGATGCGCTGTCCGGGCTGGATGACCAGAGATTGAGCCAAATGTCTGTGAACGATTAGAATCGGACAAAGTTTAGGGGTCAGGGGTCAGGGGTCAGGGGTCTTGGGGGATAATTACAGCGAGCTGTTCCCGCCCCGGTATTCAAGACCAGCCATGCCGCCAGCGTCGAGACTCTCACCCAGCCTAAGGCCCGGAAGTAGTACTTGTACACTGCAAAGTCAGTTGTCTGACGGCTCATGTCGTCTTCGGCGGGCTCCACCTCCAGAGAAACCGTGTTTTCGGTTGACGAGTCCGACTTTGCAGCGCCGCTGGGTAAGGCGTCTTCCCGTGCTGGTCCGCCAGCCGCGTCAACATCTGGCCGATCCCAGATATCTAGACTTTGCACATAGCCGCCGGCCTTCAATCGTAGCTGACCAAAACTTCCCTGCTCAATGGCCTGGCTATTGTCACTAAATACGATGATGTGGTCCGCGTCGGGTAGGTGATGCACTGCAATTCGAAATCGCGTCAGCACGGCCAGGGCAAGCCTCACGTCAACTGCTTCAACTCACCGCTGTGCGTAGCCAGAAATACCGTGCACCCCATCTTGCGCAGCAGGCCGCCCGGCCCAAAGACACCGGAGAAAACCGCCTGCGCAGTAGCACTGTCCAGCCCGCTTAGGACATCGTCAAAGCAAGCAATACGCTTGCGCGAGTACACGGCGCGTGCAATAGACTGTCGAAATCCCTGTCAGTAAATGGCCTCCCAGCCTGTCTGGGTGCTACTCACAATCCGCTGCTTCTGGCCGCCACTCAACTTCACGCCCTTGCTGCCTACGAGCGTGGCGTCGCCCGCCGGCGCCATCCTTTCGAAGTCGCAGCTAAGCGCACACGCTTTTATAACTGTGCGATACCACTCAGCGTCGAAGCCGAGCGTGCCGGCGCGCGTCTCGCCCACAATATTGTCGCGCACCGACTCGTTGGATAGCCACGGCGTCTGCTCACAGAACGCCATGTCCGGGTATCTGATGTATGTCTCGCCCGATGCCACCAGCGTCTCGCCAGCGAGACCTTTCAGAAAGGTCGTTTTGCCGCTGCCGACGGGGCCGACGACCATAACGAGGGTGCCAGTGGGTGAGGCCGGGAGGCTTAGCGTGAGCCCGGCCGTGCTGTGTTGGGTGTTGGTCTCTTCAGCGGCCTTCCAGCCGAACTTGGCGTTAGTTAGGGACACGATAGTTTCGTCTTTGGGTACGGGGTCATGGGATGAAACAAAACGTGACAGCTCGACGCTCGAGCCATGCCCGGCTGAAGAGGCCCGCCCGCTGGAGGCTGGGGCTGCAAGACTGAGCTGGCGACTTTCTGTTCGTCGTCGCCATCGTAGTTGTCAGTATCAAATAAATTACGGCTTGATCTAATCCGAGCACGTGGTGGTCTTTGACAACTGACCGTGTCTTAGCTCCAGCCTCAGAAACTCCTGTATCCGTTGTAGACAGCCAATTGCAGAAAACGTGTCGGGGATTGCAAAGAGCAGATCTCGGAGTGGAAGCAGGAGCAGGTTGATGAGCGACAGCGATGTGATGGCTTGTGTAACCGAGAGGTTGCTGGAGCCCTGAATCTTGGCAACAATGGCGTAGGCCGCAAATGCCACGAACTGGCCCACGATAAGGGGTAGGTTGACAATGCATACGCGGAGTGTCTGCATCTGGCGGTACTTTTTGGAGACTCTCAGTTCTTCAACTCGCGACGCCTCGATCATGGCAGTCATGGCCTCGGTAAGGCCGAGCAGTTTGACGTTCTTCATGGCCCCGAGAATCTCGGTCGTGAAGTTGACTCGCTTTTCTGTTGCGTCAAGCCACTTGCTCTGCCTGGATGACAATGCGCCTCCCATGGCGAATGACCCGGCAATGAAGCCTGGTTTCGAGACTGTTAGCACTGTGTCTGGCATCAGTACCAACATTGACGAGGGGCTAGAATTACCAATGGCAACCAAGATTGGTGCGATGCACACCGCCCCCATTTGGGCCTGCAACAGCCAAACAGCGAGTCCGAGCTGGAAGGCATTTGCCCACGTGTCGCATACGGTGGCGTGGAAGTAGTCGGCGAGAGCTTCGATGTCGGACCCCATCAAAGACATTGCGCTCGATTCGCTCGTGGTGCCCAGCGGCAGTGCCATCATCTTCTGGTAGACTACGGCCATCAGTCCGCCACGGAGCATCGTGGTTGTGCGGAAGCCCAAGTGTTCGTACGCTGAAGTTGCGATCTGGCCACGGTTGTTAGGTGAGACCCGTTGAACATCGCATCTCAACAATCTCAAGCCGACCACTTACTGCAGCTCCAATAAAGACGATAGCGGTGGCCCCGACCAAGCCATAGCTCATGTTGAGGGACAGCTCATCACTGAGTTGCAACACGCTGACAGTCCTCCCGATCAAGAAGGGTTGGGCGATGCTTAGCCCCACGAGGCAGAGCCTGGGAAAGGCAATGTTGGCAATTTCCCAGCGCAAGCACTTGACAATGGCAAACAGCAAGGCATACTTGTGGCTCTGGGTGCATCTGTCCCAGGCACGGCCGAATCTGTCAGCCAAGTCGGCCGACTCGAGCTTCTCGTGCACAGCAGGTAGGGTGTGTGGGGCCAGCAGTGCCGAGTAGCCTTTTGTCAAGACGCCATTCAGCCAGGCGAAGATGCCCCGGCTGAAGGGCCCGCTGGTGCTCTCCCTAGACTTTGACTTCTCACCGGGGACAAGCCATCTGCGCTTCTCGACCGTCTCGAGACCCAGCAGCAGCAGCTTGACGGCAACGGAAGCGGTGAGGCAGGCCGAGTACGCTCTGGTATCGGGGGCCAGCCAAGCCGTCCGCACAGTCGCGACGTTGAGCAGCACAGTCACGCCAAGGTACAATGACACTAAAAAGGACGGACGGATGGATTTGATGTGCTCGATGTAGGTGAGGACACTGACGCCCAAAGCCGCGACGAAGCCGAGCACAGCACCGGCGACTGAAACGCGGCCACCAGCGTTAGGCCGTGTTGCGACGAGGGTCAAGAGCGCAAGCTCAATGCCAGCAAAAATGGCCGCAACAATCTGACTACGGAATCAGTTTCTGTTTTTACAAATAATAATTCTAGGAAAGGACATCGGAGAGACATACAAGCTTGGCGACGAGAATCGGCGATGACGTCACTTTTGGGGTTTTTTTCACAAGCTGGATGGCGCGGACGAGCGCCAGGAGAAGAAAGACGGCAGCAGGGGCGACATTGAGAATGCTTGCTTCAAAGAGCTCTGGTGGACATTCGGGTTAGTAAAAGAACAATTTTACAGCCGCCATTGATGGACACGTCAAAACATTCACGGACCCGTGAAGTCGAAGCCTCCCCGGCAGTCTGGTGACACGACGACGCTCGGCCCAAACCAGCCGTCGCCACAGGCATCGGCTCCCGAGGGAGTTGCCATGGCCAAGGCCGGAAGATGAACTGAAGCAAGCTGGGTTCGTGGCAGCTGTATTTGCGGTGTTTTTAGTGTGGCGGCGATTGATATTTGGGCGGCGAGATGCCCTGAAGGCAGGCAGCGAAGATGGTGGTGAGGTCTTAGGCCAAGCTCTCGACAATACTTAAACCCCCAGCGCACGCGTCCCGCAGTGCCGCTGCGTCATGGGATGAGCGTACATACCCTCCCAAGATTGCGCTATTCACTCCTGAGGTCTAGACTCTCTTTTGGTCGATAGGACCTTCCTCTTTCGCTGGTTGCCCCGCAATCGGGCGGCTTGATAGGCAAGAGTCGGGACCAGCCCCCTGCAACTGGGGGGCCGGGCGTCTAGCCAAAACCGGCAGCCGATGGTGTGTTGCTCTTGCCGCTGCTGTCAATAACCTGGAAGATCTTCAACAAAAGTTCGAAACATACTGATCGACGAGAGCGAAAGTAAGAATATTAGCGAATTATAACGGGCTCAGCCTGAGCCAAAGTCTGCGGCGATACTATAGGATCATAATTACCGTATTCCATTCGTAAATTGTAAGTAATTATACCGAGTGGTCGCTCAACATTCCAACTCCTTTCAACCACCCCGAACAGCACCACCCAGGTCAACCTGCACTGTGCTCTATGAACTCTAATTCCCAGCGTCCCAGGCCCACAGGAAAACTCACCCACGTCTACATCCTCGGCTCCATGTCTAAATGCCCTCCTGCTCTCCCTCGCCGCCACCCGCCTCACCAGGCTCGCCCTTGGGAACCCTCACAAACATGAGCACAACCAAACACCATCCAAACAGGCCGCCAGCCCGAAGTACGGCAGCCCCATCCACAGGCCTCTGCGCTGCACGCCCTCAGTGAACAGCCAGGCGAGCGCGGGACCGGCGTACAGCGAGCTGAAAGTCTCGATGCAGCTGACGAGCGTGCACAGCTTGGACGTGTCATTGGCGTGCAGATATCTAGCAGTACCACCAGATTGATGGCGCCGCGATAGCAGCACCACGACGGCGCGCGAGCTACGCGCTTGCGCGTGCCACCATTTCAGTGTTGACGATGCTGCTGTTGGTGATGCTGTTTCACTCTCCCGCGGGAGGTGCTCGCCCAGAAGTGGGCGCGTCTCGGCGTGGCCGTCGCCGCTGCTGGGGCCGGGTATTTGGCAGGTCGGGAGATCCAAGATGTCGTGGTTCAAAGGGAGAAAATCGAAACCGCCGAGGGTCTTGGGGGCTGTTTACATCCCGCGCCGCGGTTGAAGTCCTGCAGGATAGTATGGTGCTGTGCCCCCTGGCAGCCGTTGCGTAACGGGAGCACGCGGCAGGCGACCTCCCGTTTGAGAATGGCGGCGTTTCGTCAGTCGCACATGCGAAATCCTTCAAAGCTACTTCGCTTTCAATGAACACTACCTGTCAGTGGGCGCCATATAGATCTGAGCAAGTGGTTAATTCAAAAGCCAGACATCGCAATATCCATTCGGCGTTGCGCGCATCAACGAAATGACTTTTCTCTGTCACTAGCTATACCCAGTCGGCCGCCTTGGCTTCTCCGAGTCTGCAGTTGGCGTCAATTTACGCACTACATGCCTCGATCCAGGCTCGCTCCACCGAGCCGCCTGGACACAACGGGGAACCAAGGGCTTGCCGTTTAGTCCAATGCACGGCATGGCCGATAGACGCGAGCCATATCTCGTCGTCCGGCTCGCGGCAGCTTCCGAGGTTACGGTAGGAAGTGATGGTGACGACCCGGCCGCCGCACGTCCAGGGCCACTTGCCACCTGGCTTCCATTCTATGACAACGCGGCTGTCCGTCAGACACCACTCGCACGAATCAGTAAAGTTGCCGTCTCGAATCTCGCCTTGATCTCCGCCTTTGACTCCGTTTATCCGTCGCCGGTTAAAATGGACCCAGTATGGCGACGCCCGCGTATGAAGATGGGGACAGATCAAAAATCCCACTTCATCGAGCGCACGACGCAGCTGCCGCTCGAGAGGAAAGCAGTCGGCCAAGGTCCAAATGCAGTGGAGGATGAGCTCGCCACCGATGAGCTTGGCCGACCTGCTCTGCACCCACCGGGGAAAAACTGGCCCGAGCCGTGTCGGGTGAGCGAGGCCGCCTAAGAAGCGCGCCGAGTTCGACGTGTTTCCCAAACTGGTGAAGAGCTCGGCCGGCAAGCCCGCGCCGGGGCCAAGCCAGTGGCTGTTTGTGACGGCCCGTACATGGTGGAAGTGGGGCCACCCCTGGCGCCTAGGGTAGTGCCAGTCTTCCCACTGACAGCAGGCTTTGGTCAGCCGGAAGTCCTTCAGCCGTGCCTGCTGCGGCGACCGAATGGCGAATCTGTTTAGCGTGTTGGAGCTGTGGCAGTAGAGATATCGGTCTCCGATATCTTTCTCGAGTAGAAGAAGCAGTTCCCGGCGAGCGGGCTGCTTATGGACGAGCTTCTGCTTAGCGACGCGTTTTACAGCCTCCACGCCGAAGAAATTGAAAAAGACCCGGCATGATAGGGCGAGGCAGACCTGGCTCTCGGGCGGGAGGTGGTCTGCGATCTCGAGGAGAATGTCGACGGGCTGTTGGGCGAGGCATGAGCCATACTGAGGTCGCACTCTGGCGTGAGCTGCTTCGTGCTCGGATGCACCCACCAGCGACGCAGCCGCTCGCAGAGCATCGTTGCTTTGTTGACTAGCTTCATGGCGACTAGCGGCTTGCACCGATGATGTTCGACGTGAGACGGTCGAGCAGAAAATTGGTCCCAGGGCAGCCTGCAAACTACTTGACAGAGTCGAACATTGAACAGAGAAACAGGGTTCAATATCAACCCGGAAGCCGAAAAGTATTATCAAGGTTTTCAACTTCCGTCCGGTAACGTTCAAAGTTCGGGTGTGTGGAGTTATTGCGCCAGAATCCTTTTCCCCTTGCCATCCGTTACCCGCTACGGTTCCCCGACATTCTGAACTCATGAATGATACGAGTCAATATCAGATGGATTGGCAGAAGAGGAACGATAAGAACCACAAATTAACATATGTGACCAGGAACACAACCACTCATTTTCCTGAACACGATGCAGCAAAGGAGTCGTTGGGCGGATGATTAAAGGCCATTGGTTTGATCCCTGCTGCTACTACTTTACTTGATTATGCCGGACTGAAAGGTCTACCTGAAATCCATGCAGAAAAAGACAGCGACAAACGAAAACCCCGCCCCCTCAGCTGCTCTTGGGCACCTTCCCCTGGCGCTTCAGGGTATACTGATACGAGTAGTGGCCCTTGACGTCCGAGGCCATGACGCGCATGGCGACGACATCGTTGGAGTCGGAGCCGCCCTCGATCATGCCGGCCTGTACCGACAGGTCGGCGTACTTCTTGGCCTTCTTGTCCTCGCCGAGGTAGTTGTAGTTGACGGCAGCCAGCTCGTAGGCCTCGGCCATCTTGACGTGCAGGCGCTCCTTGTCGAGCAGGTCGAGGAAGTGCGCGATCTCGTCGAGCGAGACGACCGATTCGTGGTTGCGCAGCTTGACCCGCAGTTCCTGCAGCTCGGCCACGCGCGCGTCCGACGCCTCGAGCTCGGCCACCCGGCTCTTCTTGGTGCAGGCGTCGCAGCCGCACGGCGTGCCGTAGCCGCGGTGGCGCTTAACCCACGACTGGCGCTTGGGGCGCGGGTCTAGCGGGTCGACATACGTGATGGTCAGCTCCTCGCCGGGCTGGGTGCGGCGGGCCACAACGGCGTGCATGGCCATGGAGCTGTCGATGTAGTGCGCCACGTTGGGCCGGCAGTCGTGCTGCAGCACCGCCGTCTCGGGGTAGTTGGCTATGTGGCGCGAGTGCTTCTGGTCTTCTTCCTCGCCGCCCTGCGTGTTCTTCCACTGCCCGAAGCCGAGGTCGATCTCGAACGGCGCCGACCGCAGGATCTGCTCGACGCTGCGCCGCTCATCGCCCTTGGGCCCGCCCGCCCGCTGCCGGTCGAACGCCGCCCGCGTCGCGTCGGGCAGGTACGCCACGGCCGTCTCGAGCAGCCGCACCCGCTCCGGCTTGCGCATCACGTCCAGCACGTCCTTGTGCACCATCAGCGCTGGGCCCCACGACATGAGCGGCTTGCCGCGCCGTATCGTCTTGTTGGCCGCGAGGCCCAGGCCCTTGTGCATGACCTCGACCTCGTGGAACGGCGCCGGGTTCTCGGAGTACTTGTTCTCGGCCTTATTGAGGTGCGACTCGGCCTGCTTCACCTTCTGGAAATCTTCGAGGGTCGTCACCATCACGATGCCCCGCCCCCGGCCCACGTGCCGGTTCGTGAAGACGCAATACTCCCCCGAGCAGATCTTGGACTCCCACCACCCCTCGACCGGCGCCGTCTTGCCCGGCGTGGCGGCCGACGACGTGGTTGTTGGCGCTGTCGCATTGTCGGCGAAGATTTCGGGTTTTTCGATGGGCTCAAAGGCCAGGCCCTCGGCAGAGCCACCCGCTGGTGGAGCATCTGCCTTGGCCTGCGTGTCCGCGTCGACCTCGGCGATTGCCACCTGAGCGAGCAGCCCGAGAACGAGTGCCCGCACGAGCGAGACGCGACCCCAAGCCATGGCGGCAGATGTCAGAGATATCTGTTCAACTGATTTCGGGGCGAATTCTGCTTCTAGTACGAGTCGAGAGTCGCTCGATTGGTCGCCAAACACAGATGCAAGCTCGTGTGCCAAGTGACGTCGAGGGGAAGCACCTCGGTGGTGTAGCTATGTATATGCGGCTGGCCTCGCTTCAGGCAACGTGGCCTAGACGCTCCTCGGTAGCCTCCATGCCATTGACCGTCAATCATTTTTCCTTCTTTAAGCGTCTGGAAGCCCCCCGCGGCACTGCAGGTGATTGGCACTTCCAACTGCCTAAATCTGGCCGGCGCCACTGGGGCATATTACCCGGCCTCGGGCCAGCCTGTCCAGTGTCGGCGGCAAGAATTCCTGTTAGCTGGGGCTGGTATTGGAACTGCGGCTCCAGTCGGTGGCACGGCTAAAGTCGTATTATGGACTAGATCAAAGGACAGCAAGAGTATTTGGTCCAGGGATAGCTGGAAAAGACTGGGCACGTTCTGATTGGGCACTGACTCGTGTCTTCGCCGCATTGTTTATAACAAACGACCGCAGCGTCCAAAATCGCGACCTCAAGAAGCGAAAGAATATGGGCGCTCAAAGCAAAGGCATCACGCACAACAAGTGCATTAGGTGTGTTTAGAGTACTCCAACATATGGCCATCAAGACCTTTGTAAAAGAGAATACGTTCATAGCCATTCCGCTGCGTGTCCGGCCACTTTTTCAACCGCCACATCTCGCTGTTCGAACTCGTCTCGGAGGGCTCCGCTCTGAGATTCTCTACCTCGAGCATTATTTTTATGGGACTCTTGCACTTTCTTGGATACCGCTGATGCTACTTCAGTTGCTGGGACGGGCGGCAGTGGCTAGGTGATAATGGTGATGCTATCAGTAGTATTGAGGGTTAGGCCGGTGGAAGCCAGGGCCGATCCGACGGCAACTTAGATTTCGCCGTCCATGGCTAACGTCTCGCCGATTGCACCAGTCCAACACCATCCGGGCCTGGGCGAACGCTGTTTCGAGCTCCTACCCAGCAAAATGCCCCCTTACCCCTCTAACCCATGGCGTGTTGGGCCGTGTCAAGAAACAAAAGATGTGTTGATCTAGACGTGAATTTGAAGTCCACAAGTCCACATATTACCCACACTACGTTTTGACCAAGTTATCAAAAAATTCCATTTGGCTTCAACCAACCGGTACTGGTACTAGTCGATAGTTGGAGATATAATTGTGAACTTTATATTTAGAAGGAATTAAAGATATGAACAGTGTAAATTGGGACGCCGGCCCCTGAATTCTGATTCCATGACACGATTAACAACATTTCTAATGTCCCGCTTCTGAATATGGTGTTTACAACATATAGCAAAGTAAATATTGCAACTGATCCAGTTGAGGGGCCGCAGACAACGGCCGACTGCCACATGGAAATGCACCCGAAGCCAAGGCTAAGCATGGACTTCGCCGCAGCCACCACATGCCAGAGCCAATGGTTGCCAGCTGCAGCATGCAACCAACCGGACCTGCGCATCAGCCCCCAAAAACCTAACATCTCCAAGCAGTCTATTCCGTAAATGCCTCCAACTCCACCCCGCCGTCGCCTGTCACACTAACGAGAATCTGTATCTCAGAACGAGGCACAAAAGAACTGCCTGCAAATGGGAACAACCCTCTCCTGCATTAAAACTCGCTGGAAAATGGCCTACGCAGGCTCCGACGACTCGTCCTCTGAGTCGCAGGACGAGCACCTGCACGACGGGGACGATGTCCACAACGGGATCGCCCCCGACACAGCTACCACCATCGCCGGCGCACTGCCCGCCGATCACCTTAAGCTCACGCGCGCAGGCGTGTTCAACCCGTCGCCCAACGACGCGCTCGCAGCACGACTACTGCTGCACGGGCTGCGCATCGGCCGCGACGGCAAGAACCTGCCGGCGGAGCTCGCGCTACGCATAGCAAACCTAGCCGACTACCGCACGTGCCTGGCGAGCTGCCGCCACGAGCTGGCGCACTTCTCGGCGAACGATTTCTGGCGACCCGGCCCGCGCGCCGACGTCGCGGGGCTGTATCTGACAAGCCCCGCGCTGCCGCGCGTCCCGGGCGGCCGCAAAGTGCGCGCCAAGTGGGTCACGTTCCAGCTGCGCGGCGCCGACCAGGGCTGGGCGGATTTCGGCGGCCACGGCACGTTCCGGAACAGTCACACGTGGTACGAGGCGAGTATTCTGCGGCGTGTCGAAAGGGCGGAGGGTGATGGCGGTGACGTTGCCGAGGAGGAGGAGGAGGAGGAGGAGGAGGAGGAGGACGACGACGACGACGACGACGTGGCGCTCAAGACGACCCTCACAGTCCACCGACAGAGCGTCGAGGACTTTGGTCCCGCGCTGGAAGGGTTCGGCTGGCGGCTGGTCAAGAACAGCGACAAGGTCGCGTGGCGGGTCCACAACAACGTCACGGCGCGCAGCGAGCTCGGATACTACCGGGTTGACTGGGTGGCGGGCGTGCCGACGCAGGTCGACGACCCGCTTGCCATGGGGGACGGCGCCGGGTTTCTTGAGGCGATGAGGGCAGGCGATCGGATTGCGCTGTGGGCGAGGGCCGAGGTTCGTGTTGCTCTTCCGTCATTGTCTATCCTGCCAGTGTTTGCTAATAGCTCTATCACCGTGGGTAGCAACAAGCTTGGGTCAACACGACTGCTGAAGCTACCATTGAGCTGGCCTATGAAGTTGTTTGAAAAGGACGCGACTCAAGAAAGCGGTGCAGTTCTATCTGGCGAGGACCCCCTCAAACACTCACTCATACAGCACAAAAGCTTGAATGAAATCACACTTGATGACCTTTGCTTCCCTGGAAAATACATGTAATTGTGGCGAAGTGTTCATCTTACTGTGTACGTGGAGATGAGTGTTCATTCATCCAGACCGCTCCAACCTTATAGTTCTTCGCAACCAGGCTATTGATAACATGCTGTACAGCGACGCTGAACGTACCAGCTTGCAAGATCAAACCACTACCAAGGCGTTCCAGTGACGCTTTCAAACTCGCTGTTTTTTTTGCACGAGATTTCTGTGGTTTGGCGTTCAGTATGAATTCAGGGGTAGGTGAACAAGGGGGTTTGGCTGAGATCGGTCTTGCAGTCGTTGACGGAGTGACCCTCTGAGGTTTGAGAGAGGATATTTCCGCTCTTCGAGGGGGTCCTGTCAGTCTTTGTTCTGTCACGCGGGGCGTTGTATTCCTCTGCCTCGTTTTTGGGGCTCTTGCATCCTTCCAATCCGAGGGGTTGCTGCCTGTAGTGAAATATTTGCAGTCTGGATGTTGTCGGTCAGCCGCTCTGCGCGTCTTGCAGAATAACGGACCCATATCATCGACATGCAGACACGGGACCCCACCCCAAGCGCTCCCTGGCCACCAACCAGAAACAGCTTTTCCATGCAACAAAACTCCCGCCCTTCAGGCAACCCCCCTGTCCTTCGCCAGCAAGATCAAATCCCTGCATTTTGCCAACTACGGCCAACAAAGATAGCAGAGCCTGTGCGGAGAGGCTACAGTCTTAGACACCAGGAAGACCTTGAACCGGAAGTTGCATGCCAGCTGCCGTGCACGGATCGAATGACATTCGCTGGGGGAGAAGTTCCCAAGGCGATTTCGCGGGATGCATGCTAGCCTGAGATGTGGCAGTTAGAAGAGAAAAGCTGCCGGGATCGCCAAGCAGTTTGCATACCTTCTCCGGAGCCCGATTCCTCTTACAAGGGCAACTCATCGCAAGGCTTCCCTATCTAGGCCGTACGACTGTACGGATCTGCTACCGCAGAGCTTGACGGCCCCTATCAGCCGTCACTGTCAGTTCGTGATTTTCTTGGCCTTTCTGCAATGGTTGCTGGGTGGCACACCTTACTACCCCCTTCTCTGTCCCGGTACTCGTAACTGGGCAACCTCACTCCTTTCCCCCGCCTGCTTTCCCATTCCAACCTGCCCTTTTGCTTTTACTCAACCTGCCTCGTAGGCTCAGGGGTAAAGTTAATAAAGGTAGGTAGGAACCACCAGGTAACTGATCTATATAAAGAAGGAATTCGGCGAAAGCGCGTTCATAGTCAACCCTTTACCCTTATCAAGAGGCTAATCGGCGATATGTTAGTGGCAGCGATGATATGTGTTTGTCTTGGATGGAAGCTCCGATTACGCACAGGGCCCAGGGTTAGTTGAGGCAGTAAACTCAGTTGAGACATTCTGTCTGGCAGTGGCCACAAGCACGTCCTCGGATCACCCAGACTTCCTCGCCTTTGGCGGCGCAATTCGGGCAGCGGATACACGGGAGCATGTTTGATCGCCCGTTTCTCCTTAATAGGGAAGGATCTTGAGGAATTTATAGTTGCTAAGAATGAGGAATGAGGTAGGTGGTCGGTATGGACTAGACGCAAACTTGCTGGTTATATAGAGAAGGGTGAAGATGAGAGATGAATTGATCCCTCTCAGGGCTCGCAGAGCAGGAAGCATCTCTTCATAAGGTGTTCCTGTTACGCACAAAGCCGTCAAAATAGGTGCAATCGATTGATCAATTGTTGAAGGAAGAAAGCCGTGCGTAGGGCCTTCTTCCTGTGGAAAAATGCTCCTTGTCACCCACCCTGTAAGCACTAGGCCTTTGTGGGCGTAGATCCTCGCTTGGAAAACATACAGCCCAATTGGGCCTAGTTACATGACAGCTCCTCGCAAGGACCATTAATCAGGTGAATTAGCTACATCTGGACCTTTTGATGTCGTGTACGGCCCGGGCGGCGTTGGTAGAAGGCAGTCACACGATGATGACGCTAGTGTCCGCTTGTGGGGCTCTTGCATCCATCCGATCCGAAGCATTGGGAGGGCGGGTGGTTTACTTCAGTGTCCCGATTTCAGGAACCACAGGCGGGTTGCTGCCAGCCTGCAGTAAAATATTTGCAGATGTTCGCCGGCGTTCAGCTGCTATTGTGGAGTGGGGGAGATGCATGGGTAGGATATGGGGAGGCGAGTGAACGCACTGCCAAAGTCGAAGAGGATCCCCGCACTCATCTGCTCGGAGAAGGAGCACTGGCTCAACACCAGCGCCTTCTCAAGTTTGGAATGGATCAAGCTTGGTAGAAACGGACCGGGGAAGAGAGGATTGGGCAGTATCTGGACCGAGAACCAGCCGGCGCTGTAACGAACTACATTATTCAAATCGCCACGAGCAACGGGCGATCCTCCAAGTCTGCGCAAAAAGCAACGTGCCCCAGCATTCAACTGGCGGAGCTCGTCCCCCTTGGCCCCCCTTTGGCCTCGTTCCTGCAAGCCTCGACATGGACCTGGGCAGTTGACCGGAGCAGGACCCCTGTCTCCGTGGGACCGGCCATTTACGGCGGAAAGATACCAGGATCATCACTTTGCCCGGAATAATACAGGGCGTCCCTCCAGGACCTGGACCAAGATAGGAGCACCCTCCGTGTGTAACTCGGGGGTGGCGGACGTCGCAGTAATAGGACAGAACGGGGAGCGTAAGGAACGCACGTCGGGATCGCTGTTCCCAAGGCTCAGTTCCCGTGGCAAGGAGACCGGGAGGGGACGCCGACTTGCGCTGAAGTTGCCATCCCAGAACGCGGAGTGGGCAAAGAGGAAAAGAGGGGAGCCCAAGAGGAAAGTAGGAAGGTGAAAGAACCTAGAAAGAGGAAGACAAGGTGCAAAGCAACTGCTCGGGCTGCTACTTTTAACCCCATACAGGAAGATCCAGACGAGGTAATCGGCAGGGTGTGCCGCCCGGATGTATTTGTGGTACGAGAAAGTTGAACTAATTTAGGAGCAAAGTAAACTTCAGAACCGTGCAGGGAACACCCCACACCAAATTGGCGGCGGACCACTCACTGTGGCGGGGCACCAAAAATCGGCGGCTTGAGCGGCGGACACCACGGATCCATAACGAAGAAGAGAAGTTTGGACGGAAAACGGCTGGGAAAACTAGAATTGAGGATTGTGTGGGAATTAGAAGATGAACCTGGCAGCACATATCCGTTTGTTTCACCCACCTGATTCAAGCCGTTTGAAAGATTGGGGTGATCCGAATTACTGACCACTGCAAGACTTTTAACCCAGTCGCAAAAGTGCTGGAGGCAGTTGAGGGGCTGTTGGCTTCACATGATAAACCCAAACAACCAACTCAACTTCAGTGCCATACACCCTCCACGTTGCAACTGCCGTGGTTAATTTGAATAGGCGAAGTGCTGCTGCGTAATATTCTGTTTGGTCAGCTCGTGGTAGCTGCGATACAGGGTGGCTTACTAGGAGCTATCTGCAGTGAGGAAACTCTGATTCGATATAATGTTTATATAATTCGGGAAAGAATGAGATCATGGCTCGTTGTGATGGGCTCGTTGTGATATCCGTCCATAGTCGAGCCTACATCCATCCTCAAGTAACGTGATAGCAGCTTCCTGTTAGCCTAGAAAGTTACCCAATCTTCGGAAAGCGCAACTCGAAGTCGGAAAATCAAAGACTGCAAGTAACGTGATGGCAGCTTCCTGTTAGCCTAGAGGGTTACCCAAAGTTCGGAAAGCGCAATTCGAACAAGCGAATACTTGCTCCGTTTAGGTTTCATTAGGTCGAGATGTAAGTTGTGGCTAAGGTGGCGAGGAGACACTGCTGCTAATGTTTTCTTCGTCTACTCTAGCAGCGACTTCGACAGTTCGGTCTATCACCAATGTGAAATGGCTTATGCCCACCACCATGCCTACACTACCGCTTCTACTCAACCAAGTCGCCTTTGCACTAGCAGGGGATATCTTGTCGTTCATTTGCCCACTACGAGATTCCCCCACCTTCCCTTCGTTTCCCCACAATCCTGATCGCGAAATTTGTGGCTTTTAGTCCCTGAGCCTGCTAGTGCAAAGGCAACTTGGTTGAGTAGAAGCGGTAGACACAATGAACACAATTAAGAATATTGTGACTGCCGTCCTGCTAACTATACACTGGCGCCGCACTTGAAACTAAATATGGAGAATTAAACAGTGCACATGGTATCATTCCTTTACTTGCGTGGTGGTGTACTTGCGTGGAGGTTTGTTAGATTGTGTGTTCGGCAGTCCTTTAATGAATCTCAGCATGGAGGTCCGTGTTCATGACGTTAGGGATAGAAGAGCGGATTTGCGTCATGTGGGGACTTTGAGTGTATAATGTCTGTCGCAAAACATTACGACTCTAAATCTACAGCCGTAAATTATAACATGACGTGCTTTTCGGCGTCAAATTCAAGTTTTAAACTTCCAAGCACATAGACGTATCAAATCGAACAACCACATTGGTTAGTTGATATTCTGAAGCATGGTAATGGATTTTATTTGATTCAACTGAAGAAAATAATTATGTTGTCCTCTGATCCGGCGCTAGAAAAAACCAACCTCTGCTAGGTGCCTGAGGATTGCAGAGATGACAAATCAATCTTGGCCGATTAATTATCCAAAACTGCAACTGCCGTGGCTCAGTAATCGTAGCTGGCGTTGTTGGGAATTATTGATGGGCCAAGTTTTTGTGTGTCGTGGTTTTGCAGATGTCCATCACTTCAAGAATTCCACCTCCAGCTTATCTTGGTGGAGCGCGCGGGTTCTCGCATCGGCACAAAGCCCCCTACCTCATTAGCGATTACGGTTTAGGTCGTAGTAGCGGCCGTTCGGCGTTGACTGACGGCAGGCAATGACCTCCCGCACCGGGCCGCAGGAGGGCCAATTCAATTGGAATCGATAAGAACAATGCGCGCTAGTTACAAGGTACCCCGCAGCAACTTCGATGTGCGCTCCGTAAAAAGAAGGAGTTCTCCCTTATCAGCACGCGCCCGCGGAAATTGGATTTAGCCCCAGTCACCGTCTCCTGCTACCTAACGTTACCCCAACCCGCAAAAGTTCCCGCCGTTGCGCTGGCCTCCACTGCAGCGCACAGACCAACGAATACGAACGTCGAACATAGCCCTAGAAAGTGGAAGCTTGGATCTCTCTCAAATTACCGGGTTGGAATTCCCGTTTGCGGCCCAAGGCAGCACGCCCAGGCTTGGCGCAGCCGCCACGGCGCATTCGCACCCAATGTGGCTCCAGGTGCCAATGTGGCTCCAGGTAGCCAATGTGGCTCCAGGTACTAGCACGCGCTTCCACGGACCCGGGAACGCCAAGTTAGTTCTGCGATAACAGCGACCCAGCAGGTGGACCTCGAGAAATGACTTGGGTTTGCCCAGGCGGGTGTTCGTTGGTCTTATCGCACGCGTGGGGAGATCCGCCGCAGGATCTCGGGATGTGCAGTGCAATATTACCACCACGCAGGGATGACGCCGAGCTTCCGAGCGCGAGGTTGGGGGCGAAGGCGCCGTGCCGGCCTACATCATAATGTCTCTGGCCCGGTCGCCCTCGATATCTGGTGGTGTTGTGTTGCAGCCTGCCCGAAGAGCCGCCTCGAGGGAACCTGTGTCTTTCATCATGTCGACACCGCGGCGCTCAGTGCGCTCCTTGGGTCTCTCTATCCTGTCTCTCGTTTCACTTTCGAGCCTGTCAACGGCCTCTTCTGGGCTTGCGGGCACTGGTCTGTCGGTCGTCTTTAATGATGTCTACTATTACATCTCGCCCTTCCCTTCTGGGCGCGTTCCCATGAACCCAAAGTCGCTGTCGAGTGTGCCGACAGTTTTTGGGTTCAAGCCGGTGACCGTCATCCAGGACGCCATCGCCGAGTCCGAAATTCCCGACCTCTTCACTAAATGGGCCGCCGAAGATGACGTGTTCCAGACCGCATTCACCCAGGCCATCTTCCTGGCCGGCTCCAACCAGACGTGCCTGACCAAAAGGGAGATCATCCCGGGGGGCGCTACCTCCTCGATTGTGGGCCTCAACGTCACCACGGTCCCCTCGGGCCCCTATTTCCTCGAGATGGCCACCGGCTCGCTGCACCCCGTGTCCCGTCTGTACGAGGACTTTGCCCAGGCCTTCTTGCAGTCCCTGATCCGGAATCCAGAGGGCAAATTCCAGCCCATGTCCGCTCAGATTCCTGGCTCTGCGTCGTTGACAATTGGCGTCCCTTCGAGGCTCTACTTCACAAAGACGGCTGCCAAGCCGCTCGCTGGTGTGCGGCTTGCGGTCAAGGACATCTACCGTCTTGCCGGGGTCAAGGGCTCCAACGGAAACAGGGCGTGGTACGACTTGTACCCTGCCAGTACTTACACCGGCCCAGCTATTCAGAGGCTTATCGATGCCGGAGCAATCGTCGTCGGTCTGCAGAAGACATCGCAGTTTGCCAACGGAGAGACGGCCACGGCAGACTGGGTAGACTACCACTCGCCCTTCAACCCCCGCGGCGACGGGTACCAAGACCCCTCCTCGTCATCCTCGGGAGCGGGCGCGTCCATGGGCTCGTACGACTGGCTCGACCTTGCCATTGGCAGCGACACGGGCGGTAGCATCCGCGGTCCTGCTGGCGTCCAAGGTCTTTTCGGCAACCGTCCGTCGCACGGGCTCGTGTCTCTTGACAACGTCATGCCTCTGGCTCCCACGCTTGACACGCCCGGGTTCCTGATCCGCGACCCTTATCTCTGGGACGCCGCAAACGCGGCCCTCTACGGGAGCAACTACAAGTCGCTCGTGTCGGCCACGCCCAACTACCCCAAGACGATCCGCACCGTCAGCTTCCCGGCCTCGGCCGGAACCAGCGCCTCGTCGAAGATCCTCCTCGACTTTGTGAGCGCCCTCGCCAACCTGACCGGTGCCACCGTCAAGCCGCTGACGCTGGCGACAGAGTGGACTGCGACCGGGCCGGCAGGCGCTGCTCCTCTGTCCCAGTATCTCAACACGACATATCCGGCCATCATCACTAAGGAGCAGATCAAGCTGGTCAGAGACCCCTTTTACGGCGACTACGCCGGTAAGTTTCTTCCCCTTCATCCTCTGCACTTTTCTTTTGCGGTGCATATTTTCTAACACCCGATCAGCTGCAAACGGCGGACGGCTGCCATTCATCAACCCAGTGCCGCTCTCGCGGTGGGGGTACGGCGACACGCTGTCGGAGGAGCAGCTGCAGGCGCAGTACACGGCGCGGGAGACGTTCATGGGGTGGTTCAACACGGAGATCCTGGCGCCGGTCGCGGACGAGACGCAGTGCTCTTCAAGCATCGTGCTCTACATTGGCAGCACGGGCGGCCAGAACCCGCGCAACCGCTACGGCAGCGCGCCCGGCGTGCCGTTCGGCTTCAGCACGGGCCGCGTTAGCCCCTTCACCGAGGTGCCCGACTCGGTGTTCCCGCTCGGCGAGGTGTCGTCGACTAGCTCCATCACCGGCAAGCCCGAGCCGCTCCCCGTCGCCGTCGACGTCATGGTGGCCAAGGGCTGCGACGGCTTGCTGGTGAGGCTCGCGCAGGACCTTGTCAAGGCCGGCGTCATCACGATCCCCAAGACGGGTGCATCGGGCAAGACGGGGGGCAAGATTCTGCTAAAGGCGAGGGGGTTTTAGAGTTGTGTTAATGACTGGGGCAGCATACGATAATGTCGGAAAGTAATTAACTAATACGTAGGCGAGCCAGCTAATACATTTCTTTGTGTTTAACAAAATCTTGCATCCTTGGATACTTGTCTTGGATTTGTTCAGTCAAGGCCCGGTGAATACCGAGGAATAGAACGCCCCAGCTTGCGATTGCATTGACGTCTCCTTTAAACCACTAAACAGTTCTCTCTATCCAAACCCCGGATTAACGAATGCTTTCCCCTTTTAAATATAACAGAGCCAATTATAGAGCAGTCACTCGAAATCCTTGAGGCTCTGGTCGTCCTAACCTACTCAGGCTCTGGGCCATGCGTACCCTGCGGCTATGCACGAAAGGCAGACAGCGGACAGCAGCCGTTGAGATTGGCAGCCGGCAGCCTCGCATCGGACTCGTCGAGCTGTGCCGCTTCCCCGCGCTAGGCACTCACGTCGAGTCTTCCTTCCCTCAACGGCGGTCAACCCCACGGCCAACGACGCGCCCGGGCCTTGTCCTGAAGAAACGTCGACTCTCAGACAGAGGCTACAATGTCGGCAGCGAGGCGGCAACAGAGGCAGCACCAGCGCGACCTGGTGCGGGATTGGAAGCTACAGACGAGGTTCTGCAGCGGATCCGTCGAGCACGTCCGGTACTCGTCGCAGGGCCTCGGTCCGAACCAGCGCCCGCAGCCGACCGTCGAGGCCTGGAACAGACAGCGCGAGCTCGGGAGCGGCACCTTCGGCACGGTATGGCTGGAAGAGTGCCTGTCGGACCCGGCTCGCGGCCAGCTGCGCGCCGTCAAGGAGATCCGCAAGGGCAGCTCCTCCCCCCTTGTCCCCGGCGGCGCTGCCGTAGACTACGAGCGCGAGCTCGAGGCCGTCGTCAAGTTCTCCCAGGACACGTACGTGCGCTGCTTCGTCCGCTCGCTGGGCTGGTTCGAGAACGACTCGGCCGTCTACATCGCCATGGAGTACATCGAGCGAGGCGACTTGCAAGGCTGCCTCACCCATCCTTTCCCCGAGAAGGACACGTGCGCCATAGCCTCTCAGCTGGTTGAGGGGCTGCAGTTTATGCACAACAACGGCTCTGCTCACAGAGACCTCAAGCCGGCGGTACGTGGGCCAGTTGTGTTTCTCTCCAACGCTTGTCACTGACCCCCCTAGAACATCCTCGTACTCTCCAAGCGGCCGTGGTGGGTCAAGATCAGCGACTTTGGTGTCAGCAAGCGCATTGAAGGGTCGACGGCCTTGAGGACCATGCAGCTCGGCACCTGGGGCTACATCGCCCCTGAGGTGATTGGTCTCATTCCACTCGACGAAGAGGACGACGACGGGGAGGACGACGACGGGGAGGGCGACGACGGGGAGGACGATAACGGGGAGGGCGACGACGGGGAGGACGACGATGACGGCGAGGGTGTCAATAAATACACTCTCGCCGTGGACATATGGGCGCTCGGCGAGATCGCCTTCCGCATGATCGCCTACGCGCCCTCCTTTAGCGAACCACGCCAAGTGAGTCGCTACGTCGTACGAAACGGCCCGTTCCCGACGGCCAAGCTCGTGGCTCGCGGTGCAAGCAAGTCCTGTCAAGAGTTCATCCAGTGGACCATGGCCGCTGGAGCTAGTCGCCGGCCCACGGCCGATCAAGCTGCCGCTCATGTCTGGCTCCAGAGTCTGGAGACAACCACCGGCAATGGTATACCAGACTTGGGAGAGGCCGTCTGTAGCGGCGCCGCTGGAGGTGCGATGGACGACATGAACACTGCAGTTTCCGAGGCGCCAAGCAAGAGGTGGAGTGATGAGATTGATCCCGATGACGACGACGCAAAGGATGTTGGCAGAGAATTGCCGCCTCCTTTATCGGACAAGTCAAAATCTACCCCTGCGCCTACTGAGTCGGCTTCCCACTTGGTCCTGGGCGACCCTCGCACTCACTCATCACACGGGGAATCAACCACTCGCCTTTATTCGGACGACCTTGACCGAGGTGAGACTTTGGAGAGACCTGTACAAGAGACCATGTCCGAGACAGAGATTTCGGCGCTTCGGCAGGCGGTGGCAGGCGGTGGCCGATCGGATGGCGGAGGTCGAGAAGTCGCGCTTTGTTGTGGTGAAGGATGAAGAAGAACTCAGAGAGCGAGAAGAACGTAAGCCGCGAAAGAAGGACGCAGAGAACCTCCCCATTCGGGAAGAAGTTACGGAGTTGAGGAGGTGGAATAAAGACAATTGCTCGCATTTTGGGGGAAAGAACTGCCACCGAGGCCGGAAGAATCTGCATGGGAACCACACGACGTGGAAAATAACTGGCTGCCAGAAGAACCAACAATCCGCCCGGCACAAAATAACCAAGGGCATCAACTGCAAACACACGAACCAGATACGACAGAGATGCCCGGCGTCGCGGGCGTCACGTTGGACAAAATACATGAACATCGACACGAGAGATCGGCCCAGCTCACGTACCGATACCAAACTCTACCCCTTAGTAAATATCGTCGCAATTACAGACGACGCTCGCCGCATTTGGATCAAACGTCGACTCACCCACCGTCTGTTGCACCCGACCACATCGCCGCTCTCCAGTCTGAGCCCAGTCCACCGGTTTCCAGCTTCGAGCCAATCTTGCGGCCTCCACCGGCCAAGAAGCGGTCCGAATTATCTTGGTTGAAAAAGTTCAGACTAACGCCGTGGCTCAACAAACGATTGAGCAACCCAATGCCTGACGACCCAATGCCTGACAACCCAAAGCCTGACAACCCAATGCCTGACAACCCAATGCCTGACAACCCAATGCCTTACAACCCTAGAATGACGGTCTTTGGCGTGCCACTGCGCGCCAGTATTGAATATGCCAGGAATGCAGTCATTATGATCGACGGAGAAGGGAGATTTCACAACGCTGGTTACATTCCCATAATCGTAGGGGAAGTTGGAAATTTCCTAAAAGCAGAAGGTAATTTATTTGCAGACTTCGACAGACCCTCTCATGAACAGTGTCCACCCTACCTTTGCTCCTCGTACGAAGCATTTAGGGAGCCCCTCCGGAACCTCGTCACCGAAGGGCCGGCCCTGACCACCAGCGTCCCCGACCACAAGCCACCGCCGGTCATCTTCAAGACTTTCCTCCTGAACCAGAACGCGCTGATTACCTCGTACAAGCAGCTGGTATGGGAGATCCCGCCCGTCAACCGCGAGATTCTTCTCTATCTCCTCGACACATTAGCCTTATTCGCCAATAATAGCGACAAAACTAACGTGCCCACGTCCAGGCTCGCTGTCGTGTTTCAAGCTCTGCTCTTGACGCATCCGCAGCATTACACGTCGCAAGACGACATCAGGCTTAACCAAGCCGTCATTATTTTCTTCATCGAGAACGAGAAACACATCCCCAGAATTTAAAATTACTTACCCGTCCTCGGTATCTATCAACGCTAGCAGTCGCGCATACACAGTACTAGATATCAGACTACATACAGGCCTCCCGCCGAAAGCTCAGGTATCTGATAACACGGGGAAGGCAGACAATGCGAAGGAAATGGCAGCGCAGGATATACCCGGTAGGGCGTTTTTGTAGCTCTGACGAGTATCACAAACTCCTCAGCCAACCAAGTTTCTCAACTTATAACCCCAAGCAGTGTGCACGTTGAGCACTTGACTGCGTCAAAGTATTGATAACATGAAGTATCGCGGTATGAAGGAAGATAGAATCAGGCAACTCGCTTACCAGCATAATATCCGTCGATAGCATCAAGCACAGGGAAGAAAAGTGCAACGGCCCATTTGCCGCTCTCGGACACAAGAATCTTTGGAAGCAGAGTTGAGAAGCATTGGAATGTGGAATTAAAAGGAAGTGCGCTACGAGTAGCTAACGAGTGCAAGAATCGAAGTTGGTTATGTATATCTCAAAGCCTCAATGCTTCTTCTCCCGTTCTGCTGCACTAACCATCTCTGTCTCCCTGACACTAAAAGACAGAAAAAAGAGAACTTCTCGACTAGGCTGTGTTTTGTTGTGTGCTGTGCCTAAGTGACTTAGAAGGTGTGCAGGTAGTCGCCAACAAACGAACTGCCGAGACGCGACACCGTCTCAGCGAGCTCGCTGGCGCCAAAGGTCTTGGCCAGCGTCTTGGCCCAGTCGGCCGCCTTGCCCTGGATGGTCAGGACGATGAAGCGGTGCTAGGTTTGAGCAGAGTCAGTCACTGTACGTCTCATAGTCTCTACCGGGTAATTACCTGGTAGGGCTTGTTGTTCTTGTCGTGGAGGGCGACCCAGCGGTTCTCGCCCTCCTTGTTCTTCTGGCCGTACTGGAAGCGGTCGTTGATGGTGACGATGAAGTGGCCTGCCGCTGTCCGTCAACATTGCGATGAGATCGCGTCCGTCACCTGGCCAGAAACTCACCACCTTCCTTCCTGGCGCCCGGCAGCTTGCCAATGTAGTCGGCGCTGGCCTCGTCCTTGTAGAAGCGGTCCTGGACGTAGAGCAGCACGTCGTCACCCGCCTTGGTCACGTTCTTGGCCTTGACAATGTAGTAGCGGCCCGTCTTGGTCTGGAACGACTGCGACCACGAGAGGTCCTGCACGGCCTTCTCGGCCTCGGCCGTGTAGGTGGGGATGGACAGGGTGTTGCCGGCTTCGGGAATGGAAGGCATTTTGAATGAATGGGGGGAGGATTGGATGCGGTGTGTCGAGATGGTTGGCTGGTTTTTTGGAGTGTTTGAAAGGCTGCGAGATGCTTGATGCGCGATGGAGATGATGAACGGAGACAACTGGACAGCGAAGAGGACGGACGACCTTTAAGTATCTGGTTATCTCACCTCGGATCTTCTTTCTGATTCTGGAAGAAGCACATTCGCACAGAAACACGGTGGCAAAGCCGGTCTCGCACAGGAACACAGTGGCAAAGCCGGTCTCGCCGTGCCTCCCTTTTCGTGGTTTCGCAACTTCTCCGTCATCCTCACCGCGCGTCGTGAGACAAGCTCTCCCAAACCATCGAGTCTCTCGACCAAAAAGGGAAAAGGTTCAATGCTGTTCAGCCCTCACCTGGCCTGCAGCGTTGCAGGACTAAACTCAGCCTTCACTAGTTCTCGCGGTCTATCTAGATGCGGCTGAACCTCTGCCAGCAGATAAAGAACTGACAAAGCCCGCTGTTGAGTCACCGGGTCAATATTGCTGAAGCTGGCAGAGGTGTAGATCGCTCTCCCACCAGAAGCTTGACTACGGCAGGTCAGCTCGCCAAGGGCCGCCACTTCGTTGAGGGTTTTGCCCATTTTGGCAAAACCACCACCGCGGCCGCTAGCCAAACGTGTTCGTTGGCTGGGAATACTTCTGAGCAACTAAATGAGAAAGGAGGTGCATCGAGGGGCTGCGGCCAATAAGATTGCGCCAAACAACTGGTGGTGCCGCATCGACTCACAATATCGCCAATATTCAGCCAAATCCAATCGAACTTGTCCATGTCGAATTTGATGCCATAATTGCAAATACACCTCAAAGCCAAAATGACGCCTGCGCACTCTTATGTTGCGACATTTAGGAATGCCGTTCTTTTTTTTTTTTCTGTTGGTTATCTGTGGTGTAGATCTCTTGTATTGTTAAAGCTCTTGTATTGTTAAAGCGGTGGGTGATGCATCGCCAGCTGTTAGAAAGGTCAGCGCACGTTCAACGATTCATACCTGTGTTAAACTTGGTTCCTACCCCTACACGAATCTGATCTCGATGAGCACACCCAAAGTCACATAGTAAGAAACTAATGGAAACTACCGCAAGGGCCACCTCTGACTCACTTCGGTTCAGCCCACCTTCGTGTTTCCCACTAGTTTATCTCTTCCCGAATGGTCCTCATCAAGACATTATTGTAGCCAAGAGTGGAAGGCCGGCAAATTGGCTGAAACGGCCGTCACTCCGCCGGCCTTCTTTCTCAGTAATACCTGGACCCTTGGTGACAGGACCAGGTCCCAGCACCGAGAAATAATGTGTGTGCGGGTTGTTTCCAATCCGAAGCTGGAATGGGCATGTGTGTATCGGTTTCCCAATCCTTGCACACCGTAGCTCGTAATGACGGGAGCTCAGGATATCGTTTCCAAACACACAGAACATCGATAGCTGATGAGATCATCGAAAAGGAACCCAATCAAGCCTGCTTCTCTCCACGTTCAGCGCACCACATCTTCGAGTATTGGATAGTGACTCACTCAGCAATGCAGTGCGTCAACCATGATACGCAGGAAATGAGATCCGAATGGAGAACGGGAGATGAGATGAGGAGTAATGTGGTTGAGGGCGAGATAATCACTCAACGCAAAGTGAACAAGTATCAGTGAATACGCACGAGAGGAGGACTCCCGATCTCTCTCTTCATCAACCCACCTTTCAGACCCAAGACGACCCTGGCATCCCCACAACCGACATCGCAATGGATGGCAGCCCTGTTGACACCAACACGGAGGGGTCCTTGGCCCCTCTCCAACCCCCCGGGTTCACACAGCAGAAGCGGATCAAGTTCGAAAACGGCCAGCTCGTCGAATACTGGGTCGATGTTCCCATCGAGAAACTCAAGGTTGGTGCGTCGAACCACTGTCCATAGCTTCTCCCTACCTCCCAATACCTCTCTGACCCCATTGGCCCTTGCCCAGAGGCGAAGCCTAGCGCCCCGCTGGAGCTCTTCAAGGAGTTCAAGTGGGAAGAAGACATGTCACTCGGCTCCGTGTTTCCCAGCCTGAGCGGCACCGAGTTTGACGCGATCACGCTGAAGAACACTGCTATGACCTGGCTCGGTCGTGACGCATCCGCTCTCAAAAAGGCTGGGCTTTGGCTCGAGACGGACGTCGAGTTCCGCGGCATCCTGCAGCCCATCCACGACACCCTCCGTGACGTCTTTTCACAAGACAAGCCCGGGCTGCACCTCTCGGCGCATCTAGGCATCCAGCAAGACTGGACCGACGAGCTCATCGCCACCGGTTTCACCTTTAAGGGCAGTATCGACGGCATCAACCGTGGCTTTGGAGATTTTCTCATGTTCCGGAACGCCGGAGTCATGCTCAACGTTGTGCCCGGCAAGGGCGGCGACTTGGACACCCTCTGGGGCTTTTTCGGTACCTTGCACTTGGCCATTCCCAACTCGGTCGTGCCGCTCGTTCTTAACTACACGCTCGAGCCCAAGACGGACACTCTGGACATCGCCATGACCTTTGGCGAGGGCGAGGGATGGCAAAGCGTCTTTGGCGTTTCGGGTTTGGATGTGAGTTTCCTTTATTGGATCCGCTTCTTCATCTAGGTCAAACTCGCTCATATGTGTCGCGCAGCTCAATCAAGTCACATTCGGAACTAGCATCGCTAAGTCGGATGTGAAAAAGTCGCTGGAGTTCTCCATCGCCTCCAAGTGGTCCCTCGGTGGCGTTGCTGTCGAACTGAGCGGCTGCATCAAGAAGTGTTGGTCTTCCTGCTATCCATGTACTTTCGGGACCTCACTTACAGACGCGGCTAACCCTCATACCAGCTGGCTCCAGTCTCCGCGGATACATCAAGACGCTGACAATGGACGACATCCGGAAGCTCTTCAATACAATGACCGGATCCCATCTTGATCCCGTCGAACAGGACGTACGATTCAGCGAGTTGACCGTCGAGATATCGCAGGGACGCCTGATGCTGTATGGCGAGGTCTGGGTCGACTCATACAAAGTTGCCGCCGCCAAAGTCCTCATCTCGGTCGATGGCGTCATGATCTCAGGAGCTGTCGACGATCTTCACATTGGCGAAGAGGTCTGTGTCAAGCAAGCCCGACTGGAGCTGATCATCGGCGACGTCAGTAGGCCGAAGGAACCTACCGGCATTCCCAGCCGACCCCAGGGCAACGACCCGAACACGGGCACCGAGGACACGCAGACTACTCCAGAGAGCCGCCAAGGAGCCAAGAATGAAGTTGTCCAGCAGAAGGCTACCGGCTCAACCAAATCCGCGGAGCAAAAAGGAAAGAAGAAAGGCACGCCTGTCGCCGCCATTATCCGAGGAGAGGTCGATGTCCACACCGACACGTTCAATCTCAAGTTCAACGTGGCGGCGGCTATCTCCAAGACCGCAGACGGCCCGCTGAGCTATTTCGTGTATGGACAGCTCGACTGCGAGAGCTTGAGCATTGGCAAGATGGTGGGCGATGCAATGGAAGACGGGCACCCCATGGACCTGCAGTTGGACCGAGTCACGCTGGTGGCTGCCAGCCATGACATCACCAACGACTATGGCTTGAACACGGCGCGGTTCCCCATCAAGGAAGGTAACTACGTGAAATTGGGCCCCCCACTTTCCACGGCTGGCTTTGTACTGATCGTTGACGCTCGCTGTAGGAATCTTCCTCTGCGCCGAGCTCAAGTCGGTTCCCTTTGTGGGCGAGCTGTGCAAGGGCTCGACGCCGGGGGACAGATATATCCTTCGCGCTGGATACTCGCAGAAGGGCGGGCTCAGCATCGGTATTATCCTTCCAGAAAGTATCCGGGTGAGTGGCTGGTGACTTCGAGCCCTTATTAGCATTCTGTGAGCACACACAATAATCATGGCTGACTTGAGCCCCTGTTTCTTCTCCCAGATTGAGTTGTCGCCAACGGTGGTCTCGGGGCCTCTGACTCTGATCGTCGAAACGAAACCTGACCTCAAGATCGTGTTTGATGCGACGCTCTGGGTCACCCCCGACGGCGAAGAGAAACCATTGCAACTTGACCTGGGCGTAACGGCCGACAGTTTGCAGGCCACGGCCTATGCGTAAGTCTGCCCATGTCAAAGGGGATGCACCCCCTTGCTAACACGGACGCGGAACAGTCAGATGACCGGCTGGTGGAACAACCCCTTGGGACTGAGCCCTCGATTGAAGATAGGTGCGCTGCTCCCACGATAAGAAAACATGCACCTACGCTCGAGTTTCTCGCTAACAGTCGGTCGATCCAAAGGGCCTCGTCTGACCTTGGAGGTCGAGGTCATCTACGAGCAATTCCTTGCTTCTGGAACGCCGTCTGGTATCGGTTTCGAGGGAGGGTTTGTTGTCGACGACACGGACGAATATGCCGTGGCTTTCAATATCGGCACCAATCCGAAGGAGTCGCTCGTCAAGCTCAAGGCGGCATGTCTCGAGTCGGGCCAGGTGATCAACCTGATAAACGCGGCCGCCGACCTCGAGATTGAAAACCCCAAGCACGAGATGATTCGCTTCCAGGACGTCAACGTCTACGCCAGCCCGCTCGGGTGCATTATCGGAACCCAGGCGTACCCGCCGGGCTTCGCGGTCCAGGGCAAGGCCTTCATATTCGGGAACAAGGTCGAGATTGACGCTCGCATCGGGAGCGAGGGCATGAAGCTCAAGGGCGAGATCGACGGCTTCGAGCTTGGCCCCCTTGCCGTCCGGGGCGGGAAGCGTGCCGACGGTACGAGGGGAGAAAAGGCACTCATCGACTTTGAGATCACCAAGGAGAGGCAGTGCTTCGAGGTCAGCGGAAGCGTCATTCTCTTCGATCTCGAGGCGTCCGTCTTCGTCAAGGCCCAGGTCATGCCGGAACCTGATCTCGAGTTCAACTTTGAGCTGTCGTGGAGCGACTTGCTCAGGTTCCAGGTGGACGGAAAGCTCATCAAGTCGGCCAGTGAAGGCAAAGAGGTCGAGGCTGGCGGCGGCGTATTGTCGAAACTGAAAGATGCCGACTTCCAAGTCCACGCGCTGATGGAGCAGCGCATCCTCAGCGAAATCTCGGAAGCCATGCGAAAGTGGTTCGCAAGCGCCCAGGCGTCGGTCCACGAAGGTATCGATGCGGCAAAGCGCAAGGTGGACGAGGCCAAGGCCGAGTTTGAGCGCAAATGCGAGGTGGCCAAGCAAGAGGTGCAAAAGACGCGGATCAAGTTCGACGCGGCTATGGAGAGAGCGCAAGGCAGCCTTCGAGAAAAAGAAGAAAATTGCCGCCAGGAGCGTCTGGCAAACGAGCGCTACATCGTGGAGGAAGAGAAGCGGGCCGATGAGAAGATCCGTGTTGCCGTCGCTGATCTGGACGCGAAGAAGAAGGCCTTTGAGGAGGACACGGAAGAAAAGAAGCGCAACCTGAACCAGAAGCGGCGTGACGGCGACGAGGCAATCAACTCCAAGATCCGCGAGCTCCAGGGCGTGCGCGAGACCCTGCAGCGAAAGTTTGGCAATGCTATTCAGGCGCTGGAGAGCGCCAAGGCACGGGTGTGGGCCGAGCAGGGTGAGTACCTCCATTCTCTTCGTTGTTGGTATTCTCTACCCAACCTAACATGTTCTCCAGCGCGCGTGGACCGGGCCCAACGGGACGTGGACGAGGCCGTCGACGAACTCGACGATGCTGCATGGTACGAGAAGCCATTCTTGGTAAGTCCCATCGACAGCAGGATCGAACTCCCTGTTCCAACATCAAGTAGTCTAACGGATCTCTTCGCAGGCATGCCGCGTTGCGGTGCGGAAAGCCGAGTATTTCATCATCAAGGCAGCGCTAGGCGCAGCTTCGCTCATCCTCGACGCCGCACGGTTCATCGTCGAAGGTGTCGCGTACAATATCGCCCTCGGAGCCGTCAGCCTTGCTGAAGGCGCTCTTGCCACCGCGCGGAGCTTCTGGGCCGGCATCATCGCGACCGCGCAGCTGGCCTTGGACGGTGTAGCAGCAGTGCACGCGGCGGGCATCGGGATAGCAAAGGTCGCGGTGACGGCGGCGGAGAAGGTGGCGCTGGGGATGAAACAGGCGGCGGCGGCAGCAAAGGACGCGATGCTGGCAGTGCAGCAGAAGGTTCTCGAGACCGCGCGTGCCGTAGTCAAGGCGGTTGCCGAGGGAATCGACTTCATCGCCTTCCAGGCCGCGCTCGAGGTCCTCGACGCTGCGCAAAAGAACACGGTTTGGGTCGACATTGCAAAAGCTGGGTTGGATGCTGCCGAAGCTGTTGCGCAAGCGGTTCTTGCCGCAGGCAAATGGCTCGCCGAGCGGCTGGCTGACACGCTAAACATTCAAGTGGTGGAGCTGACGGCGTCTCTGCGCACCATCACCCACGGCGGCCCCTTCACCATCCGCGTCAAGGGGATCGTCTTGGGGAGTGCCTTTGATTTCGAAGGGACTTGGACTCCGCGGGATGTTCTTGGGTTCATTGCGGCCGTCTGCAAGGAGTTGTGGGACAAGTTCATGGTCAATGTGCTCGAGCTTTTTTCCGAGAGCCAGAAATCGATCAAGCATGAGTAGGGTGGGTACCTGGGTGGGACGGTGGGTACGCGATGAGATTAGTTTCAGTCTGCAAGTAATACCTTCTCTTTCGGGGTGTTTTAGAGACTTAGTCTGTGTGTGCAGACGTAGATACCAGATCAGTTACGTAGTAGCCAGCATGCAGTTATAGAAAATTAGCTCAAAATTAGAATATGGTTCGCAGTCCAGAGCTTCTTCCTTGTCTCATCCAGTTTCGCATTTCGGCACCTGCCCGTAATGAGCGTCCCTGGATGCGGTCATGGCCAACGCACCAGCAAATCGACCCACTTTTGCTTTTTTTCGACAACCGATCCCTCTCTTTCTTTACCCCATTGGGACGAAATTGGACCGCATCGATAGTAGAGGGCAGATTCACCACGACTTGAAATGCAACAGCAGCAATCCTCTCGCACGAAATAGGCGACGCGTATCACCAACCCCTCGCTTAGGCCGTGTGTCTCAAGGCCAAGTGCAGCAACTGCCGTACGTGGGAAGCTCCAATCTCCATTCTTTAGCACAAAGTCTCTCTTCTCGTCTCCAGAAGATCAATGTCCAAAGCACGCTCCTCGGAAACGCTGGATTACTGACACGATCTTGCAAGACCACGTAACGTGGGCAGGCTGTAGTAATCACATCGCGAACGTCATGGACCAGGTTCCCAAGAACGAGTGCTGCACCTGCACAACCACGGTCAAGAATGAGGGTAAAGAGTACCCCCCGCAGGGATCCTATATGTCAGCTGGTGAGGTGTGCTAGGCTCGGAAGGGAGAGAGATCTTGGTGATGAGGAAGGTTTTATGCAATAAAATTGAATATTTGCCGGTTGGTAGTGTAGGATTATTGAACGCCTGGGCCAATGTGATGTTAGAGATACGTTTCTACCCGTTCGATATTGTCTCCGATGGACGAGCAAATGCTCCCAGGTGTTCTAGATGTTAAGCGGCTGTCTAATCTTTGCTCTCCTCTAGATTATCGCCTGTCCTAAATGAGCTTGTTGCCTCCTATCTCCCCTACCGCGGTGCTTCCGTCCTCAAGCCCGCGACCATGGTAATCGGTAGGCGCGTGCCAGCCGTCGTAGGCCAAAAAAGAAAAAAAAGGTGAACTGCTTGCTCCCGGGGTCTATCTGGCGATTGTGCTGTCAGTTAGGCTTGTCGAAGCAGTGATTGAGGAGCCCACCTGGACCAACCCTTTCGGCCTGTCTTTATGGAGATGGACTTGAAGGAGCTTGCTCCCTTTTCTAATTTGAAGAATCGGTCTCTCTCATTTGAGGAGGGTATTTGAGGGTGAGGCTGTGAACGATTAAAATCACGGCTGTGGAAGGAAGTGGGCAGCGACCGTGTCGGGCTGCGTTACTGTCTCAGGCGCGAGGTTAGAGGTACAGGACCTGCTCAGGAAGCTCAGTGGGACACCGTCAGCAACCGGCCCCGCAGCAACGTCAAAACTGCGTCCACGATCACGGATAGATAGCTAATTCAAAGACGTGAGGCAAAGTCAAACGTAGACGGCTCAAATGACTGCTCTCGGCAAAGGTGTGACAGGAGCGCCCCCGCCACAATCTCTGGAGGAAGCAGCGGCTGTTTCCGTCACTGGACGCCGAAGTTCATTGCTCACGCCTTCCACGCGGCGTGAAAACATCGCAGTCGTCTTATCCGACGATATCGCCATACTATTGTAAAAATAAAAAAAGAAGACACACGAAATCAAAGCGAAGCGGGCACAAGTTTGAACGCAAGGAACCCTCAAGACCGAGAGCAACAGCGATATCTGCCAGGAGTGCAGCGAGTAATAATACTCGACGCCTTTGAATACGGGCACGTCGTAACGATAAGACTAAGCGGATGAACACAAAGAACGAGGAACAAGCGACTTTCTTTTCGTTTTCTTCTCCATATCACGGCCCGAAGGCTATGATTACAGTGAAAAAAATAAATTACTCTCTTTGTATAGCGTGTCATCCTTAGTGCAGGGGCCATGCTAATCTTCTCTGTATTGTTTCAATGTGACCAGATTGCCCGAAGGCTGGAGGAAAAAAGGAAAGGAAGGAGAGATTGGCGGGTGCGAGCGCTTGTTTCATAAACAATCTAGTTGATCCGTGCACGACTGAAAAAAAGTGACATGGCAGAAGTACCTTTTGTTTTGCTCCACTTGTCTCAACCCGTCCCCTTTTGTCCCCACTGCTCGGAAAGAGAAGTGGGCCACCAGTGACCAAACAGGCAAGCGAGTTTCCCTCCAACTCTTGTTTTCTCTAGCTTGTTTTTTGTTTCCTTCCTCTAATCAGATACACATAGGGGACCTCTCATCTGGTTCTTAGTGGCTTGTTCCAGCCTGACAATAAACATTCATACCACCTTCATAGCCAAGGTCACCAAGTGTGACGACGGCATGGCGCAAGCCAGTGTCGACTGGATTCATCTCGGCGCCTTTCTGGACTGTCAAGTTTCGGTTGAGTTCTGTTACACTGTCTTGCATCTACCTATAACTAGCATTTAAGATTTATGTCAACTTGTTCCATGAAGTAAATAGATCCACTAATACGAGTTGATGAAGCAAATCAGAGAGACAATGGAGGCTGTGGTATGCTGGGCCACCTCTAGGTCATTGTGCTATGCAGATTGCCTTCGCCCTTATTAAAGTGTTATTGTTCGTCTGAATGATAGGAATCACGTGAATAATACCGTTGTACCGAGCGGGGCGCCAGAGCTGCCCTCGTCTTCAGGCATTGTTTATGCAGTTACTTCGCCGCATGTAACAGGCAGACTGTTCTGTTCCTGCTTCTGTCAGGCCCGCCTTGCGAACATATTCCAACGCAACGCATTCACGAACCCCCCCCCCCCCACCCACCACACCTCACTCTCAACATCCACCTACCGCTTTTGTTAATCTCCCTATATTGTAGCTGAAACATTACCTCGTCCATCTCTTTGTTTCAAGCAACTCAGCATAATGGCTCTATCGTCCCGCTCGCCAACTCACTCCGCACCTTCTCGCTGACCTCGTCCCACTTGTCCAAGGCATCCTGTTCGGCATCGAAATCGTACAATGGGCGGTTCTAGCGACGAAGATGAGTCAGCCTATAATCAACAACCAGCATCTATAGCAAACGCCACAGGAATAGAACACGTTACCGACCTTGATCTTGACCATCTCGGGATCAATCTCAATGTCCTGGCCTACATTCTTTAGCACATTGTGCCACCTGTCCCGCAAATCCTCGCCGTGCGTCTGGCTGACACGAGTCCGGGGGAAACGCAGCTTCTCGTAGGCCCGCGTGGCGACCTTGATGTCGTCGCGGGCGGGCGCGAGACGCAGACACAGGGCCAACACACCAGCGCTCTCGCAGGCCTGGCTGGCGCCCTGGGCCGAGGTGGGCAGGTGGGCGTGGCAGCTGTCGCCGAGCAGGACGATGCGGTGGGCGTCGGGCGACACCCAGGTGGGCAGCGGCTTGCGGTAGCAGATCTTCCAGTCGAGACAGGCGTCGGTGGACCGGATGGCCTCGCGGATGGCCGGGTCGATGTCGGACACGAGCCGCCGCACCTCATCCATGTCTCCCGGCTGAAACCAGCTCTCCGGAACGTCGCCATCATCGCGGTGCGTCAGGATCCAGTTGAACTCGCGCCCGCCGCGCAGCGTGTTCTGCACCACGTGGGTGTCCGGGCCGATCCAGAAGTTGACGCTGTCGCCGTCGACCAGGAACGCGTTGCGCGCCGGGTCCGCGGCCATGGCTGCCGAGGGCTCAAAGTAGGCGCGGAAGCACGCGTAGCCGCTCGACACGGGGTCGTCGCGGGCTCCCAGCACCAGATGGCGGGCCAGAGACTTGATGCCGTCGCAGGCTACAACGACGTCGGCGCGGATCGTCTCGCCCGAGGCCAGGGTCAGCGACGGCTCCGTCTCCGAGTCGGCGTAGGCGACGACGTCGCAGCCCATGCGGATGGGGATGCCGCGGTCGCGCACCCACTTGAGGAATATGTCGTGGTAGTCGCCGCGGTGGCCAATGTAGCCGGCCATGTCCATCAGTGGCTGCTCGGCCAGCACCTTGCCGTCGTGCCAGCGCCGGATCTTCATGGTCGGCGCCTGGTTGCCAATCTCCTGGATCTCGCGGACATTGCACCCCCAGCGCGCCAGCAACTTGTATGCATTTTCGCCCAGGCCCAGCGAGTCCCCCAGCCGGTTGAACTGGCGCACCTTGTCGAGGACTGCTACCACCTCGTGTCCCTGATGATGCAAAGCGATGGCTGCCGCGCAACCGCCAAGCCCGGCGCCGACGACAATGACTGAGAAACTTGTGTCAGAGGGTGCGAGTAGATGGAGCAGGGGGCCAAATAGGCCCTTACCTCGCAAAGGGGGATTATGGACCGAGGCTAGTCTCTCGAATGGTTTCCCTGTTTCTTGTCCTGAGGCCATGGTCGAGTACTTGCTCGGGACGGCGTATGATTAGTCCAGTTTCCTGCCGCTGGTTATTCGCAGTTATCTCATCTGAAGAGAACCAGAGACAATTGACTGTAATCAGACGCCAAAAATAGGGAATCAGCCAGCTCGAGAATAACCTACCTAGAAGTGACCATGTTCGAACCACCAAAATGATTAAGATAAATCAATGCCTCGTGCGGGGGACGAGGTCGAGATCGAGTGCGCCTGGAGCTTACCAAGAACCCCGAATGCATCCCGGCAGTTGTCGAGCAAGGGGCTCGCAGCCCAATCTGGAGCGGAGTCGTAGGAAAAGCGTTGCCGGCAGAATTCCCCTGGATGCAGGCATGCTTCCCCTCCGGTTCAGCACTCCCATCCCGCGTCTGCGGGGTTGCCGTCCCAGGCACTCGAGCTCCATGGGTCTTGGATGGGGGCAGCGGGCGGGGCCATGGGGATGGAGCTAGCGGCCATCTTGTATAGGGGGAAGGTGCGACTACCATAAATGTGATGGTGTGCTTCAAAAGTCCCACTTCAGCAAAACCTGAAGCCGCAGTTTTGCTTGCGCCCTGCCCGCTGCGCCCGTGCTTCCCGACCAAGACTTGCGACATCTCCAAGGACAAGATGCCATCCGAACCGCCCTTCGGCCCGCCCTTCGGCCCGCCCCCCTCCCTCGCAACCAGCTATTCAGGCCTCCCCGATCGGCTTGCAGACATCGGCATCGAGTCAAAAACACGCCTTCTTTCGAAGCGAACCCTCCCCGAAAGCGCCCCTCGACAACATGACGTCCCTCGCCTCCCGCCAGACACCACCCGAGCCGAGTTCAACCAAGCAATAGGAGAGCTCAAGCAAATCCTCGGGGATGAGCACGTTGTCATCAATGACAGGCCTCTGGTCGATGGGTGGTATATCGAGCACCCGTACGCGCCCTCTCGCTTTTGTGCTTGCAATGTCCTCGTCGTAACTAAGGCTGTAAATTTGCAGAAACACGCATGATGCGTACCACATTGCCCTCCAAGAAGACCTGGTCTCGAGCGCTGTCGTGTATCCCGGCACAGTCGAAGAAGTTCAAGCCATTGTCCGCTGGGCGAACAAGCACAAGATGCCCGTCTACCCCATCTCCATGGGGCGTAATATCGGCTACGGCGGGACAGCTCCACGTGTTCCCGGGAGTGTTGTGATTGACCTCGGGAGGAGAATGAACCGCATTCTAAACGTTGACGCCGAGAACGCCTCGTGTCTGCTGGAGCCAGGCGTCTCCTATTTCGCCCTGTACGAAGAGATCCAGCGCCGCAAGCTACCCCTATGGATTGACACGCCCGATGTTGGTGGAGGGAGTGTGCTTGGAAACGCCATTGACCGCGGTGTTGGGTAGGTAATCAAGTCTCATGCCCTTTCTGTTGTTAAATCGTTTAAATCCGCTTGGCCCTTGACGCGTGGCGCTGCAGATACACACCCTACGGCGACCATTTCGCAAATCATTGCGGTCTCGAGATTGTCCTCCCGAGCGGCGAACTCCTGCGGACAGGCATGGGTGCACTTCCTGGAAAGGACGGAGACGACAACCCGACGTGGCAGGCGTTCCAACCTGCCTACGGCCCCTATCAGGACGGCATATTCAGCCAGAGCAACTTCGGCATCGTCGTGCGCATGGGCATGTGGCTGATGCCCGAGACCGGCCACCAGTCTTACCTGATTACGTTTCCGCGCGACGAGGACTTTCCGGATATCGTCGATATTATTCGCCCTCTTGCACAGCAGCGAGTGCTTGGCAATATCCCACAGCTGCGCCACGTCATACAGGAGCTGGCTACGACGGCGCGCCCCAAATCAGACTTTTACGACGGCGCCGGACCCATTCCGAGGGAGGTGATCCGCGAGCACGCGGCCGGGCTCCCCGTTGGCGACGTATCTTGGGTATTCTACGGGACGCAATATGGTGACGCATCTGCTATTGCTGCCCAGCTCGACGTGATACGCCGTGCATTTCTGTCCAAGATCCCCGACGCTAGGATGCTACTCCCCGAGGACCTTCCGCCGTCGCACTACCTTCACTCGCGCGTGAGCGTGTGCAGCGGCGTACCCGTGCTGCGAGAACTAGACTGGTTGAATTGGGTCCCCAACGCCGCACACCTGTTCTTCAGCCCCATCGTTCCAACGCGCGGGCGCGACGCCCGCATCGTGCACGATATTGTGGTTCGCCTCCACGCCAAACACGGCTTTGATCTACTCCCGACGCTATGCGTGGCAGGTCGCGAGATGCATTACATAGTCAACATTGTGTATGACCGTGCGTCGGTAGATGAGAAGCGCCGCGCCGCTGCCCTGATGCGCGAGATCATTGCCGAGACCGCGGCTGAGGGGTTTGGCGAGTACCGCACTCACATTCTTTTCGCGGACATGGTGGCTGCTACGTACAGCTGGGGCAACAACGCCCTGATGCGGCTGAACGAGACCATCAAGGACGCACTCGACCCCAACGGCATCCTCGCCCCGGGCAGGAATGGCATCTGGCCCCGTCGGTTCCGGGGCAAGGGCTGGGAAATTCTGGGGACCGAAGTGGAGGATGCGTTGGACGGCAAGGGCATTGGGCCAAGGGTTGAACCGAGGTAGATTGTGGCCACCTCTGGGGGTTTTCCGCACCCCTGGTTTTGCATCGCACAACAGGTCTTGCCATCTAACACGAAAAGTTGTTTTGATATCGAAGCAATCTCGTGTCATGTCCATGTTCAACAGTACGAGCTGCACTGCCTTTGGTGACACGAATTATCATCCCAGCTCCCCCAATCAAGTGGACTTGTGCCTTCCGTTTGTCGTCCGGTGCTTAGAGGGTGCTTCTTCTGTAGCTTATGTTTCACTACATCACCACTGCTTCGGTTGCACAAAAGACTCCTTCCCAAGCAATCTATTCTACTCGACCCAAGCAAAATCGGGGAAAAATGTCATCAGGTTGGCATAAGTAATTCCCTCTCCTATACTCTCTTCAATCCCCAGTTATTGTTTTTGCATGGCTGTCATCGTGGAATCAAGGTCTACGCTTTTCCTGAAGGACCTCAATATTTCCGTTCCTCGACTCCGGGCGCGTAGGCATACACTCCAAATGACCCAATATCCTCGACACATAGCATCAATTCGGATCTCGACACGTCCAGTCCTGTCTAGGAACACCTCGGCCTTCCTTTTCCCCCCCTCTCCCCTCCCCTCCCCTCCCCTCTCCCCTCCCCTCCCCCCCACGCCTTTCCATGTCTTTCTCGCCTTTCTCGTCTCTACCGTTGTCTCGGCCTCCAAAGTTCCGCGTCAAGCGACGATAGCGATCGATTAAGCCCAGACTCTCCACACATTTCGCGGGACAAATGAATCCCTTTCTTCCACTTTCTCCTCCCTTATCGCTTCTTCTAGACGTGGCGACCCAACAAAGAAATCGCCCCACAACGAAATCTCTGCCCCTGTCATCTAATTTCCCGCCCTTCAACTTCAACACAACACAACTTCATCAATTCAGGCTCGAATAGCTTCAAAATACATCATGTCGAACCGTCGAGAGCAGTTAATTCAATCTGCAATACTTGCAGTTGAACAGGGCGCATCGCAGAAGCAGGCCGCGCATGACTTCGGGATCCCTCCTTCTACCCTCTGCAAACGCATCCACGGGGCAGAAAATCGAGCACAAAGTAAACAAGCCGAAAGAAACCTCTCCAATGCGCAGGAAAGCTTCCTAGCCGACTGGTGCCTCAATGAGGAGGCTGCAGGCAGGGCTCCTAGCCGTCGTCAGGTGCAGAGATTCGCTCAAGCTATACTCAATGAGGCCGGCACGAAAAAGACCATTGGGGAGCGATATGTGGACCGCTTCCTACGCCGCAACCCGGCGGTAAAGATGAAGAATTCAACCTTGTTGGAACTCTCTCGAGTCTGCGGATCTACTCGTGAAGCTTATGAAGCTTTCTTCAAGCGCCTGGCCTTCCAAATCAAGGATAAAAAGGTCATCCCGGCCAACATCGCTAACATGGATGAGCACGGCATGCAGGAGCTCGAGACCCGGGCCGGAAAGGTCATAGGAAGCTCCCTGACGAACCGAACCTACGTGAAAAGCTCTGATGCAACAACCTGGGTTTCAGTTATCGAATGCGGCACTGCTGAGGGCGTTCGTTTGAAGCCCGTGATCATATTTACCGGGGCCAGTCTTCAAGGACAACACTTTCCTGATAACTTCAACCTGACGAAGGAATTCCGGGAATGGAAGTACGATTACTCAATTACAGGCTGGAGCAACGCCAGTATTGCGCTGAAATGGCTCAAAGAGGTCTACCTGATCCAAACAAAGCCCCAAAGGCCGGGCGAATGGCGTATACTGATCCTTGACGAACATTCGAGCCATATGAACGAAAAATTCATGTTAGCGGCCTTCCAAAATAAGGTCCAGTTCGTCTATTTACCTTCTCATACATCGCACAAGTCTCAGCCTCTCGATCGCTCGGTCTTTTCACCTTTAAAGACCTATTTTAGGGAAAATACCAAGGCCCTCGCGAGCTTCACATCGTCAGCTCCTGTCAACAAGGTTCGGTTCCTTTACTGCTACAGAGATGCCTCGGGTAAAGGCATGAGTGCCCGTAACATCATGTCGGGCTTCAGTAAAACCGGGATTTGGCCCTTCAACCCGGCTTGTTTACTTGATGACCCTGAGGCGGTCAAGGACAATGAGGCACTCCCGGCCCGGCCTTCAACACCGCCGCCGACGGCCCCGAACGACGATGACAGGCTCTTCAAAACACCGCACGGCAGTCAGGACATCAAGAAGTACCAGGACAGTATTCGGAATGCCCTCAGTCCGGCTCAGCGGCGTGTGCGGGCCTTGTTTACTAAGGTCGGGAGGTCCCTGGATCTGAAGAATACAGAGATCGCGTCTTTGAAGGCACAAATTACGCATCTCACAACCGAATTAGAGGCTTCAAAGCCTCGCACGCGTAAGAGGGTATATGAAGATGGAAATGAGCGATTTGCACGTATAGAGGACATCGCCAAGGCACAAAAAGCTAGTCAAATACCCCCAAAGCGGAAAAAAAAGGCTCGGGCAGAAAGCCAGCCACATGCAGTCGAAGAAGCCCGGGAAATAATCGCCCGTGGGCTCGAACAATATAGACAGGCCGAAGAAGAGGATTGAGTATTTTTTTGCTAGTTATTTTGTGTAGAAATGGATAATTTGCGCCCGTGGAGTGGGTGTGGGCATGGCGTGGGCCAATTTCGTTGTGGGGCGATTTCTTTGTTGGGTCGCCACGTCTACTGCCTCGACCTCCGCCTTCAATCAATGCACCAGTCGGGCTAGCACTCTTCACACATCTGGCTGGGCAGTTCAATCCCGGAGCGTCCCCCTTCCGCCCCCCAGCCCGCAAGCCACTGCTATGCTTTTAACTTTATATCCCTTGATCAACTTTCCTTTTACCTGAGCCACAAGTTGTCGCTGTGTTTTGATGGCATCACAATGCGGCCTTCAGTCATGCTGTCTGGCCTCGCTTCCATCCCCTGACACGGTAAACATCTCCCTGTCAAGGCGCAGTAGGACTGTAGCTCTCGAGCACCTGAGCCACATGCCCTGATGCTCATAACACACTGCCGCGCTCACTCTTACCCTGCACAAGCTACTCCCCCTGTGCTCTCTCTTTCGTATAGAGTAGCAAGATTCTTTCGTCTGTACTACCTTCGATTCGCATCTTTTTCTCGATGCAGTTCTAGCTCCATGTTCTGCGTCATACCTCCCCTTTCTGGCCCCGTTGTTCCTTGCTTCCCTTCCGATCATCGCACTCTTCGTCGTAAAATAACAAGCTAACAGCAACATACAAACCTATAGATCACGGAGTCCTTCAGGAGGTTGTGGCGGGTATCACCTTAAACTACACCATGTCTATTTTGGTATGGGTTTGCTTGTTTGTGTGGGTCCTGGCTGTGGGGCCGGCGCTGGCCGGGTGCTGGCGGTTGGTTGTGGCGGGCTGGGGCGGGCTGGGTGGCTGGGAGATTTGGCACTGGTCGGGCTGGGGGGTGGCGGGCGGGCTCGGGGCCTGGGGGGCGGCCCCGGGCTGTCATCCGGGAGAACCGGCGCCTGTTTTACTCATCTTGTCCTGCCGGCACTATTCTTATCCCCTAATGCTGCGGCATCCGGCCTTTACCCAAATATTCTTATCCCATCCAAGCCCCTCACGTCACCGTCGTGGATGGGTATTCCTCATCGGAGTTGGTCGCCGATGAGCTAAGCAGGGGCAACCAAAACAAGCATCAAGCATCAAGCATCAAGCATCAAGCATCAAGCATCAAGCATCAGCCATCATGCATCAAGCATCAAACAGAACGTCACAGACCAAGTTCCGACCTCAAGTCATGACCATCGACCTACAACCATCGATCAAGCAAAACAAACTCTCCACAGCCATCAATTCGACAATGCCTTCGAATCTCAGTCATTCGGCTCACTCGACTCGGCTGGCTTCGTCTCAAATCGCCATGCCCCTGTCAATTCTGAGGCTCGACTTTACATCAGATCCTGTCTTTCATTGGACAGAGGCTCACCTTTCCAACCCTATCGGCATCCGTCGTTTTTCGGCGAGAAACACCATCACCCCATGTCATCTCTTCTCTCGGCTTATCTTCTCTCTCCGGAACCTCTTGTCGACTACCATTCCCAATACGTATGCGTCAATCTTTCACCTTGGTTTTTGATGTTCGTTCAGGTTCACTAACTCGGTGAGGCCATTTAGCACGCGTTTTTACAGGCCTTTTAGTCTTCGAGCAACCACAAACTTCACCGGCCAGTCGCGGCCACACTCTTCCACGCTACAACTGGACAACGCGGCATAGAAGAAAAGGCGAATCGCAGCCCGTGTGAACAGTTCTGCAGTCTATTGCAGCAATAATGTACGAACAAGAGAGCAGTGGCGTTTGCGACTCGTCTGAGTGCTCCGGTTCAGCTGTCGCTACTGGTACTAGCCGCACTGGCGACGTTTCTCCAGATAATTGGGGCTACAACACCTGCACCGATACAGTCCCGCTCCTCATGCACATGCTGCTACTTGACTACGGCATTGGAGAGATGCCGTTTGAGGCACCTCCATGTATGATCAAGCACTTCCTCCCCCGGACCTAGACGTTCACCAAGCACATGACCCAGTTCGCCGAGTGCTTCCGAGCTGGCCACCTCCCCGACGACGCGCACTGGATATACCTGGCGACTCGCTTGTGTGTCTTCGACCAGTGCAGCCGCTTTGACGTGGCCTACATCGCCGTCGTGCTCTAATACTACCACACGAACCGGCCGGAGGTCGACCTCAAGAGCACGCGCAAGGGAAAGACGGGATACACGGGCGTGCTCGAGAAGATGAGCTCCGAGGTTCCGACGTGTGGCACGGAGCGGCTAGAGCGGAAGCTCCGCGTCGACGTGGAAAGGCTGATCCCACTGTGCTTCCCCGGCTCCTCTCGCAGCCGCCGCGAGACGAGGCTAAAGATAGTCATGTTTGCATATGCCGTCGCCGCACGCCACGGCATATCTCTTGGGACTTTGGAAACCGGCAGCCGCCAGATACCGAGAGGTCTTCCTGCGGCTCCGAACAAAGACGGACTTGCCACGGAAAAGGCAAAGGCGGTGAAGCAGGACAACGCGCCAGCTTCGACAGCAGCTAACTCTCTCCCGTCGTACGAGGCGGCAACGAGTCTCGGGACGGGAGTAATCAAGGGGGATAATGTGCAGCCTTTTTGCATCGAACCGCGGGGTGCATGTTGTGTTTCCATGCAAACTGGAACCCGTCCGGTCACCTGCTCTCTATTGGTATAACCATACCAAGGCGGCTACAATTTTTATTCGACGTCTATAAGACAAATAATAGCTCACGATGCTGACGAATCAAAACGGTCTGGAAGAGCCTTTACTCTGGCGTTTATGAGGCTTTTTCACCGCAGTATTTGGGACTTGACGCGAGTACAACATGCACCTCTTGTAAAGTCTGGCCAAACTCCTTCCTTGGTAGTTAATTAGACACAATCAACATCAAAATGCGAGGTTGTGCGCAAAATTGCTTGTCTCAACCGCAAACCTGCCTGCGTGCCTATGCTACGTTACAATAATTCGGTCCAGGGTCGCTGTCCGAGGCAACGAATCACCAACTGCCCGCGCGTCAGCCAAGAGTGCTTGTCGATCTCAACAGCACCCCCCCAGTGCAACCCCCATCCTCCGGCGCGCGAGCAAGTAATTATAAAGCATACGCATCGAGCATGAATGAGCACATTTTCCCCCCATCCTATAGCTTTACCCGTGCAATCCCGTGCCCCGGTGTCTAAACCAACGGCCTGGGTTGGGGAACCGGCGAGCTTGGCACCTGCGGGTGACGCACCGTTGGTGCTGTACCCTGGCCGGTGGGAGCGGCTTGCGGTTAGAGAAACGGCCCCCGCGCGGCTCGGGACCACGGTTGTGGTATGATGGCATCAGAGTAGAGTCACGCGCGCCTCAGCCTGTGACTAAGTCTACTATACACCGTCCGTCGACCGGCCGCCTCGGACACCGTGTCGTACAAGAACCGTATTGTGGATAGGTTACGGTCTTGGCGCTCGCAGGTTGGTCTCCTTGGGATGTGGTATATAAGCAGCGTCAGCCACAAGTTATAAAATAGAGAAAAACAAGTTCAATGTCTCGAAACCAAAGCTTTGTCAGCGTATTGCCAGTATACCTACACAACCAAGCACCCCTTTAGCGATGTTTTTGCGACATGGAACCGCTACCGGTTGGCCCACTCGCCTCCTCGGCGCACTTTCAATCTTGTTGCTTGCGGTGAGCGCCGCGGCCCAGAGCGCGAACGATCCCGCTTTCAACAGGAATCGAACCCTCTCGATTGGAATCGTGCGTCTTCCTGCTCTCTCTGGTTGCTAGACTGTTGAGCAGCTAACGGTTGCCTGTCTCGTGCGACAGGTTGCCTTCCGTGGCTTTGAACCGCTCGATATCTTTGGACCTCTCGAGATCATCTTCTCGGTGAGACGCTTTCCCCCAGACCAGTTGTTCATATTGTCAGCTCTCTAACTCTTGCCTGGCATCGGGCACCGACTAGCTCTCTTATTCCCACAGAATCACTCTTGCCGTCATTGCCGAAGCCGAGGGCCCAGTGGCAGCGGGACCGCCGCCATTCCGCATGAACGAAGCGGGACCCATCGAGGACTTCGGGTACATGGTGCACCCGACGATTATGGCGACGCACTCGTTCGGCAACGCGCCGGCGCTCGACGTGCTGCTCGTGCCGGGGGGCATCGGCAACGTGGCGCTGGAGCAGGCCAACAACACGTCCGTCGAGGACTTCATCCGCCAGCGCTATCCCAAGCTGGACTACCTCGTGAGTGTGTGCACAGGTGCCGGAAGTCTCGCCAAGGCGGGAGTGCTCGAGGGTCGGCGGGCGACGTCGAACAAGGGCGCGTGGGATTGGGTCACGAAGCAGGGCACGAACGTCACGTGGGTGCCGTCGGCGCGGTGGGTGGTCGACGGGAATATCTGGACAAGCTCTGGTGTCAGCGCAGGTACGTTGAGGCGCGGTTTGATTGTCTCGAGTGTTGCAGACTGACAAGTTCACCGGCCATGGCACTAGGGATCGACATGGCCTATACTTTTCTGTCACACGTCTACGGCGCAGACGACCAGGCCCTAATCAATACCATGAACGGTATTGAGTACGCGCCGCACCTGGACGCGCATTGGGACCCGTTTTCGGTTGTTCACAAGGCATGTCTCCGTTTTCTTGAGTGTTGGTCAGGCCGGGCTTGGGCTAATAACTAACCTGGCTTGTCGCCCATTCAACAGGTCCCTGGCGCAGACTATAATCGCAGTCTCACAGACTGTGTCAAGCCGGTTGGATACTAACCATCCCCAGAGAGATGAAGAGCGCCTTCATGCTGTGAGGTGAGCAGTGCGCGGTTCGTCGGTTCGTTGTTTTTGGGGGCGAGTGATCAGAAAAACGCGCCCGGACTGTTTTTTCAACTCTAGTGTAACGTTCAGGTTGCCGTTGAGTCTAGTGGATCGTTGGGGCCTAGGGAGCTAAAGGCTTCTCTGAAGTCAAGCCCGTAACCCATGAGCGAGAGAAGAAGGAGCAATCCATGGGCCGGGTCATAATTCCTTGGCAGGGATTCGGGCAATCAGGCAATGACAAGGAATCACGTGCTTCCAGTTGCCAGACTACACTTTGAAATTCCAATTTCCATTCCCACTCACTCACTCACTCACCGACCGTCGTCTTGCCCTTAAGAAGAGTAGCGCCCCGTATTGCCAATGCCTACGTATGCCTCTTACTTATTCCGTCGCCGAAAATTTCGTCTGACAGCCGCGAGCATGGGCTGGCCAGAAGTGAATTAGCTTGGTAGGGGCCCGTGCACCCTTGCCAGGCATGCGGTCCTGTGCCGCTGTCATGCAGCCCGGGAGAGCTCCTGGGCGCGGATTGGGCGGTGCTGGGCACGGACACGAACTCGTCAACGGCAGCGCCCAATAGGACAGGGCGACTCTCGAGTCTCGACTCACAGCCCCCAGCGAGCGATGGTCAACCCAGGTAGAGCTAGGTCGATTGGCGGCCTGACAGGCCCGATAATGCAATCCTCCAGAGGATCCCGCCGCCTCTCCGCAGCCCGCGCGCACCCTCCCAGTTCTCCCGTAGACCATCCGATCCATTTCAATTCTTCCATGTCATCATCCGAAACTCTTCTTTGTTCTTGCATCTCTATTGACCTCGCCTTTCCATCGCCGACTATTGTCATCGAACAATACTGTTGTCGACCTCGGTCGCCCGTACTACTTGCTTAGCCTTACTGCTGCTGCAAAGCACCATCCATCGCAGTAACGGCCTTGGTTCCAATTAGTTGGCCTCCCGCTGTGCCTGCAGCGCTGGCTGCCTCGCGAGCAGTCAGGCCTGCGAGTCAGGCCTGCGAGTCGGTCGCATCCCTCCCCTGGCGGCTCGCTGACACCGCAGGCCCCGCCACACCCCAGATTGAGTTTGTGTCTGATGCTCCTCAATAGTGGAGAACACAATGGGTGAGTGAGAGTTTGGTCACGATTAGGCCTAAACCTCGCCGTGTATGACCCCCTGTTGACATGTTGCCCCTTTTTAGAAGCCAGACTCCAATTTGGGGCCCAGCAAGGGAAGCCGGATAACATCGGCGGCGTGGTTAATGACGGCGGGACTTTCTCGAATCGGGGAACTCTGGACTCTGTTGGCCCCGACGCCGTTGGCCCCGACGCCGCCTTGCAGCAGTATGGGGACTCGATGGACCTGGATCTTGACCTCGACTCGCTGGCTTGGGCCGCAGAGTTCACTTACTTGCCCTCCGATGGCGACTCCTCTGCCCATCAGAACCAGAATGTGGCTTCTGGAGCGGGCTATCCTCTCGACTTTCTCTTCTTCGAGGACGAGAGAACATTGCCGACCTTTGTCAACAACCAGCAGCTATCTGCCCCTTCAAATAACTTGCACGCGATTGACATGGACGAGTCAAGCTTCTTCTATCCAGCGACGGTCAGTGCTGGGTTTGATGTTACGCCACATCACACCGGCCACCCCGAGACAGGCGACGAGGACGCAACTTCCAAGTCTTTGCGAAATCAACTCTCTCTGTTGGCCCAGGGCTCTTGTGGGGATGAGCTCGTGTTTAGGAACTGTGAGCCTTCCAAGGCCGTACTGCTGCACGGTCTGGCTATTGAATTCGGCCTCGGATACACTCACGACGTGTGCAGTCAGTGCGTGTCCATCAGTCGACTTACAACAGATCCTGGTTCGGTATTCTCGCAGAAATCTCATGCGCCAACGAGTTCAACCTCGTTTGAAGACATTGGCACTGACCAGCGTCTCGTTTCTACTCTTCCTGCATCTTCGCTTGTTGTTTCGCAGCAGGCGCCGGCCAACTCCTCTGCCACCAGTGCCTCAGATGCTATCGGCAACCACCCGGAACAATTTGGTGCTAGCGGCCAGCTCACACGCCAGCCAAGCCGGAGCCAGCGAATATCCGATTCAATCAGCAAGCATGTTTTTACCTGGAAAACATCAATATCCAAGGGCGGTCGCCGTGGGCCGCTCAGTGAGACTAGTCGACGCGGCATGAAGGCGGTCGAGGAAGTCGGAGGTGCCTGCTGGAGATGCAAGGTCCTCCGCCGCAAGGTAAGCTTCCATTATGACTCTACCACTGACTCTTTGAATTATTAGTGCATCTCTAACGATTGTCCACAGTGCGACCCTGGCAGCTCATGTCGGTGCTGCTTGCAAAGTGTTGCCGTGCCACAGTCAGGTGAAGATACGCCGCTATGGCCAGTGCTCGGGTGCCGGCGTGGGCCCCTTCGAGAGGCGATGCGACTGCAGCTTCTATGTCCCGCATCTCGAAACGGGACAGCGACAAACGCTACCGACTCTACCGAAAGTATTCGATCGCGACGCTCCCTTGACATGGTTGACAACTGTCTGTTGTCGGCCGAAAGCCAACGATTGGCAGATATGAAGGCTGCTCTCGAGTGTGCATCATACAAACTGTCCATTGCTGACAAGGATATGAGAAATTCCTTTGTCACATTCATCGAGGCCGGGCAGTACCGGAACCGGGAGAGCCTCCACGAAGCGTATCCACACTACGGTACAACAGTCACATTCGCCGACCTGATCCCTAGCATAGCCTGGGAGCTGGCAGAAAACCAGGGGCTGATGTCTCTACTCGAGATTCGATCCTGGAATGGCTTCATGGACATGCTTCAGACAGCGTGCATCTATGAAGCAGAAGTCGGCCGAGTATGTCTGTTCCACGCACCCTAGTAGCAGGGCCCTTAGCTGATCAGTAAACAGACTCCCTTGGTCATGATTTCACTAATCTGCCTTCGACATTGTCTAGAAGCGTTACGACTGAACTCGGCAAACCTTCTCTCGTCGGTCGAACACGGCGATTGCAAACCAGGCCATTGCCACGTCCAAAACATACGTGATCTTTCCCGCTCGGTTGCTACGTACGTCGATGAGCTGTCGTCGGTCATCTTCAACAAGGAGAATATGCGTGACAGACGATGGTGGCTGTCGACATTTTACAGTCTCTCCATCCAGAGCTATGTGCGGCATGCTCTAATTGCGATAGAGAAACAGCTCTGCTTTAGTGCAACCGACGATGTGCCGGCTGAAGACCTGACGACAACTCAATATTTGCATGTTGCAGCCGTCTTGTTCACTGCTGCTTCGGCCAAGTACGACCCCTTGCTCGGTGGACGTCACCAATACGTCTTGGCAGAGAATTCAGTTATCCCTGAAACCTCGGTTCCAAAGCTTCACCACTCGTCAGCTCGCGATGTCGTCGAGGTAGAGAGGTGGCCAGAGCTAGGCATCAAGTCATCGTACCAGTTCCTCAGGCGTCTGCTACAAATAGGCTCCCTCGATTTTGAGTCACAACAAGTTGACATATCAATGGCCAACGTCTCGATGCCGGCAAACACGCTGGAGCACTCGCTCGACTACTCTTCGCCCCTTTTGGGGGCCGGAACCCAGAGTGTTACCAGTCTCGAGTCAAAAGGCAGCAATCCTTCCCGGCGCTTCTACGGCGGACATCGCCATGTCAACTCTATAGGAAGCCAATATTCCATGTCAACGATGCCTAGCGTTTCACTCGGGAGTTCAGAGAGCTTGGCCCGCACTCTCGACACTGATATAACAAGCATTTTTGAGAGCATCTATGAGCAGCCCCTGTCCCCAACCAAGTCCTGGCTTGTGGATGACAACTCCCATGCTATACGCAAGGACATGGACGTTACAAGCCCCACGATTCTTTCACCGACTATCCCAAGTCCCTTAATGGAACGGTTTGATCAGGTAATGTCCAACACCGCGACAGCAAGCACTCCGATGTTGGGACCTTCAACAGTAGACCCCGTGTCGCTTTTCTGTCATTGCTGTCCACGAAACCCGCGGAGATTCTCCACTCTTGAAGAGTTGACGTAAGTCCCAATAATCCTTGTTTTCGGCAATTACCCACTCGGTGCACCAAGACTAATCGGTATTCCCAGACAACACGAGGCAGAGAAACCTCACCCATGCTCCCGCTGCAAGAAGAGATTCAAGAGCCCTACGGAAGCCGAACGGCACGTGAATGCCGTTCATCTCAAGAGGGACTTTTGGTCCTGCCAAGCTCTAGCCAACCCCCTTGACGCATACCATAGCGAGACATTCAGTGGGGTGGTGTATGACATTTGCGGGTACTGTGGCGGCGAGTTCGGTCGCCAGTCTGACGATCCGCCGGGCATAGACGTTGCCGGGCTCGTCACGCACCTCGAGTCGGTACACAAGCACGGCGAGTGTGACCGAGACAAGAGGTTCTTCCGGGTCGACAACTACCGGTCCCACCTTCGGATAGCGCATATTGCGAGTCCAGGCAGGTGGCTGAAGGTTCTAGAGAGAACTTGCAAGATGACTCGGGACGCCGAACAGGCGTAGTTGTCGCACATGATGATGGTGGAACATTTCCCTGATTCCACACACCCACGCTCGCTTTTCTGGTCAGAGGCAACTGTGGTCTGGATAGATGGATTGGTAATGTTGCCAATGTAGCCGGCTTCAATTCTGGATATGTCGAGGCTGTTTTATCTTTTTTCTTCTTATTTTTCTTAGCAATTTTTCTTAGCAATTTTGGCTATTTCTAGAATTGTCGGATGGCGGGTTACTGGCCACGGCGGGGGCTAGTTTCCTAATTACCGCAACGAAATTATTTTACCTACTGACTTATTAATAATTAATTTGAACTCACTATCACGGCCTATTCTCTTGCCTTACCCCCGAGTCTGTGAATACTAATTAGAAGAGCCGACATGATAACGAAATCGCCCGTTATCGAAATTGAACCACACCATCCCGGCCACTACGGTTAGCAGCAACGTGCGAGGTGGTTTTCACATGCAGGGCGGTTTTCACAGGCGCACCTAATTACAGGCCAAGGCAGTCGCAGTCTCCAGCTGCCGGGCTTCGGGCCGGAGAAGAAAAAACGCCATGTTTTCCACTTTGACGGCATTCCTACCAGAAGTCGAGAAGCTAAAATGGCAAGAGTTGAATTACCGTAAGTCAATCTCCATCTCTAATTACCGCAAGTTTTGGCGTCTCTCTTTAATCGAGCAGCGACCCTAACACCCAGCCGTATGGGAACTACTCGCCACCATCATTATGAGCGCAACACCTCCCACACAGTGACCAGCTCTTCGAAGTTATTACGAGGACGATTCAAGATCTCATAGAAATCTATATCAACACATGCGAATATCTCAATTAATAGGAGAGGTCATCAAAGCAAGACAGACAAAGATCAACGCCGAACGAGAGGCGATTCTCAACTTGGACATCCTAAAGCGCAACGTTATGGAGGGAAATAATCTCGAGATAGGCGCCCTCCGTCCCTTGTATAGTAACATGATCAAGCTCGCCTATGGTCATCTGGATCCTGCCGACTTCGACCGCGCCCGTGTGAATCTCGCCAACCTCGTCCGCATCTATACGGATGCCGGCGAAGCCCTCGCGTATCTTATTATGGCGGTTCTGGACGTCTCAGGTATGAGAATCCTATTATACTAAGGGATTTACGTCTTTGATAACTATTTATTAAGCACCCGGTAATGAGGAGTAAGAGGAGTATCAACGGGCGCGGGATCGAGAGGAGTATTAACGAGCGCAGTATCGAGAGGAAGAGGAACAGGACGGGGCAGGTGATACTAAGAGTATAAGGGGATGGTAATAATTCGCTGGTCCTCGTCTAGAAGAGTATTAGGTTAATTACGGTATAATTGAGTACGCCTCTGCGACCTATCCTACATATGAAGAGTGTCATTTGTGGTGTGTAAAAGGGCGTGCCCCTCCAGGCAGTCTTGAGCTGCAGGTCAGTTGCAGTCGTTTGCCTTGGCATCCCTCCCGCGGCGGCCAGTTCTCAGTGTCTCACCCACCCCGCACCGCATTTTTTTCTGCCTCGCGCAGGCTGCAGGCCAAATCCACCGCCTTGACCACGACTGCCCTACCCTGGTAAGGCCACGACTGCCTTGCCCTGGTAAGGAAACGCGACCTAGGTGAGCAAAATCGCGAAGACAAGACAAGGGCATCCGCAAGTGCGGCGACGACGACGCACAGTCCGTCGCTGTTATTCGTAGCACTCCTCTAGTAGAGTTTCGCTCCACATCCAAGCCCGAGTCTTAATGGGAGACGGGTTTGATGATATCCACATATATGTTTCGGGCACGGGACGTGGAGCTCGTAGGTGAACTTAGCCAGCCCCACAAGAAGAGCTAACAGCAACATTTCTACAAGGATGGCGAAGAGGCTTTGTGGTGGGCAACGAAGTTGACTACCCGGCTGCATAAGCTAAGCTGCATTAAGAAGACGAAGACAGGGCTGTGAGTGTGCGAGTAGAAACCCACCAAAAGCCATCTAGGGAGCCTAGGCGCCTAGACTACCTGCACTGCTGCCAGCACAGGCTACCCCACAACAGCTTTTTAAGGGCAACAGGATGAGTGGAGGCATTTCTTGTTTGGATCTCTCACTCCTCTTCTCAATTCTCCTGCCTTTCCCCTTTCTCCTCCACCTACATGAGCTACTGATCGTCTAATGCCCCTAGCAACTAGGGCGGTGTGATGGGATGGTGCAGTTGCGATGGGTGAGCTATAATGCCCCCGCATTATGCAGGAAAATGAACTAGACTTGGCCCGGCAAGACGCCCAGATACGGTGTGTTGCATGGTGACTGATTGCTATATGATTTAAACCCGGTCTGCCCTCCCTAGGCGTCCTCTTGTTTTTCATAGAAGGACTACACAGAGTCACTCTTGAAATTTGGCTTGAAGAAAGCGGAGAAAATGCGCCTATCGAACGGACATGTCGCCGCCTGGCTGCTCTTGGCCTCGTCCATTGGCGCTGCTTCGTCCATGCGTGGCGAGGACGACAGCCCCGTGGCGAGGCATAAGAATGCGGCACCGACAGCTACGGTCAAGAACGGCACGTACGCCGGCGCGTACAACGCCAGGTATGGGCAGGATTTTTTCCTCGGGATGCCATATGCGCAGGTATGTTTTCGCCAGCCGATTTCCCTAATCTTAGATCTCGTCGGGATGACACGATACTGGACTCGTCTAGAAACCCGCCCGCTTTACGGTTGCCGAATCTCTCAATTCAACGTGGGAGGGTGTCCGCAATGCAGCTGCGTACCCGCGCCACTGTATGGGCTTCGGTCCCGACATGGTGGGGTACGAGATGTCTGAGGACTGTCTGTACATCAACGTGATCCGCCCAGCCGGTGTCGACCCAGCGGCCCAGTTGCCCGTGGCCGTTTGGATTCATGGTGGCGGGCTAACCATGGGAGGCTCTGCGGACAGGAGGTATAACCTCTCATTCATCGTCCAGAACAGTGTTGAACTGGGTACCCCGATTATTGCCGTGAGCTTCAACTATCGCATGGCGGCCTTTGGCTTCTTATCTGGCCCCGAAGTGCAAGCCGCGGGTGCAACCAACCTCGGTTTTCGGGACCAGAGGCATGCGCTGCGATGGATACAAGAAAATATTGCTGGTTTTGGGGGTTCCCCTGACAAGGTTACTCTTTGGGGCGAAAGCGCTGGCGCAATAAGCGTTAATGCTCAGTTGTTTGCTTACAATGGTAATGTCACCGTACCTTTTTCTTGTTCTCCCCACCCTCCCCTGGCGGCGCTCTCGTCAACTCATATTATTCCGTTCCACTTGAAACCAATACCACTACTCACAGAACACTTCATCGTTCATCGTTCATCCTTCATCCTTCATCGTCTCTCCAGACACTCCGTTTTATCTCCTATTCAAGCCCAGACTCAAGCCCCAGACAAATCAGCGTCACGCGTCCCGCCTAGGCTGGCTCCTTACGGAACGCTTCCTTTGTCACAATTTTTTTTCTTTTAGTAGCTGACATACGGGCCCCTGACTGCCACAGGTCGCGACGATGGCCTCTTCCGCGCTGCCGTGGCCCAATCTGGCTTCGGTGGTGTCCTCCACTACTACCCGAGTGGCCTTAACAACACCGCCATCCCGCAAGCCACTTATAGCAGACTCGTGTCTGCAACCGCATGCGCTCCTACGCTTGGGACGCCGGCCTCGCTTGAATGTCTCCGCTCGCTCCCCCTCCCGGACCTGATGGCGGTCTTGCGTAATACCTCTCTGAACGTCGCGATTTGGGTGCCCGCTATGGATGGCGATTTCATCGCCGACTTCCCGTCGCGCCAGGTTCGTGAGGGCAAATTTCCCCGCGTTCCGATCCTTGCTGGCCAGAATACGGATGAAGGCGCGACTTTTGGCCAGAACAGAAGCGCAAGCAGAGGGGGAATCAACACCGACGATGAACTAAAGGAATCGATAACCAGGGTGATCCTGGGGCCGAACCCCGATCTGCCTGCCCTTTTAAGGGATTTGCTTTACCTTTATCCCGATATTCAAGCCGTGGGAATTCCGTCGCTGGAAAAGTTCCCGGTCCTGACGCCTGAGGTCCGCGAAGTTACGTTCTTGGGTTTGCAGTACCGACGAACCGCTGCGCTCTATGGTGACTGGTAAGGAATACTGCATCTTGAAATCTACGACTTTGCACAACGGCTTATATGTTTCTAAACCAGGATGCAAGCTTACCAGCGTCGGAGAGGCCTTATCGAATGGTCGAATCATGGCGTTCCGGCGTACAGCTACCGGTTTGACGTGACGACGGCGGGTGTTCCAGGTACGTACAGCCACCCTGCTTTGCTGGAGACGGTACAAGACATTAGGGAACCAACCACCGACCCATTTCTGCAACACTAGGATATATTTCTGCTGCCCACTTCCAGGAGCTTACCTTCGTGTTCTACAACCTCGACGGGGTAGGCTATACACGCAACCCCTTCGAAAATGCCCTCAATTCACACAAGGCCTTGGCAAAGACCATGTCGAACACCTGGGTGCGGTTTTTCGTCGAAATGGACCCTACTGTAGGGAGTTCGTCAGGGCCACGCAATGCACGCCCCGTACAGTGGCCGGTATATGATGCCAAGTCCGGCGGCGGTGTAGGAAAGAATATCGTCTGGGCCGCGGAGGGTGTGTCGTATGAATGGGATAGTTGGCGGGCTGAAGGAATCAACTGGATGATACAGAATTCGCTTTCGGCATTGGGGAGCTAGTCGTTAAGCAATGATCTAGCGGCGAGGGTATGGTAATATGTAACACAGATTCTTGGGTGTTCTCGTGTCTCATAACTTTAGCAATCTTTCCGAGGCCGAAAGGGCAGACCCATGCTCCGTAACACTATAGTGGGTGGAGTTCTTCTCGGACCGTTCTCACTTGAGTGGACCAGATTGCCTCATTCAGTAGTACATCCCCGTCCCTTACGCTCTGATTCCCGGAATATACAATGCTGGACAGACCCTTGGATGAATATGGCAGCTGACTGAAATTGAATTTTCTCGTCCACGGGACGTTGCAGTCGTGGTTGTACTACCTGCCCTCAATGGCTGTACCGTGCAGATTCGCATAGGATTAGCCCAGAGGGCCATCAGGGCCACCAGGGCCATCAGCATGTGAACTTCGCACTCCTCGACTGTAATAAGTATACCCCTTCAGGTATCACTATTGGGGCCGGTGTCCAACCGCCAGCGATTAGCCTATCTAGCTTTGTGTAGGGACAAATTCACCTCTGACAAATACAAGACTGCCTCCTTCCCTTCTTAAACGCAATCAAGGGCTTCTCGAGAATAAAGGAGCACTTTTGGGGGATTAAAGTCTTTGGGTCGGAAACTGACAAACGCGGGAACGTGCCGCAAGGGCTGATGCTGTCCGACGGAGTTCGCGTTCCGACAACTAAAATCGAGACCGGCCGCGGTCGGCAGTGAGTAGACAGCGGTCTGCATGATCCGGCCGCCGCCGCCGCAAGTCACCATAAAAGCCCTACAGAATCCGAAGGCTTTCGACAGCCAAGCCACGACATTAGTATAACCCGCCCGGACAACCCTACCAACTTTCTTCCTGCTGGAACATCAAGCAAGCGCCGTTAAGTTTAGAGCACATACATAGATAAACCGCCTCCCCACATATCTCCCCACATATATTAACTATCACTCCAGGTAGTCATGGGTTTGTTTACGTTGAGCAGCGATGCCTCTCAGAACGGGTCATCGGTATCCGAAAGCAATTAAATAGAAATACAACCAAAGATAGCTAGTAAACGGTACGCGACTAAAGCTCAATTCCCTTGCCATCGCATTGCTGCAGCGTTCTAAGCTCGTTTTATTACCTCGTATGCAACGAGACCTTTACCAGTGCGACTGTTTTGTCCGAACCACAGACTGACTAACTCGGCAGGTGAGCTGACGTGAGCCTACACAAAAGTGAATACAGGATACCCGATGACAGACCGAGTGCTGTCCGACAGAATGCCGGCGTGTGAGCGGCACTGGAGGCGGTGAAGAGATCTTGGAGATTGTAGGCAAGAGTTTACTTACTATTGCAGCGCAGCAGTCACTTCGGAACTGACCCATTAATATCTGAGTCCTGCCGACCTTCGCTTGACGTGCTGCACGCACTTGCAGATCCCGCGCTGATGTCGTCCTTGTCCTGCGTGGGGAAACTCGCGCAAATAGTCTCGCGCTCGGAAACCGAAGGCGCTGCGATGCCGTTCTTATCCAATGCCAGCTCCACGTCATTGGATGTCGTGGCTGCCAGAGTGCTATCCATCGTCGGGATATGGTCCTTGGTGACGACATGGCGCCGCGGTCGTGGTTGCTCCAGCTCGACTTGTGGCTGCTCGTCGGTGCCTGGGAGCCATCGACGGAACAGTGGTCTTAACGTGACGATGCATGCGCAGGCAATGCCCAAATTCACTTCGATGGCGCCGTAAATTGCGCTGAAGAAAGAGTCCCATGTTTTGTCGGGTGAAGTTGTCGACAGGCGGAGAACCTGCAGCCGTAAAACTCCGGCGATGCAGGCACTGAAAAGAACAGCGGATACGACGCTTTGTTAGCCAACAGTACCACCTTTCCGGGTGACAAAGACGAGGGGGACAGGGGGGGTAAAACTTACATTCCCCCAAACCCAACAACAATAATGAGAAGCACTCGTTGCGGCCAAGGGATGGTTAAATGTCTAAGGATGAAGAGAGGGGCTACGAGGATGATGAAGTCCATAGCCAGACTATGACCCTGAACAGTTAAAAATAACGTAGTAGTGTTGGTGCAATTGGCTCCCGGAATCTGGGGCATCCAGATAGCCTGGAATGGTATGCAGCGGGTGAGGCTGAGGATGAGCATGGCCGAGTACCCCAAAACTACAATGACGAAAAGGACATGGCAAAGCCGCCTTTCGAGAGCCATGACGCTTAGTCGGGTGTAGTGGAGCAAAATAGATATCTTGATGAACATGTGCGCTGCGATGTAAGGGAGGTGGACGCCTGGGGAAATCTATCCTTGGATTTCCATGTTAGAGAGAAAGCGATGGGAAAGGAGGTTATAGAGAAGGAAAGAAGAACTGCAAGGAAATCGAAAGCTTGACACGTACCCTTGATTGCAGAATCTTTTGCTCTTGGGTGAGTGCTTCGATGTGTCTCCCAGACCCATTGGTGAACGCTGGCCAATGTCAGGATCCGCATTACCGGAGATCAAAACAGACGCTGACCTCATCCTCGAACTGAATATACATGACTTACCAATTACCATGAACACGCTCATCATAATGGAAACAACCTGTCGAACGTCGAAATAAGCGAAAGGCTCCAGCCAGGGGGCGGCTTAGACGAGGCAGAAATCCAATGCTCACCATGGCTGCAACGATGAGGTAGTCTTCCCAGAAAACCCGCTTGAGCAGGAAAGCTCGTGTATACAAGCGCAGGTTAACGCAGCAGAGTGCAATGACGGGGCAGAGAATGATCACGACGAGGGATTGAGGAACCCGAGACTCGCTCAGGTAGTCCGCCAGCAGCGCAGTCGAGTTGGTGGATGACATGATGGGCAACCTGTGGACATTCAAGGAACCGGCCCGAGTTGCTGGGAAACCTGTCGTGCTCTCGGTCGCAAGTAGGAGGGCAACGACAGATAAAGATCACAGCATTTCATCGCCGCCAAAAGCCTTCCCGGTCTCAACAGCGTGAAGGTGTGCGCATTAATCCCCGTGTGGAGATTAGTGGCTCGCGGATGAATGCTACAAGTAGACGAGTGCAGAACAACACCCTGAGCACACCTCCTTGGCCAGGCAGGGGGGTTCAGGGATTGGCACGCACGAAGGTGACAAAGGATCCAAACAGCCAAGATTCAATGTCGCTTGATTGATATACACGTCAATTGCAGCTCAATACCCCTCCCTTATTGCGTGATAAATCCTCAAATTTTTCATCGTTGTTGTTTAAAAGCCTCGAGTATCACCGACAATTTTCCTAGACTTTTTGAGGCTAGGTCCTGTACTGGGAGCTGGTGGTTGAGAACGAAGATTGTTCTCTTTTTTGGTCACCCATGTGGCAGGATCCCTTGTTGGGAGGTGGCTGCGTTAGAGCTCTGCGCAACTCGTATCATGCGGGTGACAGCAAGATTCTGGCACTTGGGTCTGGCCAATCAGGCGGACGCCTTACTTCTGCCCCGAAAAGAGGTGCCCTAGAAACCCCCTCCTCCGGGCCGTTTGCGCAACCCAATCGGAAGGCTCGCATCGGCTAATTTTCCGGACATTCAGTCTTTCAGCTTTCCGGGGGGTTTTGCGCTATTCTTTTCCAGGGCAAGTGCAGCAATAATGCGGACCAAAGTTCTGTCAGGCATGCTCACCGGTTCGCCTCCCCGGTGGTGCCGCTAATTTCGGCCGCTAGCAACCCGCAAAGCCAGACGCCTTGTGATTGGATTTCACATTAGGTGTCTCGGAGACCTCTGCCCCAACTTGTGGGCGGCGCCGGGTGGTGGGGTCAACCGGACGATTCCTCTCCTCTCCCCGCTCCCCCCTGTGCAGCCAGATTACAGGGCTGCACAATCGATCGTGTCTTGCCGAGCTCGCTACCAACAAAAAAAAGACGGCACCAAAATGATCCAAAGGTTTGACCACGTAGTCCACCCCACCAGGTTCCTAACAAGCAATTATAAAAATTTTAATACCATTCATAGACACAAAGGGCAATCTGCACACTAAGTTTACAGAGATTTGAAGAGGTTTTGGGGTGGAGGGACTAGTCGAATTGAAACAGAGCGCGACTCCAGTTTAAGCCTTAACAAGAGCTTCAAATTAAAGAGGTGGAAGAAGAAGACGATATAGACGATATTAAAGATGAGGATATTTTGCCTATAAGGATAACTAGATCTAGGCGTGTAACTAGGATGTTAGCACGATATATAGATTGAGCGATTAATTTGCCATATTTTACTGTATTTTGCTTGCAAATGGCTTCATAATTGACTACGTAACGGTTGTTCAAATATTCAGTATTTTTGTATAAAAAGTGATCGCTTCAGGGGGGGTGGTATGCCATGTTCCACCTCCCCGGAGACAATTTCGTAGAGATGTTGCGGACCACGTTGGCGGACCCCCTGCGGCCAAGGAGGTGTACTGCATTAGGGGCATGGACCGCATTGTGACGGCAATCGACGTCCTGCACGGCCAGCCGGAACAGATCAACCTTGAGACTCTCTTCGAGAACATGAACAAGTGCGCCGGCGGTGACTGCAACTCAGTCAGTCACCAGCCCGACAGCATACGTTATCGACCTCCTCCAATACCTTTAGAACAACCACCTCTCGCCCGACAGCCCCCTCACTGGCACACAAGTCTATGAAGACACCGCTAGCCGTCCTGTTCCGCCAGCCGCCGACGTGAATCATCTTGGGCTCACCTGCGCCAACACCAACACCATGATGCCGTACATTAACCTCGCCAACGAAGTCATGGAGTCCTTCCTGGCGAACATGGAGTCCTTCCTGGCGAACATGGACAAGTTTGCCGCGGCGGCTTCCACGCAAGCGATACTCGAGGTCTACAATGCCGATGTGAACAAGGAGGGCCTCGGCGGCAGCCAGGCCGAGCTGCTCGCCCAGCCGCAGCACACCAGCGGCCTGCCGTACAGCGTGCTGAAAAAAGCCGCTACCCTTCAACAAATCTGCCCCTCGACCAGCCCGTCGACGCGATCCTGCTCTTCCTAGACTTTCTCCATACGAATTGTGCGGATCTGGGTCTGGTGCTCCGCAAGCCGTACCACGCGCCAACCGCCATGTGCCGGCCCCGACGTCGACTTGCGAGGATATCTCGTCCTCGTCGTGCTCGTCGTGCGAGTGCGACCCGCTCGATGACAACAGCAGCGGTAGCGGCGGCTTTTCCTCCGATGACGAAGCCCCCGGCGACTAGTGCGCATTAGGGTCAAGCCGAGCTATGGGTACTGGGGCGTCTACTACACCAGAGTTGCCGATGTGCTCGACAATACAAAGGGGAGCGGCCTCACGATCGTCAGCGCAGTTTCTCCCTCGGTCAGGTACTGCCTACTCCGATCTGGCTGACCTCCTCAAGACCGAATACATCAACCCCAACGTGCCCAAGGGCCTCGACGTCGTCATCATGCGGTCCATCCAATTGACGTACAATTTCCTGCAGACTAAGATCGGGACGGGCTCGGCCGGGACGCCCTGTGACCAGGCAAAATGCAATCATGGCCACTCCTGCCACCGTCGTCACCACGTGCCGTGCCGTTTCAAACCCCTCGTCGACACTTGCTGGGCCAGCAGTGTTGCGAGTGGGATGAGGAATGCAAGGTGGACAGCGTCCCCAACATCAGCCCCGACTTCTTGCACCAGCTCGTCGCCCTCAAGAAGCTTGTCGGCCTGACGGGATACGCGGTGCCCAACCTGCTCACGCTCTGGGACCCTATTGCCACGTCGGGGCTCGCCTTCGCTGTATAGCTAGCTGTTCTTGACCCATGGCCTGCTCGGGGTTGGACCGAGTCTGTGCCGCCGATGAGAACGACAACTATCTCGCCAAAAAGACCCGTGAGAAAATCACCGGCCACGTGCCCGTCCTGCTGGCCGCGCTGGGGCTCAAACTGCTCAGCTTCAATGCCCTGACGGCGGCAATCGCGCAGGACCAGGGCACGGATCTCACCCTGCAACGCTACTCTCCCGTACCGCCATGTCCTGTTGGGGAGAGTGCTGGGGCTGAAGCCCGAAGCCCTGAAGCAGGCATTCGCCGCCTTGGACGTCAAGCCGTTCGTGCCTCTCGCCAAGGCGCTGGAGCTTGTCGAGGTGTGGGACAGCGTCTCCGAGGCCGGATTTACTTCCCAGCAGGATCCTGCACGAACAAAAGTGCCAACGCGCGGAGTATTTTCTAATTTCATGAATTCTTTGGGTCTTACGATCGTTTCATAGTGCCGTACGTCCTACCTAGTTAATTATTGCACATGCAATAGAGGGCGTCGACCAGACCCGGCCCCGCTTGTTATGACGGTGAAAGAAGCTGGGGGATAACAACAAGGCAAAGGACGGGATATATTTTTAGGAACTACAGAACGGAATAGTGCAGCGAGGGCGAGTAACGGCACCGGGGAAGTTAAGGACAAGCCTGTCGAGACCGAATCATCTGGTCTCCACGAGGAGAGGGAACAGAAAGAGGGCCGTTGCCCTAGCCACGGCCTCTCTGCCTCTTTGTCAGAGACGTGGAAGACCAGATGACGACACAGCCTGGCACCTCGCGTCTCCACCCATGGAAGAGAGCAAAATTTGTGGTCATGCACATACCAACTACAACGCGTATGTATTCCTTCATCCCCTCCTGCCTTCTGGACTTTCTTTTCTGATTGCCGTGCAAGAGTGGTGCCATGGAGAAGAAGCCGTTTAGTATATCTCGTTATCAGTCTTGTCGCCATTTGGTGGTTCTCGTGTGTGCCTACGTGTGCCTGTGTGTGTTTATTAATGCCTGTGCCTCTCCCCGTCGTTGCCCTATGCTATTTATGTCCAGCTACCGGAAATGATGGAGGGCAAGTTGGTTCTTGTCGTCCCTGCATGTGCTCAAAGTACCATGATGGTCTAGGTTGTAGTGGAGATGCAGAGCACAGCAGTCTGATCTGGTGCCTGATTGGGAGTCTGGGGAAAGCGATCTTTTTGCGAGAATCGCGGCGCCAATTTTCGGGACACGACCACAGGCCAGCCGACAGTACTTTGGAAGAGAACACTGTAGAACCCGAGGTGCGGGAGCCGAGACATCGGGTCGCCTAGATGCTAGATACAATATAGATGTGGAGCTGCCCTAGGAAATAAGCTTTTGAATAAGAACAAAGACCTTGGTTGTTCCATCAGCGGTGACCAAGTCTAGTCATGCTTTCACATTATAGTAGTACCTAGTTTAAGTAACTAGATAAGTCGTATAGGTCGAACGTAGCTTAGTCGCCTGAGTGTATCACATAACATCGAGGGCTAGCATATATTGGGAGCAGAGCCTATAGCCAAGGAAGATAGGCTCTGAAAAGAGTGTCACGGAGATGATGACAGTACCGGATAATTATAGATGCTATATAGTCGTAAATATATCTATGCTACCACTTCAAGCGCTGAACGCGCAGACAAACTCCAACTCATCTATTTACCTTTGAATAAGGATATGTTTTACATGCCTACAATGAGGACATCCGGGATATAGTATTCCTGCCGCCGATAAATCGGTCAATCTGTGAGTCCCTCCAACCGATACCTAGTCCGTATTAACCATGCCATGCAACCAAACCTGCCGAAAGCCAATATTCCAAGCTAAAAGAGAATCCATCTAATATTACAGTTGTATCTGTGTTTTCCAAGTTTTATATCCAACGCTGGAGCCCGCCGTAGCCCAGAAATCGTGATAAAGGCTCGACGTAGAGAGCAGGAGATAAGGTAGTCCCGGCTACTTCGTATAGCAGGAGCAAAGACACCCGCGAACGTCAACCTCAAAACAGGTTTGCACTGTTCTTGCGTGGTGATGGTGGGATGTGTGGGCGTCATACCTGTAGTAGATGTAGGCGGTGAATGAAAGAAAAGATGCGGAATTTCAGGGGAAGCTGTTGTTTCCCCAACGTGTTTATGGGTTGCAGGTTGCTCTCCAGTCTAGCAAAGAGGCCTACACGAGCCGAAAAAAGCAAGCATTAACCGATGTATATCATGAAGACGTGAATATCGCCAAGGAAGTGGGTCATCCAAATGGCATTAGGGAAACACTGCCCCCATGCGGGCGACGAAAAAAAGAGTCCGGGAAGGGCCGCCGCGGCAGTGGGGGCGACTTGGACGGTCAAGAAGGTCCAAGATGACAGATATGAGAACGAAGCAGGGGACAAGTGGGACGCGGGTGAGGAGCCGTGTCTTTAGGCCAAGACCATGCCGTGGCTCCACTTATTGTGGTCCATGTTTCCTTGCTTCTTCTCCTTGCGGATGGTATTTGCCCTTACGAAATCGCCCACTCCCATGGCCAAGATGCCAAGAGAGGACACGAGGAGGACGATGGCAATGAGGATAATAACAATGACGGGGAAGTATATGGAGGCGCTGACGAATGCGGGCCAGCCGTTGTCCTGGTCGAAGGCGCCCATGCCGAGGGCGGCCAGGCTGACCTGCATCGAGTTGAGGACGACGGAGCAGACGGCGAATACGGTGATGACGGGGGCCAGGATGTGGGCCAGGAACGACCCCCACTGGGGGTAGATGTGGTGGTAGGCTAGGCTGGCCTTGAAGAGCATGGCGGTGCGGTTGATGCGCGACAGGCGAAGCTCGCCGTAGTGGAAGCGGCGGTTGACCTCGGCATCGCTTATGTGGCCAAAGGGCTCGATGAAGTCGCACCACTCCTCCCACGTAGGGTACGGGCCGCCCGTCCTCTTCTTGGGGATCAGACCCCGCTTGCACGCCTCCTCGAAGTCGATCTCGAACTGGATCAGGTGGTAGTAGCTGCGCATGAAGCCGAGGGCGGCCTTGCGGACGTCCTCGTCGGCGTCCCGGATGTAGTCCCAGAAGGCGCGTGTGTAGCAGTAGACGGGGACGGGTTTGATGAAGATGCGCTCGTAGTACCATAGGAGGTGCAGGCCGGGGTACTCGTTGACGACGATCTCGCGGGCGTGGGCCTTTTGGTGGTGCAGCGGCATGATGTGGTTGTGCAGGGGCGTCTGGACGAAGATGTAGCGCATGAAGGGGAGGATGGCGTCGAGCCTGTCCGTCTTGTGGAGTTTTCGGAGGTAGGCGAGCAAATGGTCCTTCGCGCGGTCGTGGTGCTGGCCGGCGCCGTCGAGGCGCACGCGTGGCTGCCCAAGCAAGTACTGCTTGTGCGGTGCCTTGGCCTGCAGCAGCTTGCGCGTCGTTGCCTGGCCGGCATTTTGCTTGTCGGAAATGACAGTCTCGGCTACTTCCAGTTCGTTGTTGAGCTCGAGCTTGAGGCCCGTGAAGGGCTCATCAGACACAAACGTCTCGTGGTGCGGGGTCGCCATGGCAAGCGGTGGTAGCGGTGGTGGGTAGTGCTAATCTCTAGGGCATTCGATTGCTGGCCGATGACGGGGACGGGATGGGCAGGCACGACCAAAGACTAGCGCCCGGTCCGACGATAGGAGACCTAAGAAAGCTACCAGCAGTGGGTTGGGACCGCGACGACGATGGGGGCATTGGAGGGAGGTGGATTGTCGGTCTGCTCGCCGTTGCAGATGGCAGAGAAGAAAAAAAGAGGAAAAGATGAAATCCAGACAGCCTTCCCAGAGCCTGCTGCCAGCGCGCGCCCTTACCTTATTGAGCTCAGCTGACTGGCTGGCCCGGGGGGCCTTGTTGGTTCAAGCTTCGAGGGAGGGGTGGCGCGGGGTGTCTCAGCTTGGCGTCCTTTCCCACTCTGTTGGCGGCGGGCGCCTCGTTCTCGGGGCGCCAAAACAAGGATTTGTCGCTCCTGCGCCATATGTGCTTTAGCACCGTAACAGGCACTGTACCAAGAGCCTCGAATCGCACACGTCTGTTGCGCCGTTGAGAGAATATTGTGTTCAAGCCGCTGCTCCTCATATAAGCGCCTGCAATACATCATATTTACATGCATCATAGGCATGGAGACACAAACATTCGGATAGGTGTCTAGACTGCTGGATGCATGCAGTCCCCTCAAAATACCCGCCAACTTCTGGCGTGCCTCTGCTTTTATACACACTGTACTGTTCGCGCCCAGCCTCGATTCTGGGCTTCCGGTCAGTCGTTGCCATCGGTTCAGCGGCATCCACACACCATCCTGCTCGTTTTCCCACAGCCAGCCATGCGCACGTGCTGTGACGCTCCTCATGGTAGTCTGACGTGCCACCGACAACGCCTCTGTCATTTGGAACCAGCCGCTTAAGGAAGTGAGCCCAAAAACGGATCAACGGTGACGCCTTTCACCGCCCCAAAACAGCACGTCCCAAGGCTGATTGCGCAGTGTCAAGTAACACCGTCTCAAAATGTAATTAAAACAGAGAGCCAAAAAAAAAAACAAGAAAAAGAGAAAACACTCGGTTTTTGGTTTCCACCCTCAGCCTCATTCGTCTTTCCCCCTTTTTCGGTTTGCACCCGCCGCCGCACAAACTACGGTACATACGTACGTACACAGGTGGCGGCGTGGCCGGCGACCTGCGCCTTCTTCCCCCGCCCACCTCCCGCAAAATGCACTCGGTAACCAAAACACGGGGTCCAAAGCAAGGCTCTCACCCGAGCTAATGACATTTCCCGCAGAAAGAATTCACAAATTCCAATTACCAAATTTTCTGCAGATCCTAGTTTTAAAGTGCCAGCTCCCCGAAGCCGCGAAATTGTCGCTACCAAGCCAGCATGCCAAGTCCTCTCGGGAGGTGCGCACGCACGGGGGTACAACAAATGCGCTCCCGGGCCCGTCCCACCAAACCGGCCCCACTCCAGATCTGGCCTAAAGTCGAGAAGAGGTCGGCTCCGGCCTCATCCGGGATCGATTTCCTAGCTCTCTGGCGTTACGAATTCTTCAAGGCACCATTAGGGAGCCTCTTCCATGGAGGCAACCCGTAGCCCGGCAGCGGAAGCGACTCGGGGCTCTGATTGGCCGGCGGCCCTCTTTACCGACGACCAAAATGGCGACAAGGCTCTGGAAAAGGAGTGCAGTCATTTGCAGTGAAATTTTTTTTCCCAAATGCAGGCCTTCCCCGCACTCCTGCACTCTTCTCGGAAGAACGCCTTCTCACTTGACGTTAATTAGCGGCAAACATCAGTCCAATCTACGCGATGGCTTCCCTCTCCTCCCTAAACTCCGAGTTGAACGGCTCAAGTTCATCAGGAGATGATTTCGACAGCGCCGGGTCAGAAATTTTCGATCAAGGAGTCTCATCCGATGAAGAGCTGGACAAACGGCGTCATGGCGATTCCTCGACGGCAACAACTCCACTGGACTAGTCGCTATGTTCACTTTGCTCCCGCCCCACCCCATCCACGACATATCTGCCATCTCAAACCACATAACCAGCCTATCACACGTGGCAAAACAAATCCAGTCAGTGACACCCGAAGCCTGGGACCGCCGATTCGAGTACGAAGACGTCTTCTCCCTGCTGTTGTACTGGGAAGATGACGATTTGAAGGTTGCCCCTGAGGTAGAGAGCCTCGGGGCGACCCTGCGCGACATCTACCACTACAAGACAGAAACATGGAAGATTCCAAGCAAGCGACCCGACTGGGACATCAAAGAACGGCTCATCCGATTCCTGAGGGCCAACGACGACCAAGGCAACCTTGTAATGTTCTACTACGCCGGCCACGCCGTTCCGAACCCGCAGATCGGCGGCGCCCCGCTGTGGTCTTCGAGGAGAACACACGGCAAGACCATGTTCTCTGGCAGCATACTTTCGACAATCGAGGAAGCCGAGTCTGACTTTTTACTCTTATTCGACTGCTGCAACGCGTACCACCCGCCGAACGGGCCGAGCGGCTCGGGCCGGAATATCATCGAGGTGATATCCGCCGTCGGCTTTGGCGGTGGCGCCGTCGCTGCTGAGCCCGGCGTAGACTCTTTTACGTACCATCTGGACGAAGCGCTTGCTCTGGCAAAAAGACGTGGTCCCCTCAAGGTTGTCGACTTGTACATGCACATTATCAACCGTCTTTTTCCTGAGGCCCCAGCTCGACTTCGGAGCGGGTCCTCTTTCGTGGTCGACGGCAACGGGCCCGTGGATCAGAGGTCGAGAAGACAATGCCTGGTACACTATTGGCTGAGCGGACGGGACAAGAGCATCACCCTTGCGCCCCTAGAGAAGACCAGCAGTCCATGTACCGACAAAGGCCCCCAGGACACGGATGTTGACCTGCCGCGCGTCTCGATCGAGACCCCAAAAGATCTCGCGGAGACGGGTGTTGCCTAACTCACAAGATCCGGGTTCTTGCAAGTCTTCGTCGCCTTCCGCGTCACCAAAGACCTCTTCGACGTGGATGCCTGGGTGAAGTGGCTTCTCGAGGCGCCACCTGAGGCGCGAGATCTGATCAAGATCGAAGGTTTCTATGGGAGTTTCTCTTCGCTCATGCTGGTGAGGATGCCAGTCCAGGTTTGGAGCATGTTGCCCGAGCCGTCGGCGACTTTGTTCGTGGGGTTCACCACGACGGACAACCAAGCGGTTGGTTTGCAGAGGCAGGTAGAGGAACGACTTGTCTCAACCTCTGGCAGTGCCAATCAGCGCCCGCACCCGCTCCCTGCGCACAGCCGCCGAAACTATGCAGACACCTCGGGCAATTGGTCGATGACAGAAGTGGGGAAATCAGCTACTACTTCTTCTCCTTCTTCCTCTTTCAACACTACAAGAATGGCGATGGACGCGTCATTTCGATCTGCCCGGCAGCCGGGCAGAGGCTACATGACGAGGAAAGGAGCCCGGTGGAAAAAGCTCTTCTTCCGACGGTGCTGGTACGTGTTTTCTGGCACTGTGAATTGCTTGTTGGCTTTTACGTTTCAGAATCGCTTCTCGAAACGCTTCCTCTTTGGCTAAACCGTGGTGTCACTTAATGTGCAGGTGATTTGTTCACTTGGGCGGCCCCCTCATGAGGCTCAATAAGGTCTAATGAGTGGGCGGAGTATACCTTGGCCGGGCCTAGGAAGTGCCATTGCCACAACTAGTCCTTTCGTGCCCGGCTTTTGCCTTTAGAGAAGTCCGCTGACCCGCTATGACTAGCATGAATTGCGAAGTGCTGGTTAGACCTGTCGATGATTTCCTCTTATACTGCTCCGAGTCGTAAGCGTGCCGGAAATCTAACATACCGCCGTTTGTGGGACTTTACTGACGGCGCCCAAACTAGATGTCGGGTCAAAGACCAGCCCGCTGCTAGCACTGCAGCAGTTTCAACCGGCCACGCTAGCAGTCAATATTTAGGGTCATCTCTGAAACCCCGGCGAACTCATTTACTTGGTGGCCTGAGTCAATGTCACACACATTCACAGGGCAACGGAAATGAAGCATTTGATGCAGGGATGTAAGGCTTGAATTGTCTGAAAAGGTCTGACTTTTTGTTTCCTTTGGGAGGGCCAAAAGTCTCTCTTTTATAGTTATGAATAGTGGCAAATCCTGGTGGCGAAGAATCAAGTGGCAGCTTCTAGGTCCTTCTTTTGCTCACTAATCCCTATTATTGTGACACTAAAATTTCAGGGTCTAGCTTGACGCACGCATTCCAACAACCCACGTCGCCGAACCTATCTAGCCACACGTTAGCCATCTCTGGCCTTAAATCTAAATCCCTCTCCGTCCGGCCTTCGAGCCCCTCACCACCATCCGGAACCCAGTACCCAACATTGGGCCATCCGGCTGGAGAACTCCAGCCAGCCCGAGCCACCCGTATCCAAATCACCCAACTGGTTTATAGTCGTCCACTTACTACGACAGTCATTTGGGTATCTATTCTCGGCCCCAGAACATGAAGTTGGAAACGCCCGAACTCAACCCTCCCTAGCATAGTATTCGACTATATCTATTGCCGTAATTAGAAGCGAGCATATCCCATGCAATGCCTTATGACGAAGCAGGGGAGCAGTGGTGGTCTCCTATTGCCTCTATTCTAGTTCCCCCATTTCCGACCCACTCATTGACCCCGTGTTTTGAAAGGTAGTATATACATTTTCATAGTAAATGCATTCAACGGCGCCAAGACCTGAATTACATCCAACAGCGTCCTTCGATCTGGTGGTGATCTGCCCATGGGTACTTATGTGGGTAGCTCCAGTGGAACAACTTGGCCCCCTTTCCTTGTTGGGACTCGAGACGGGCATGAGGTTCTTAGCAACTGAGTCCAGACCTACACAATTGTTAGACATTCACAATGTCTCGCAAACAACTTCAGCTTTAAAAATATGTGCGTCGGCAGACCCAGTCCTGCGCACTTCGGCGTTTTTCAAGCCATTAACCCCAACCACTCTCGAACCAAGCCGAACACTCTTCGGTCTTGTGTAACCACAGAACCGATAGCGACAGGCCATTATCGCGGTGCAGCGCGGTCAAGCCTTCTCAGTGACTGCCGGCACGGCTCGCACGCGTGATAGCTATGCGTTTAACCTGCAGGCATGCGGGGTTGTGCTTGGCCTGGCTTGCCTGCCCACCCCTCTCTCCAACAGTTTGGGTTGAGAGGGACTTGCCTCCTCACGCACGCTGTGTCCCCCCGGGCTCTCGAGCCGGATCAGCAGGGCGTGTGAGGTCTCCTCCTCTGCGGGTTCCGTGTTCCGCGTTATGGCACTTGGGCCGGTACTCCCATCCAATCCACGCCGTACTCGGCCTTGTTGCCGTCCAAGGTTTGCAGGTGGCCCGGTGTAGTGGTACCCAACTAACTACACGGCCCGATCCGCAAATGCTAGCTCAGCGTTAGTGACTGCAGGGATGTGTGTGTGTGTGTGTGTGTGTGTGTGTGTGTGTGTGTGTGTGTGTGTGTGTGTGTGTGTGTGTGTGTGTGTGTGTGTGTGTGTGTGTGTAGGTATGGGTGCGTGTGCGTATAGGTATGTGCCAGTGTTTTTCGGGGCCTAGACCGGGGCGCACTTGGCAGTTGCACGTCAAAGTTCATGTGACGCTACTGCACGAACGTCTGCCGTCTCGTTCGTCGGTCGGCTTCTCGTTGACATCACGCAGTGATAATGACTTTCTGGGTCGTGCACCTGCGCCTGCCGCTGCTGCTGCTGCTGCTGGCTCGAAGCATGCCGTTTTTAATTCATTGACAGTCCGCACTCTCTGCCGCTTGTTTTTCGTGCTCTCCAATTCACCCTCTTCACACGCCCACAACCCCTTCCTTCGTTCACAGTAGAGGACTTCACTCAGAGTCCGACGGTCCGTAGTGGTCCCCGGCTTGCCTCGCATTTCTGCTCCCATCCTCTTATCATACACACCGTAGAGGTGCCCGCCATAGCGGGCACACAAAAGTCCATGGCAGCGGAGCCCAAGCCCACGCTCGTCACGGCCGAGGGCGGAACCGGCGACTTGTCGTCTGATAGTGTCGACGACGACCCCATACCTCGCCTCCACGCAAAGACCTTTCTGGCCGTCTTTTCCGTCTGCCTAATCTACATGTCCCAGCTGGTCTGTCTTGTCGGCGCCGGTGCTGTAAGCGTCTTCCGCTTTTTGATTACTATTCAGGGGATCGTGTAATCTCCCCCCATTCCCCAAACCACACGTCACACCCGGCTCACACGCACCGGCACGGCAGCAAGGGCAAGTCATCGCAGGACACTTCGGCGGGACGGCGCAGACAGTGTGGTTCTCGGCGCCCATCACCATCATGACGGTTGTCCTCGGGCCGATCGTGGCGCAGGCGGCCGACTACTGGGGGCGGAAGTGGTTTCTGGTGTCGCTGACGCTGGTCGGCGCCGTGGGGACGGTCGTGGTGGCGCGCGCCAGCTCCATGAACATGGCCATTGGCGGGTTCTGCGTCATCGGCCTGGCGTTTGGCGCGCAGCCGCTGCTGCACGTCGTCACGTCCGAGGTCCTCCCGCGGCGGTGGCGGGCCTGGGGCCAAGCGGCCGACATGATATCGAATGCCGTCGGCAGCAGCTTGGGCCTGTATGTCGGCGGCGCGCTGAACCGCACCAGCGACCCGGCGTCGGACGGCTTCCGGTACTATTTCTACATGGCCATGGCGTGCTTCGTGTCGGCGGCCGCCATGTGCGCGCTCGTCTACAGCCCGCCGCCGCTGCCGACGCAGACGCAGTTCACCAACGCCGAGAAGCTCGCCAAGCTGGACTGGGTGGGGTACTTCTTCCTGGCCACGGGCCTGGTGCTCTTCTCGGTCGGGCTGTCGTACTCCAAGAACCCGTACGAGTGGACCGATCCGGCGGTCTCGGCGACGTTTGCCCTCGGCCTGGCGTTCGTCGCCGGGCTCGTCGTGTATGCCACGCGGTTCAAGACGGACGGCATGTTCCACCACGGGCTGTTCACGGGGAACCGCAACTTCTCCATCGCGGCCTTCTGCGTCTTCGCCGAGGGCGTGGCCTTCTTCGCCGCCAACACGTACTTCGCCTTCCAGGTCAGCGTGCTATACGAGCACGACGCGCTGCTCGTCGGCGTGCGCTACAGCACCATGACGATCACGTCGGCCATCGCGGCGTGCCTGACGGCGTGGTACTGCGCCCGGGCGCGGCGCGTGCGCTGGGTGACCGTGCTGGCCTTTTCCATCTTCGTGGCGTGCTTCGCGGCGCTCGCCAACACCAGCCGCGACTCGGACCGGCCCATGTGGGGGTATCCGGTGCTGCTGGGCACGGCGCTCGGCATGACGCTGACGACGCTGGTGACGGCCGCGCAGCTGTCGACGCCGCCCGAGCTCATCAGCATCGCCAGCGGCATCCTGATCAGCGTGCGCTCGCTCGGCGGCACCGTGGGGCTGGCCATCTACAACGCCCTGTTCAACGAGGCCATGGGCCACCTGGGCAGCAACGTCGCGGATGCGGTTCTGGCGGACGGCCTGGCCCCCGAGAACGTCGGCCCGTTCCTCGACGCCCTCGGCTCGCAGAACGCCACGGCGCTGTCGGCCATCCCGGGGGTCACGCCCGAGACGGTTGAGCGCGGGGCCGCAGCGCTGCAGGACACGTACGTCACGGCGTTCAGACACGTCTGGATTGCCGGGGGCTGCTTCGTAGCCCTGGCGGCAGTCGGTGAGTCCCATGCTCTGTTTCCGCTGGATGTTATTGCGATTGCTTATTCGGTTCTGATTACTCAGTCGCCGGTTTCCTGTTCGACCCCAGAAAGGAGTTCAACATGCACATCGACGCGCCGGTCGAGAAGGACGAGGACATGTACTCCGTGTAGGAGGCAGTCATGTGAGAAGCACCCGTGCTATCAATTGCTGAGAAGAGATTTTTTACATTAGTGAATCGTATTTCCGGCTCACCTTGGCCGCTCTTGGCCGAAGTTGGGGCAGTAGATATAGAGGGACCTAATGTCGATAAAGATGTCGACTGTCTCGAGCCGAGCAGTGACTCCATTGGGGTGAGACGGTGAAGTTGATAGAAGTAGAGAAGAAATTGTTGCAGGGAAATAACCAAGTTTGGGCGCAGTAATTATTCCACTAAGTACGATTACTGTGGTCGCGTGCAAAAATAAAACCCCCTTGTCAGGTACCTGTGGGGCAAACCCTTTACGCGTTTTTGACTAATAAGTACTCGGCATGGGGCTTTTTATTACCCATCATATGGAATAACACAGTACGTCTGTTAGCTGCCGGGCTGAAAGTGGTAATCAGAAGTAGAAGTACTTGCCATTGCCTAAATAAGAGGGTGATTTCACCGCGGCTGTGCCGTAGGAACAGCTCGGGATGTCTCTAATCCCAACGTCATTTTGGTTTCGTAAGCCAATTGCTGGATTTGGAAGTTGGGAGTACAGGTAACTGTAACCTTACAATGAATCATGGTCAAAAAACTACCCGGCTAGAGGAATTTACCGGTTCTTGCCGTTCAATTAGTTTCTGCTTGGGATGTTGTGTCACGCGGCTCATGTTCGCGAATGCCGGGCACTGACGCGACGCGGACAACGAGTTCAATGCAAGTCAAAGTCGCAGTCCAGTTTTCAGCTGAATAGCCCAGGCGGATGGCTCTACTTTCAGATGACGTGTAAGAACTCTCAGGTTGAAGCGGCACGCGGTTGTGTTTAAAATTAGGCCGCGGGGGCATCACATTTGGGGATACCAGGGTAAAGTTGATCTGGTAGTTTGCTTCGGCGGTGGTGGAGGATGGGATGGGCCTGTCGCGGAACTGGACGTGGTGGGGAAGGAGAGATGTGGTGCGGTAAAGTTCCTTGATTATGAGGATGTTCTGGATAAGTTGACATTTCAGGCGGACCGGGATCTGGTGAAGAGAGCCATTGCTTTGGTTAAGAGTACTTACAAAAACTTCGTAGTTGTGGGGTGTCAGTTGTAAGGTGTCACGGGTGTCATTGTTTTTATTCCAGAACGGATAGTTTGACTGTGTCTTTGGATATACTGACGGTACCTATTCAAGCCTAATAATACCGCTAAGTGTACTAGTTGGCCGTGCCTCAAATGTAGCGAGCTACGCCTGAATTAAACTATTTCCTCGCGTACTTGGAAATAAAAGAGATTTGAGCCCTTATTCTTGGTACTTGAAAACATATTTGGGGGGTTCTGCTGGGCTTATAGAAGGTGTAGGAGGGCACCCAAGCGACATACAATATCGTTCGCGTTCTAGGGTAATAAAACCGTAGTTTTAGTTGCGTTGGCGGAGGGTTAAAACTTAATCAGGTCTAAGATACCGTCAAAATATCCAGAGGTAGTGTTAATCATTTGTGTGTTTTGAATTGCCATGTTCGGAGCGCACATCGGTCTTGGCGGATCGGTCGTAACTTTCTCGTAAAGGTACTCTACCTTCCTCGCCGTAGACTTGGTATGGAATCGACCTAGGATTTAGTTTTCCGTGTCGCACTTTTGTTCAAATTCCTGCCCGGTTCCGACGCAAAATAAAACTGTTCTGGAGCAAGAATTGCGAATCCATCGACTCAGTCCTAGACTCAATCATAGACGGAGACAACGAAAATGCCATTAATGATGCGCCATCTGTCAACATCAGGTCGACGAGCGGGCTAACGTACGGCGCGCGCATTGCAGAGAGTCAAGACCCGATGGCCCAGCTATCGGTGAGTATGGTTTGGCGTCTATGTCAACCCTGTTCCCCAATTTGAGCATGCGCAGGAGAATGGCTAGCCATGGCGTGAATCCATCTTTATTGTCGTTTTGTTATTGTATTGTGAATACGGTGATGCTGACTTTTGTCTTTGTCTAGTTTAGGGGAAAAGAAAATGTGTGAGATGTATTGAAGCTGGAAATTATTAGGATATCAATGGTTTCTGTCTCGACCTAGTCCTAGGTAGTAACTGGGCTGTTGCCACTTTTGATAATTCCACCCATCAATACAAGCCCACGGCTGACTGTTGCTTGTGATCGCAGAGGGAGTGTATGCAGCGCGTGCGTGTGTGCCAAGGCCACGAAGTCCCTGAAATACGGCAGGAATCTAACTATTAAGGAGGCTTTCTTGCTTACTGGGCTCCAACTAATGTACACCCAAAGAGAAATAGGAGCGTGATCCCTTATCAGTCCTTAACGAACTGGCGCACCAGGAATGTGCCCTGACCAGCGGACAATCCCTTTACCCGTACAATCTGACACTCCTTACCCTCCTTAATGTTAAATGTGAAGGCCTTCCCTACACCCAACTCTCCCAAGCTCTCAGCAATCTTGGCCACTGTGAAAGACGTAGTACATCCTTCCACAAGACGACCAATATGCGGGAGATATTGCATTGTTACGGGGTCGAGGACGGGGACGTGAATACGCCTTGTCGAAAAATCTACATCGTCGTCTTCGTAGAAGTTGTAGATGACCCAGACGGGACCCGGACGACCGTGCTTATCGAGTTCCACCACAACGCCGAAGCCAATAGCGCTCCATTCTCCCTCCTCGATGATCTCGTCCGTGTCGCTAGATCGTACTTCCTCCCAGCTGCGTGGTCCAGTGAAGGCGTAGAGGGGCCCCAGCTGCGCAAAGATAAAGCCATTCCCGGCATCGATATCACCTGAGTCGGTCGAGCGAACCGAATCCTCCCCAGAGCTCCGTTCCTGGCGGCGTCGTTTTTTGGGGCTGCTATTACCAGCCTCGGGAGGAACAAACTTGATAGCAACATTGCTATTGATACCCAATAGGCTGCGATCTATGGTGGACTCATCGTAGTCGTCCGCACCGAGGCTCGGTGTCAAGTAGAAGGCGCTGGGAATGAAGGCATAGCAGGTGAAGACACCGCCGAGTCTACTCTCGCCGAGGAGACAAAGGGCAGGTTGCCCATCTCCATCGTTGCCAGCCACTTGCCACGCGAATCGGAACTCCTAAAGTTGGTCTGACGAATCATCTCGAAGAACTCGCTTTGGGGGACCGCGTAGTTCTCACGGTCCATGCATCGATCAAGCCAAGCTGTATTCCATTCCCAAAACTGTTCTTCAAGTTCGGGTGTGTTCCAGCGACTCTTAATAGCTCCCACCCACTCGACGACGGTGCCGGTACATCGATTCTCTTGATACCAATCAGGCCGCCTGCTGCATCCCTGATTCAAATTGCATCAACCCATAAGTTAGCTGCCTACTGAGTTAAGCATCGCTCTTCCTGTCGTTCTGCTCGCCTTCTTGACCTGACTTCATGACTGGTAACCCCTGGTATTAGGTGTTTTGAGCTGACATTGGGTGAACACATCCAAAACCTTAAGTCCTGCTTTCATTCCACCTCTATGACTTCCTTGTCCAGTATATGCTGCTGCCCTTCTCATTCAATTTAGACCACTTTATTACGACTCTCATGGTACCTAGGTGCACCTATATTATTTCCCGTGCTATTTTCTTCCCAAGAGTCGAAACCGGGCTCCAACGTATTGCACTGCCTGTGGCCCTATCGGCGAATCGGAATTTTCAGGGATGTGCCCGGACGTGGCCGGCCGGGAGATCCCGGAAGCGTCAAGGTTGTAACTTGCTCAACATCGTACGATGATATGGCCTGACGATAATATTATTTGATTACATTTCCCCGGTCGGTCTGACATGCGAAGGCATTAGACCGCCCGGACGGGGAGTGGTAATGGCACATGTGGTGATTAATGAATAGTGGTCCCCGAGGAGGCCGGGGGCGGGCCCATGCAACAGAAGTGGCCAAATTAGCTCGCAAAACGCATTGAATGAGCAGGATAGTATATGCCTATGTATAATCACAGTGATATAATGACATGCAAGAACAAAAAAAACGAAGCATTGGATTAAACACAAAGCATTGGATGCGTTCACCACTCCGCGCCCCTGAAATTCATGGGAAGCTGTAGCAACCGATCCCCATACGCCGTGGGCTTGGGCGGGTTCCCGGCGCGAATATTCATCTGCAGCGACTGGTGCAGCAGCCGGGGAGCCCCCAACGAGGCATCGCGTTTCTTGCGCATGGCCACAAACTCGTCCTCGCTGATGCCGTCGCGCAGATGCTTGTTCTGCGTCCTGTGGTCCTGGACGCTCATCCACGCCATGGGCGTCTTGCGCTCCGGCGGGGGGTAGTCGTGGCCGGTCCAGATCTTGACGTTGGCTGGCAGGCTGAGCAGCCGGCGGCCTGAGGCGAAGAGGCTGTTGGCGCTCCCACCGGGGAAGTCACACCTCGCTGTCCCGACGTCTGCGTGGAAGAGGGAGTCGCCGCAGAAGACGTTGTCTGGTTCGGGGAGGGGTATTAGCTTCTGGTACTGAACATATGGGGAGGCTCTTTTGTTACCTCCTATCTTGTACCCTAGATGGTCGGGGGTGTGTCCTGGGAGGTGCATCGCCATTGCTTTCAAGTTGCCAATCTCAAAGGTCTCGTCGTCGTCTAGCAGCTTGTCGAACGCGTCTTCCTTACACTCGTCGGCGGGGACTCCGTACCTCCGCCCAAACAGGGTTTGCACCAGCCCAATGCGTTTTCCTATGCCAATGGGTGGCCGGCGGCCCTGGGTCTGGGAGAGGCGGTGTTGCAGATAGGACGCTGCTGTGAGATGATCGGCGTGGGCGTGTGTTTCCAGGATTCTGTCGATGGTGTATCCCTTTTCCTTGACCAGAGAGAGCAGGGAGTCGGCACTACCAGTGGTGGCTGCTCTGGTGACGGGATCAAAGTCCAAGACTGGGTCGATGACGACGGCGGTCAGGGTAGACGGGTCGGCCACCACATATTGCCACGTTCCTGTGACTCGTTCGAAGACGCTGTGAATCGTAGGTTGAACAGCCGGAGTGGTGGATGCAGTGCTGTACAACGCCTGGCTACTTTTGAGGATGGTGGAGGTCGGAATGGAATGGTAGCATAGGGGTCCACGACTTCTTGATGATTTTGGCGGGAACGCCTGGCCAGAGAATGGCCTTATCATGCGGCATGTGTCGAATTGGTGGACCTGCCCGGCCAGAAGGACGCGGGCCGTTGGTTGCCATTTGGCATTGCCTTGAGGTCGAAGGGGTATCATCATGATTTCGACCGATTGATTTTCTATAGATAAACAAATGATGAGATGATAACAAATGATGAGATGATCAGAAGGATGGTTCTGCAGAGCGAACTGGTACCTCAAGCTTGTTTTATTACGTTTATGATGTGAGCTCACCACCACCACTAGCTCCTGCCCGCTGGGCTGGGGTTCCCCGCGTCGGCGACTCAGCAACCTGTTCGCCGACCACCCTCAACGCTCCACCAAAAATCCACTCTCCAACGGCTGGAACAGCGCGACAATTCCTCGGGTCACCCGGGCGGGCGGGCCTCAGGGTCAGTGGAGCTAATGCTGTCGGAAAGTGCCACCAGCATCTTGGCTCTTGGGCCACTGCATGGAATTGCTAGCGCGGTGGCCGCCATCAAACAAAGCACGCAATTTCTGAATTCCTTGTTCGTTTAAATCGCTCTAAAAACCACATACAAGCCCGAGCTTTAAACCCCTTTTCAGCGATTACGCAAAGCTCCATACAGGCTTGTCGAGGTTTGATTTTTCCTCTTTATTGATCCTTCCTTCCTTTTCCCCAAGGGCTTCGGGAGGAATCCGATTCCGGCAGCCAAATATTGCGTCATTTTGTCTTGGACACCCAACATGATGCGCACTCGTGTCGCGCCGGCGGCATTTACCGCCGCCCGCTCGATTTTCACCCCGGAGACGGTTCAGGGCGTCCGTAATCTGGCGACTGCTGCGGCTCCCGTGGACTCTTCGACCCGGAGTCACAAGGTCGTGGTGGTTGGCGGTGGCACTGCTGGCCTGACCATCGTCCACCAGCTCCTTCGATCCGGCAAGTTTTCCAAGGATGATCTCGCAGTCATCGACCCAGCCGAGTGGCACCACTATCAGCCCGGCTGGACTCTGGTTGGCGGCGGGTTGAAGACGCGGGAGGAGCTGCGACAGCCGTTGGGAAGCTTGATCGACCCAAAGCTCAAGTTTTACAACGACAGTGTGCAGACCTTCTCGCCAGAGAACAACCTCGTCACCCTCGGAAACGGCGACAGACTCAGCTACGAACAGCTTGTGGTGGTGCCTGGCATCAGCATCAACTACGGCAACATCAAGGGCCTGCCCGAGGCTTTGGCTGATCCGAACTCTCTGGTCTCGTCCATCTACGGCTACGAAACCTGCAACAAAGTCTTCCAAACCATCCAGAAGCTTCAAAAAGGCACGGCTATTTTTACCCAGCCCGCGGGCGTTGTCAAGTGCGCTGGCGCTCCCCAAAAGGCTATGTGGCTCGCCTTGGATCTCTGGAAACGAGCAGGCCTGTACAAGCCTAGCGACCCCTCCAGCTCACCCATCAAAATCGCCTTTGCCACTGGCCTGCCCACCATGTTCGGTGTACCCAAGTACAGTGCGAAGCTCGAGGAGTTGCGCAAGGAGAGGGGCGTAGAGGGACTCTTCCAGCACGACCTGGTCGCCGTCGAGGGCAACACCGCCACCTTCTCTCGCGCCGACGAGGGGGGAAAGCAAGTCACGCGCAAGTTTGACCTGATGCACGTGGTGCCAAAGATGGGACCGCATGCCTTTGTCAAAAGCAGCCCCCTGGCAAATGAAGCCGGCTTCGTTGACGTTGATGATGGCACGACTCGCTCAACAAAGTTCGGCAATGTGTGGTCTGCAGGCGATGCTTCCAGCTTGCCGACGTCCAAGACGGCCGCGGCCATCACGGCTCAGGCCCCAGTCCTTATCAACAACCTACTGCGAACCATAGAAGGCAAAGAGCCCGAGTCCATTTATGACGGGTACACATCGTGCCCGCTTGTCACAGAGTACGGCAAGGTGCTTCTTGCCGAGTTCAAGTATGGAGGAGTGCCGAAGGAGACTTTCAACTCGTGGTTTGGCATCGATCAGATCGAGCCTCGTCGTGCCTTCTACCATCTGAAGAAGGACTTTTTCCCATGGGTTTACCAGAAGTACATGGTGAAGGGCACTTGGGCCGGACCGAAGGGCTGGACGAGGTAGGGGAAGGGACAAGTGCGATCTAAGATTGACAACTTGGAGTAATTAATGCAACGGGAAGAGCATTTAGAGGCATAAACATGATACCTTAGAAATTTCTTCACGGCTACACGTTCACACTGCATGAAGGTTACGTGATTGAGAAGCACCAACGACGAAACAACCGCAGATAAAATGTCCAACCACAGATAAAATGTCTCGAACACAGGAAACCCCTCTCGCCCCTCTCCCCTCACACCTCGCTCCGCGACTTCCGAAACCGAGAGAAAAGGCCTAGCACTCGTGAACATGGGACTCATCAACACTTCCAGCCTTGACCTTGAAGAGTTCATGGGCTCCAGCATTCCTCCCTATGCAATTCTCCCTCACACCTGGGACGCAGACGATGTCTCGCTGCAAGAGTTTGAGTCCCCGACCGCCGCGACGAGGGCGAAGAAAGGATACGCCAAGATCACCAAGACATGCAGTCTCGCCCGCAGCAACGACATCAACTACGCCTGGGTCGACACTTGCTGCATCGACAAAAGCAGTAGTGCCGATCTCACCGAAGCCGTCAATTCAATGTTTCAGTAGTACAAGTCTTCTCTGATTTGCTGCGCCTATCTTTCAGACCTGGAAACCATTGTCATCGACGACAGCTCGAATGTGATTCCAACCTTTGAAGAATTGTGCCCTTGCCGCTGGTTCACTCGTGGGTGGACTCTCCAGGAGTTGATTGCTCCAGAGAAAGTCTACTTCATCGACCAAAATTGGAACTACCGGGGCTCAAAGCACGATATCGGGGCTTCAATTTCCAGTATCACCGCTATCCTAGCAAGTGTGTTGCACGACAGCGCCGAGATGTCCAAGTTCCCGGTTTCCTTCAGGATGTCATGGGCGTCAGTCAAGATATACAACACGTGTCGAGTACACAGCCTACTGCCTCATGGGAATATTTGACGTCAACATGCCTCTTTTGTACGGAGAAGGGGCAAAGGCGTTTATTTGGCTCCAGCACGAGATTATGAGGACAAGCAGTGACATTTCGATCCTCGGCTGGAATTCTGGTGTCATGGATGTCGGGACAGAGAACCGACATCCCAGGGATCTCATATCTGGGCACCATAGAGTTCTTGCATCGTCTCCTCGAGACTTTTCCCATCCGGGCCCATTGGAGCAAAAGGTTGCGAAAGAATCTTCCATCACGAACATTGGCATGCGCATCAAGACCGCGCTGTACCTGATTTGTCTGAATGGATGCTCGCTCCGCAGCTGCCATTGCGACGCCACGGCACGCAAGTACGTCCTCGGCACGACTCTTCAATCAAGCGAAGTCGGCCGTGAATCGCATTGCGGAATTATGTTGGACAAGTTGCTAGATGGCCACTTCGTAAGGTCCGGCAATGGGTTACTTGAGCTCCTGATGGGAGCCGACATTGACAGAACGAGAAGTGTACCCATCTACCTCGAAACTAGCGCTATCACCTTGTCCTCACGCTTCCCCTTACGACTGAACGACATCATCATGCCTGTATTCTTCGATCGCCGGTTTTAGATTATCGGCGCTATTCCAGAAGAGGCGTAGGATTTTAGTCATCAGTCTAGTAGCCACTAGCAAGCTGCTATATATTGCTAACTTTACATAGAGGCTCCGAACGCGGGAGAGACCATGAGCGTAGTTAACGGTGGCGTGTAAGTGACCTCCACGCTCCTAGCTTAGCATATGCTGACCTTGGTGTTTAGTTGTATGGTTGATGTGGGTGGAGGAGAGATGTGTGGACAGTGTTTCATTTCGCAGCCGTCGGTAGGTTGAGACGGAGCTTATGCGGAGTTCCGTGTAGTTTGCTGAGTTCTCTTAGTTTCGACGATATATTCGCCGCGAGCATCCCGGCGCCAGTGAGCCCCTCCCTCCTCCCCCCTGTGTCGGAATATGCTGACATCACCAGTCACCAACCCCGTTGGCCCTGTCAATGCCAACGTAAACCACCAACACCGCGGCCATTGGTAAGCGCCGTTGTTTCAGTATAAGCTGCATACATCCCGCTAATTCGGTTGTAGCGTGCTGAAGAAGTTTGTTTTGTCTGGCGCCTGGCGTGACGCCTCCTTCGTTTTGGAGCTTGGGTGAGTCCTTACCTCAGCTTAAGTTGGAACCCAGCCTCAGCTAATACTGAATAGTCAAAGTCCTCCTAACGGTCTACTTGACCGTTATGCCGACCAGTGCGAGGCCATTGCGTAAGTGAATCCTACACCCCTTGCTTCAGCTTATGCCTACTGACCATAGTATAGAGCGGCGAACGACGACTTTGCCGCGAGCTTTGGCACGCGTTTCCACCACCTGGTAAGTCCACCTTCAACTCCTCATAAGCTGACCATGTATTAGATATCTACTGCCATATATTTAACGTCTATCATCTATTAAGGAATCATCATCCCTTCCCGTTGCCTAGCGCAGCAGGATCCCAGCCTCTGCTGCCAACATACGCCCTGTGCTGGCGGAACTCTCCTCCAACTCCCTCTTCTTAATCCCCCACCCAGCCCTTCCCAAGGGTAAGTCGAGCCGCTACTCGGTGACCCCTTCCCCCAGTGGTGGCCCGTGAGTGGAAAGCCATTATCCCAGGAGGGGAGACTCGGCATATGCCGAGTCTCGGCGATGCTAACCTCTCCATTGAGGTTGACATTGAGAAGGACGATTCCAGGGATGGGAATGGAGGCGCCGAGGACGATATTGTGCTTCTGCTGCGTGCCCAACTCGAAACTGGGTCTGGAGAGTATGAGGTCGTTGAACTGGACTATCCGCCTCAAAGACCCTTACCAGTTGGGTCTCCGGCCCTCGAGCCCATACTCAGCATCAGCTCCCCAGTCGACCCGACTGAACCTGCCCCTACCCCGCCAATCCCACAGCTTCCCCATCTCGAGTTACCGGACCCAGAGCCTGCTCCTAATCATGCTCTTGGGATGGCAACGCGGACTCGCCAATCGCTCCGTCAACTTGTCTGTATACTAGTCAAGACTTAGCTTATGCCGAGTCCTCGCTAATACCTCGTTTCGTACTGAGTCATCGCTAACACCTCCTTTTATAGCATGACTATGTCCCGACCCCTCGCTCCTCGGGCAAGCGCAAGGTAAGACGTCACATCCCAGCTCAGCCTCAGCATATGGTGACCTCTCTTCTAGCGTGGGCCTAGCCCTCCACCTAACCCAGGCTCCCCCCCCGAGCCCGATTCGCCGACCCCTGCCCCCAAGAAGCACCGCAAGGCCCGCGCCCCCAAGAAGACCAAGGGCGTAGAGCCCACTCGTGAGTACTCCGAGCAGATGCTGAGTCTTGATCTCTTTGCTGACCGGGAATAGGTCGCTCTAGCCGCCGTATCCCTGCCCCCGCTGTCCTGTCGGCCGTGTAAGGGCTCAACTTATGCCGAGGCCGGAGTCTGCTTTAGCAGAAGAATAGGAGGAAGGATAAATAGGATAAGGAGACAGGAAATAGGTAGCAGAATTAATGAATTTTCCCCTCAGCATATGCCGAACCGTGATTATATTTTAATTTCGCATTCTGTACGCTATGTACACGATTCCATTCTTCCAGCTCTTCCACTTGCCTCAATAGAGCCTCTTCTTCCGCCCGCTCTTCCTCTACCCGCCTTTCCTCTGCCCGCCTCGCAATAATTGCCTCCTTTTTCTCTTGCTCCACAGCTAACCTGGCGCGTATGATTTCCATACGCTCAATGTGTGCTTTACCGTCCCTTTGAGTCGTAGAAACGCTGCCTTGCGTTCGTTTTCTCGTGGGTAGCGGGGAGGATAAAATGGGTGAGGATAAAATGGGTGAGGAGAGTTGACCTAGCATATGCCGAGCCGGGGTTTGAGCCCTTGGTCGAGGTGTTCGGGAGGCTTGACTGAATGATGGTGCCGTAGAGGGCTGTCGGCTGCTAGCAGGAGACGACATTACTGTAATGCTATCACGTATACTGTTATCGTCGTCACTAATCTCGGCATCTGCGAAAGCACGGTTGACAGATGGGCTGACCCGATGCTGAGCCGATGTCGGGGTGTCGTACGGGTTTGAGGGGTTAAAAGGAAGACTGGGGTCTATTTCTCTCCTTTTGGCCTGTTTTCGTAGCCCCTTTTCCCGAGAGCGGAGTTGTCCTGATAACCGGGCTTGTGTAGAAGTGTTACGGCAAGTTTTAGAAGTACCAAACTGCAGCTCAATATCGGCCTTATCTCCCTTATCGTTTATATGTCGTTTTAATCTATCTTCAAGTTAATTTTATCAATGCATATACCAAACTTCGATTGATGACTTACTCAAGGACTGCTGCTAATAGTGATAACTTTCGCCCCGTGGCATTATTATCTTCAAAGTGGGAGACCTCTGCCATGTTTGTATTCTTTCGAGCATAAGTCCAGGCTAAGCCGGGAACAAAAGACTCGCTCTGGAGCAAAGCTGAAACAATCCATGGCTTTTGCTTCCCTTTAAACCAAGACTTCAACTGGGGATAGAGTGTGCATAGGCCTTGTATACGCTGCAGGTATTCTGTCCGAGATTTGGCTTCCCAGATAACTTTGAGCTGGGGGAAGGCAGCGTGCCGGGAAGAGAATTTCTTTTGGAAATTACGCTGAACGTGCACAGAGCAGAAGATTAGTATTATGCTGTAGGTGCTCTGTCTATTCGTATTTGGGCTCCAAAGAGTGGAGGTAATTTCCTAATCCTGAAGATCCAATCGTTAGTTTAAATTTGACCTAGCCGATGCTGAACCTACCCCTGGCTTGTGTTCCGTCCATATCAGCCGTTATCGCTTGCACACCGGTGCCATGGATGTGATTCCATTTAAACAATTGGCCTGTAATACTTCTGCAAGTGTTAAAGGTCTCTTGAAATAATCGTTGATAAATGGAAGTGGTGGCCTGGTTAAGGAAACTGTTGGAATGTGTCAAGCAGAAGGGCCTCGAAGGTTCTAGATAGAGACTTCGCCACCCACTTCCCTACCACAATAGTAGTATAAGAAGGGGCTTTCTGGCACTGCCAGAAAGCTAGAGAGAAGAACACACATCTACAATCCATCACTTGAACCACCAGCTTTTCGGCGTACAGTTACGCCCTGTTGATTCCAGTACCGGTACCCTGGTGAATCCAACAGAAACCATATAAAAATGTTTCCGTCCCTAATTTGAGCTTAGCATCTGCCCAAACAAGGCTAAGATAAGACTTACGATGAACCCTCTCGTCAAAACCGACAAGGGAAAAAAGCATAACACCACCTTGCACCATTTTGAAGGATAAATCTATCTCCAAAAACGTTGCACCCGCCCTCCGCCGCAGCTGAGTATTGGTTGCACAAATTATGAGCCAATGCTAATTATTAATGTTGATTATACGCCTAATCCACCGCTGTTTGGGTGGCAAGAACGATTCAAGGTGGAACTCCCGCACAACCCCTGTATTAAGTCAGCTGATGCTCGGTGTTGTTCAAATCTCTTACCTACCTGCAAATGCACACCCGTCAGGAAACTGTAATAAACGCTCGTTTTGAATTAAAATAGTAAGCCGGTCTTCAATATTGAGGCTATTGTGATTAGACCGGAGTGTAAGGGCGCTATATTTAGCATGCAGCGCAGCGAATTGTAGATGGAGGATGAAACACCCTGCTTAAGTTAGCACTCAGCATACGCTGAAACAGGAATGCACCTACGCGTGGTGAGCGTTGCAACGTTTGTTGGACGTATTGCAGCCTTAGTATCCTCGATCAACTGAGCTGGTGCTCTGGATGGAGGTGGAGGGTGGTGTGTGTGTGACTGCCTCGATGTTATAATAATCCAAGAAAATAGAGCTGTTCGTTGTGGGATGAAGATATCTAGTAATACGTTTCATTGATGATGCTTTGTATTGCTCCGACCTTGTGGATGGTCGAAGCCTAGAAGATGGTAAGTATATGTATTCACATAAAGGATAAAAACGTACCGCAATATTTTCGTCTTCCCATAGGTGATGCCAGCCACACACATTGAGCATCAACTAAATCTATGGCACGCTAACATAATGATCTGAAATATTCAATATCAAATCGTGCAGTGTATTGTATAATAGGCCATGCAGTTTGCCATGACTCCGAATCCGAGCTTCGAGGGTAACCCACAAA